ATGAACATGTCCACATATGACCTGAGATGTCATGTAACACCCCCCTTGCAGCGTGGATCTCAACCATTTCATCATCACCTCCCTTTTCTTTATTATGTAACCCTCGAAAGCTTTGACCTTTATATATACATAATGATTCTTGATCGCACCATCCATTTCGTTCTCTGATCTCTTGCCATATTGCTCTCTCTCTCGAAAAATTTGTCTAGCTAGCTAGGCTTGGCTAGATAGAGAGAAAGAGAGAGAGAGAGAACTGACTGTCTGTACTGATTAATAATGGCCGCTCCTCCGCCGAACCCCGTGCCCGTGGCGTACCAGGCCGGCACGTCGGCGGCAGTGCCCGACTGGCTGAACAAGGGGGACAACGCGTGGCAGATGATCTCCGCCACGCTGGTGGGGCTCCAGAGCATGCCGGGCCTCGTGATTCTGTACGGGAGCATAGTCAAGAAGAAGTGGGCGGTGAACTCGGCCTTCATGGCGTTGTATGCGTTCGCGGCAGTGATCTTATGCTGGGTCACGTGGGCCTACAAGATGTCCTTCGGGGACAAGCTCCTGCCCTTCTGGGGAAAGGCCGGCCCCGCGCTCGGCCAGAAGTTCCTCATAAACCAGGCCGTGCTCCCCGAGACGGCGCACTACTACAAGAATGGGAACTTGGAGACGGCGATGGTGGCGGCGTTCTACCCGATGGCATCGATGGTGTGGTTCCAGTGCGTGTTCGCGGCGATCACCTTGGTACTGCTCGGGGGGTCGGTGCTGGGGAGGATGAACTTCCGGGCGTGGATGATGTTCGTGCCCCTGTGGCTGACGTTCAGCTACACGGTTGGTGCCTTCAGCCTGTGGGGCGGCGGCTTCCTATTCCAATGGGGCGTCATGGACTACTCCGGCGGCTACGTCATCCACCTCTCCTCCGGGATCGCCGGCTTCACCACGGCTTTTTGGGTCAGCTTAATCTATCTCTCTCATGGAAATATGACTACCTATATCCGATTTTCATCTTCTGATAGAGAAGAAAATATTTTCTGGCAATTAACTTCTAAGGATTTCATTTCTATGGAAAAGATGACAGTCACAAAGGAAATTTTTCCACTTCAAATCTATTTTCCGGGGCAACGCAAATTTCATTTCGAACTTTATTCTCGTTAGGTAATCATGTTGGTGTTTTATATTCCAAATATAAGCTTCCAATGAGGAGGGAGATTCGGCGTTGACCTCGACTTTCAAATTTGATAAGCACTGAGCTGTTCATTCTTATACAGGCTTTGCTTCAGATTCAAGAAACTGAGATCATCATCTTTGACAAACGAGAACCAAAACCCGTTAATTTATCTGATTTTCAAACTTGACAATTGCCTCCTACGCTAAAAGAAAAAATCTCTTTCTGAAGTATAATAGTGTATTGTATATGTTAAGAGTTATATACAATTTGTCACATTATTCTTGTGCAGGTAGGACCCAGATCGACGAAGGATAGGGAGAGGTTTCCTCCGAACAATGTGCTATTGACGCTGGCCGGAGCGGGACTGCTGTGGTTGGGATGGGCGGGGTTCAACGGGGGCGACCCTTACACGGCCAACACCGACTCGTCCATGGCCGTTCTCAACACCAACGTCTGCGCGGCCACCAGCCTTCTGGTGTGGACGTGCCTCGACGTCATATTCTTCAAGAAGCCCTCCGTCATCGGAGCCGTCCAGGGCATGATCACCGGCCTCGTTTGCATCACCCCCGGTGCCGGTACTTACGTTGACCGGCCCTTGTTAAGCAGATAAATTAAGAAAGTTTGTAACCCGTTAAGCAGCTATATTGACTAGCGACCTTTCACATTGTACAGGGCTAGTCCAAGGGTGGGCGGCGATAGTGATGGGAATACTATCGGGAAGCGTCCCGTGGTTCACTATGATGATCGTGCACAAGAGGTGGACGTTGCTCCAGAAGGTCGACGACACGCTCGGCGTCTTCCACACCCACGCCGTCGCCGGGTACATGGGCGGAATCCTCACGGGCCTCTTCGCCGAGCCCACGCTGTGCTCGCTCTTCCTCCCGGTCACGAACTCCAGGGGGGGAGTCTACGGGGGCTCAGGCGGGGTCCAGATCGGGAAGCAGCTGGTCGGCGGCGCTTTCATCATCGGGTGGAACCTCGTGGTCACGTCCATCATATGCATCGTGGTCGGCCTGGTGATCCCTCTGCGGATGCCGGAGGAGGAGCTGCTGATCGGGGATGACGCGGTGCACGGGGAGGAGGCTTACGCGTTGTGGGGCGATGGAGAGAAGTACGACTCAACGAAGCACGGCACGGACAACACGACACACCACAAGACGTCGCCCAGCGGGGCGACTCAAGTGGTGTAGGTCGTGGGTGCGTGAGGTGTTATCGATTGCATTCTTACCGACTCGAGTGATAGAAATCATGGGAATGTGAGTGATCCGTTTTCATTTATTGTTCTTGTTCACTATGCATTGTTTTTGTTCAATTGATACTGCTCGCATAGTGAACAAATTGTTCATATTTCATATGGTTGTGTACATACGGTCAAAAAACAAAGGTTACATCACCACATGCATTACTTTCTACTAGTCAACTTAGTTTTTTATGCAACGTATTTTGCTACTTTTATTCATAATCTTTGTTCGAGCCTTTGATCAAATTGCTTAGTAATATATAAATTTAGAAATGGGATAGAGAGATGGCCTAAACCCTATTTGGATCCGATTGAGACGTCAAGATCCAAGCCTCAAGATTGCGTTGACCAATTCATTTCTCATCAGCCCAAGCAAAAGCCTCATTTCCAAGTGCAGGGTTCTTGGTCTCGGGAATTTCTCCCTCGGACCCGAGCCCGACGGCCCGGATCAAAACTCGGGGTCTCGCAAAAAGATCAATGATTGAGATAGACTCCATCCGATAAACCCTAAGCCAACCATGGAATGTTTGCACCGTAAACATAATTTTTGTCCAAGCCTTTATATTATATGAATTTAGAAATGAGAGAGAGAGAGATGGGCCTAAACCCTAATTGGATCTGAATGAGACATCAAGATCCAAGCCCCAAGATTGCGTTGACCAATCCATTTCTCATCAGCCCAAGCAAAAGCCTCATTTCCAAGTGCAGGGTTCTTTGGTCTCGGGAATTTCTTCCTCGGACCCGAGCCCGATGGCCTGGATCAAAAACTCGGGATCTCGCGAAAGATCAATGGTTGAGATAGGCTCCACCCGATAAAACCCTAAGCCAACCAAGAATGTTCATTCACATGGGGTTGAGCTACATGATGATACATTGCATGCATAATTCAGCCCTCTTGCGGAGTACGTGCAATCATTCACTTTCGAGATTACTTTATAAGACTATCAAAAGCTGCATGGAAAGAGAAGAAGAAGCTTCTTTCCCTTGCCTTTAAGAAAAGACACGAAATGCTCTCATGAGTTAAAAACTTGCCTTAGAAGTGAGGGCCTATCATGATGCCCATGATGCCCATTGTTGGCACTTGGCAGTGGGTGCTTTGTTTGATTAACCCTACGTGGCCCCTTTAATTAGTCCTAATCACAATTAAATTTAAATTAATATGTATTGTAGAGAGATTCTCTGTGGTATATCAATTGTGTTAGCGTTCGAAGCCCACTTATCACCACGTATTGCGTATCCATTGGAATTCGATAATTTCCAAGGACGGAAACTTTAAATTAAAATAAGCCCCATGCGTCTCTTACATTTTTCCAATTAAGTCCTTCCAACTTTTGCCCCGCCTCCTCTTCGATATTTCGGTTTTGGTCTTGGGACGTTTTGGCAAATAGATTTAAGATTTCAATACCACAAATAGAATTCTATGGAGTTAATTCATTCCACATATGTAATTAAGAGCCGTCGGCCCTTTTGTTCACAATTAGGTAAAAACAAAAAGTAACCTTCTTTTTTCCTTTCTCGTTAAAATCTAAAATATTATTGGGACTTCGTAAAAATCATGAGATTTTTATTGGTGAATCAATGTGTCCACATTGGTATACTGTGAAAATTGCAGGTGTTATATAGTTAAGATAAAGTCGAAATGGATCCATTACAAATTTAAAGTGAATAATATAATATAAAAATCTATACTAATAGGTGCTTAAGTGCTCCATCCATATGATAGACGACCTAGCAATCCCACCAAAAAGAAGAAGAAGAAGAATAACCATGCAATAATTGACGCTTGAGTGGTCATCCTCCAAATCCTATTGAAAGATGCACTTTTCTCAGTTGGATCAAACGTGTATTTTTTTTTTTTTTGGGGATTAATATCACTGAAAATATATTTATCTCAAACTAATTTGTATATCGTAAAAAATCATAAACTATTTATTCCATATTTATTCCAAACGAGTACATCCATGCCATATAATTTGAAGTAACTATAGCATGAGTATACCAAATTTGGTGGTATTAGCCCTCATATTTTTCACTTTTGGTCTTTCTATATCAAGGGTTGTAACCGTCTACCCACTTTCACTATAATAAGTCATTCGCCTCGACCCTCTGTAATACAATTGAGGGAAAAAATCTCAAATAGCATCCTTATTTTCGTGCTCATTTCGCTCAGCACATGCTCTCTTCTCGGATTTACAATTCTCATTCCAGGCATAATCTCGAAACAACCGCCCCGACATAGTCACCAGAATATTCCAATCTTGGTGATCTTTTTAACCGAATTTCTACATTGGGCAGGATTACAGAGACGGCGTCGCATCATGAACACGGTACTGTAACGCCCCGGATATGGTTCTGCTTAAAAATAGTAAAAATCTGTACATGCACCATACATAGTGTTTTGTCCTATACTCATTAAATAAATTTTTTTTTTTGAAATTCGATTGATTTTGTGGGAGCCAATATTAAATCATGACATTTGAATTTTCATTTTTATGGAATGACATGTTTTTTGAATGAACAAAATTTATGGGATTTGCAGAGGAGGCGCTATCATCATGAGAAAACATCCCATAAAAACACACGAAGAAAGAGAGAGAGAGACAGTTGTAATTGCTGTTAACGAGGGGAGAGTCTTTTTGCGTCTTTTTTCTCTGCACGCGAGCTCGAGAGCGGAGTGGGGGAAGGGGCACGACCACGACGGCGGCGGCGGCGGCGGCGACGGCCATGCGTCGCTCTTCACCGATCTCGCCGTGTCCGCCGGGCTCCGATCGGCGATCCCGATCCCTCCGTTCCGGCTCCTGATCCTCGCGGGGCTTTTCCGGCGGGTCCGTTAGGGGTTGCGCCGCGCCGGGAGGGGGGCGCGAGAGGGGGGCTTGGAATCGCGTGAATCGGGACGGGGCTCGGCTCCGGTGGAAGCCCTAGAGAAGGGAAGCGGGGACCCCCCCTCCCTCCCCGCGATTGGTGCGCTCTAGTGGGAGCGGAGTGAAGTGGGAGCTTGAGCATTCCCGGTCGATTTCGCGGGTTTCCTGGGTCGAACCCTGATTGGGGTTGAGCTCGGCGTCGGAGATGGAGAACGGGTTTGATGGGAAATTGGCTGATAAGTTCTCTGGAATGGCGCTTAACGACGGTTCGTCCAATATCAACTCCAACAACGATAGCTTGTTTCAGGTCATGAAAGCAGTTGAAGCTGCCGAAGCCACTATTAAACAGCAGGTTCCCCCTCTCTCTCTCTTTCTCTCTGTCACACACGCGCACTCTCTCTCTCCCCCTAGATAGTTTATTTGATGCCCAATTCAAAAGCATGAGGTGGCTCAAGCATCAGCGAGCCTTTGTAGTGGCTGCCAAGTTCCAAGAAATCCTACTACGGAAGATTTTTGCCCGATTGGGAACCATCGTGTAGCCGTTTCGGTTCATGATTGGACTGGTTGTGAACCCTCATACTGTGTGAACATGCTGGAAGGGTTGTGGGGTATCTGAACTTTACCTGCTAATTATGTACCCAACGGGCTTTTTCTTTTGGATGCGTCAATGCAATTCATTGATTAGATGGTTGATTTGGCGACCTTGCTGCTCACTAGTATGATTGGAACACGTATGTTGTTTGGATACTTAGCATCGTACAGGTTACTATCTTTGATTGTAGATGAGGTGTATGAAGAGCCCTAGTTCAACCTCACCTGGGCGGAAATGTAGGTGGTCATACTTTGAAACGGAAGAAATTGTTTGGCAAGGACCTATGTTTTGGGGGAAATGGCTCTAGCAATGTATTTTGTAGAGGCTTCTGCATGACAAATCTCAAAAAACCATCTTCTATAAGAGAACTTTCAACCCCACCGCCACCCCCACCCCCACCCTTCTCCCAAGAGGAGCATCTTCCACAGAGAACCTCCATAACCTCTGCAGCCTAACACCCATATCACCATGACAAAGCAGTGAACAAGCAGTTTTCAAGTTCATTCAGGGTTTGACATTTTCAGTTGTGTGTAGCGCATTACTTGGTCAACTCTTTCTTGACCCCATTATTTTGCAATTTCCTACTTGACAACTGAAGGGGTGAGAAATTGTCCTCCTAGTACACCATTGAGGGTGTCACACTTGTTATCAAGTGGACATAAAAGCTTATCTTGCGCGGGAGTTGGGCATCGCCTGGTGCCTTTTACTGTAACTTTACTTATCGCAAGTAAATGACGTGCTCAACTATGAACTGATAGCTTGCACTTTCATGTCTCACGGTGTTCTGCAATAATCCTACATGTTGCTAGCCGAAGTTAATTACACGCTTAAAGTTATAGTTGCTGCTGTAGGCTGCAATGCTGTGACATTGAAATTTGACAAGAGGATGATCTTAATTTTCCATGTCACTTTTGACAGGTGGAGGAGAATGTTCGGCTGAGGACCGAGCTACAGGAAAAAATGCAGGAACTGGAAAGATATGTAAGTAATAGGTACTTTTGTTGGTGCAGAATAGTTTAATTGTACACATGTTTGCACTGAAAATGTGTATTATTTAAATGTATAATACCTGTACATATAGACATGCATCTGATGGTCTTTGCACTTTTCTATTTATTCTTAGTTAGTGTTATGATCTTCTATCTTGATAGCCAAAAGAGTTGTAGTTTGGACATTTTCATTCTGAACATAACAACAATATTTCCTTAATCTGGCCCTAGCTTTTATGCCGTCTCTCTATCATTAAAATTATAGCCTGACGATGTCAAGCAGTTGTTGATTCTGTCTTATGTTTGGCTTTTGGAGCGGTTGAAGGGGTAGTGTATCCAAATTATTTGGTATAGTGAGCATGTGAAGGAATTAACTAACTACTCTTTTCAAGAAGTAATTTCCCTTAACACCATACTTGTTTACGGCCAAGTATGTCTAAGACTGAATAAGCTTGGCTGCATAACTCACGGTCAATTCACGCTGTACTAATTAATTCAATCTTTGGACCCTTTGTTGTGAAGGAAAAATAGTTTAACTATTTTAGCTGAAGGCCAAGAAGGCATTTTACCAGTGAGAAAGATATTGTTAACATATAGATGCATGTATCATTCCAACTCTCATACAACTTGTGAGGGAATCTTTCACTTGACACTGGACTCGAAGATTTTTCGGTATTCTGTTCCACCAGGTTCTTTCTTTTTCAATTAAAGATCATTTTCTTCACTAGCATGTTCATCTACTTGAAATGTAGATTATTAGAATGTCCAACTCAAAAGTTGTGCGATTAAGTGGAGGGGGATTTACGTGTACATGAGGCTCATATAAGCTACGTAGGACACTTAACGCCTCCTCTCGTGTGCAAACTGGATTGAGAGCGGCACGAGGAATTGACAAAAAGGGCGTCACATGTGGGAAGTAAACTAGGTGGAACCTGCCTATGATATCGTGTCAGAAAATTCAACCCGAAAGCTTAAGCCATTACAATCTCCATGGACAAGCATTGTGGGACACTTTAACTTAGATATACCTAGGAGCTTTGGCAATGATGCTCCATTCATGATGAGTTTTGTCTAAGCCACTCTAGGCCCCCTCAAATAGACCTATTTTTCTGCTATGCACCTTCTCCAGAGATAATCCAAAGTCAGGATTTTATCAGAAGCCAAAATAGATGCTCTAGGTGGTCAAGTAGACTTCAAGATGAGATTCTGATGGACTATGGCTTATTTGCATGACTCTTTAGGGGCCTGTGTCATAGGAGGATTTTGCATTGAAGCCGTTAAGGTGACCGGCACTATCTCTTTCTCCATACTTACACATAGTTTGTCATTGCTTATGCCATTGGTCTTCACTTTCGATTTAGCCTACAGAACAGATTCTCATTATTTGTACACCATCTCCAACATTTTGGTTGAATATTCAGAACTTCAACTCTCCTTCATTTTAAGGATTAACTGTAGGATATGCCCATCTATATGATGTTCATCTTGCTTTCATCACAACGCCTTTCTCTTCCTTTAGCATCTGTATAACTTCAATTCATGAGTTCTTGGCTTGAGTTGCAAGTGTGGTCACGTGGGAGGGTTGTCAAAGGTTGATGTTTCATCCAGGGTTTATGATTTTGTATTGCAAGACATTAGATCAACTTTTTGCATGAAGTTTAGCTCTTGTCCTGTCACACCCTTTTGCATGACCCACTTTGTCAGTACAGATAAAAAACGAAATGAGTTGAATGGGAAACAGGGCAGCTTAAAAGAAGTCCAATCATACTTATCGAGCTTCCTATCTTAGCAAAATATTATATTAATCTTGAGAAATTATGAAATGATTCCAAATGACTAAATGTTAATGTGCATATGGTTTGATTATTGAGGCCTTGTGTAAAATAGAAGTCAAATCTCAAATGCTAAATTAAGAAGTTCAAGTAGAAAATAAAAGGACAATGTCATTCCAAACATGCCCTAACATGCCAAGATAAGTATGACAACAGTACCACCATCCAGCAGCAGATGCTTCTGCCATGTTTAGCCAAGGAGCATGAAGGATATGTGGATATAGTAAATAGGAGGTGGAGTGCCTATTGGTCTCGTGGACTCAGGGTTTTGGTGGATGATTGATTGGGAGAATGGGGGGTTTTTTTTTTTTTTTGAATTTTAGGAAAGAGGGACCTCATGTTAATAAACAGTATTTACTGCATTATGCAATTTCACTTTTTTGTGCTTTGTAATTTTGCGACCCAGCTTTTGATTTTTGTATTCATCAACTACACATTGATCAGGAAACATCAGGAGTCATTAGTACTAATGAGACGTGACTATTAATGGACTCTTTCTCTGGCAGAAATCATATGAATCAATGGCTTCAAGACATGCTGTTGGGGCACCTGATGGCCTTCTACACGGAGTTCATGATGCTCATCAATCTATACCATCTGTGGGAAATCCAGAAGATGGCGTTAACCGCATACGAGGCACTTCTCCACGTGATCAAGCTGGTACTATTATTGTTCATAAGGAGGTGAAGCTAAGTAATCAGAATGCTGCCAGACATTCTCAGGAGGAAGCCCACTCTGAAAGCAATAAGGTTAATGGGACATTAAAAGTTCTTCCCGGTCCTCAGGTTCCCACCGATAATACTGGCTTTTCTCAGTTATCATCACCGTCAGCGACATCTTTTTCTCCTAACAGGTTCTGCATTTGATTCGAACAATCCATCTTAAAGTGATCAATAAGTCAGTGTTGAGATGTATACTATCTTAGGCAGCATTGTGTGCTTTGTAGATATCGAACTGAAGGAGATTATGATAGAAGACATAATTTCTCTGGACATGGGCTTATGCAGATGGCTGAAGTGAATAATTCTAGCAGCCTCCAGAAACAGGTTGCTGTGAGATAATTCCACAATTCCTTTTTTCTTCTGATATTTGTGTTGACTGTATTAGTTTATGAATGAAACGATATTTGTAGGATCTCATTCATAAGGTTCAGGAACAGGAACAAGAGATTGTGCAGTTAAGGAGACATTTGTCAGATTATTTAGTGAAGGTGAGAGTGATATGTGGTGGTCGCTTGTTTGACTGAGTGGGCTTTTACTTGAGTCTGCTTCTGGATTAAGTAGGGTTTGGAAGTGATACAAGTTAATCTTGTTGTAGGAAGCACAAGTACGAAATGAAAAGTATGTTTTGGAGAAGCGAATTGCTTATATGCGTATGGTAGGAAGCCTTCGATTGGTCATTACTCTCTACTTCTCCAATTCTGGTTCGCCTTCCTTATCCATGCAATGGACCTTTGCCCTCTGTTTTGGAAACGTAGGCCTTTGATCAGCAGCAGCAGGACCTCGTTGATGCTGCGTCCAAAGCTCTGTCATATAGGCAAGACATAATGGAGGAAAATATTCGTTTATCATACCAATTGCAGGTATGCTTTTCTTGTCCTAGGGAAGCTTTTTTGTATAATGGTAAACTTTGATAGCGTGCATGCTTTTAGTATCTCGCTAAAATATCTCATTATGTGTTTAATTCTCGCTTTATTTCATGAAGAACACCTTTGTTTCTCTAATATTTCAGCTTAGGGAAAACTTTTTTGATATGTATGGTATGGAAATGCATTTACATTGTAAGCTGCAGACTTTCTGTGGGTTCCCATTAACTTGTGTCAAAGGCCTATTCACTTTTTTTGGGTACTTGCTCCTCATATAGGCACCAGCGGACCCGGGGGCGGAGATTTGCCACCGTCCCCACTGAACTTAGAGAATAACCCCTTTATATGGGACCAGTCTTTAATTATGTGAGTTCCGCCCGTCTAATGGTGGCTTTCTTGTCGATACTTCCAAAGTTCTTGCCACTAGTAACTACTAATGGTTCCCAGAATGGGTGATCCATAGTCTTGTAAATAGTACATGACTCCATACGGAATAACAATACATTTCAATTTTAATTAAGGAAAATGAAATCGGAAACTTGGCAAAATAACAGTTATATAATATCTTTGAGCCAATAGTTATTCTTTATTTGAAATTTTGTTATTTCAACAAAACTATGAGATGAATTATGTGCACATTTGAAATGCATCGACATTCTCTAGATTTGTTTATGCATGAATATGTAATAGCCATCACAAGGTGACATGTGACATACTTATGCACATGTCACATGATCTTTCATTAGTGGAAACTTGCTTATGGATGCAAATGCCTCGGTTGATATGATTTTGAGAGGTGTTTTGCAAATGGCTTTGGTTAGATGAGCTCTTTTTGTATATGAGTATGCACCCCCTTGGTGCCCTATTTTTTTTACCTGTAAAAAGAAATGAATAACGTGGTAAAAAGTTTGTCTACTGATTTCAAAGCTGAGATAAACTCAAGTGGTACACGTTATTTTTATGCATCTACTCCTTTTAAGTGGTTCACACTGAGTTAATATAATTTCGACCTTGTCCTATTAAATTGTGGCCATTGATTTTCTGACTTGAATAAGGGAAAAGAGGAATCTCAAAGTCACTAAGAAATGATGTTTTTACAAGACCATGACATGTGCATGGTTCAACTTACAAGAATTAGAACCTCGTGTTCCTGAGATAAATAAAACAAAGTAAAAATTAAGAACTATCTACATATATTTATGTGTAAATTAAATGTTCTATCATTTTCTGTAAAAATAACAAAATAAATATGGGCCTCCTCAAATAGGAGTCTTGCTTCCCTTTTGTAAAAATCAGAAGCATAACTTCTCTCTCTCTCTCTCTCTCTCTCTCTCTCTCTCTCTCTCTCTCTCTCTCTCTCTCTTCCTTAATTAAATGAAAGATCAACCGGCATAAAGGAAACTTTTATGGAAGTTCTATATTTCAACGTAAGAATATAAATTGGGACACTATGTTTAGGCTTTTCAGAGAAATCTAGTTTCCCCAACCCTAGGTCTAAAATCTGGGTCAGCCACTACACATATAGGTCTTTTGATTACTGCAAGATATTGTTAAATTCTGGTGCCAAAATGTGCCATTGCCGAAACAGTAGGAGTGAATGAAACACTTGTACAATTAGTGTAGTATCATCATAAACAAATCTAATTTGGATATCTTACTCCTCTCTCAATGTTTAGGAAAAAGCAAATTTTGAGGTTCTTGTTTTTGTTCTCACAGGCTGCACAGCAAGAAAGATTGATGTTTGTGTCATCTTTGCTGCCTATCCTTGCAGAGTATTCTCTGCAGCCTCCAGTCCTCGATGCTCAGTCAATTGTTAGCAATGTCAAAGTATGTCTTGTTTCTCTGTTCTTATATATTCATGATGTTCTTGAACAGTTTTGTCTATTGATAAACTTTTTCTTATCAGAAGTATATCTTGTGCCTTCCTTGTAGACTAGGACTTATTATAATTTTTTTAAGGGTGCCTTTATTACACAGAAAATCAATGGTATGGAAAACATTTACTGAAAATGATAGTTTGTATTGCTTAGAAAAATTAGTGAATGGAAAAAAATTTCATTTACTACAACAATCTATGCCTAAATATCGTTTATGATAATAATTGTTTTTCATTTATTCATTTTTGTAAGCGATATAAACGGTCATTTTAGGGAAAACATTCTTCAAATCGTTGATTTTCCGTGAAATAAATGCACCCTCCGTGTGTTGATTTTGTTTTTGAAGCAAGAGCTTTAGTAGTTAAATGTCAGAGCTTTTGTAATATTTTTACCTAAAGGTCTCAACCAAACAAAGGATAGATTTATGGAGAAGCTAAAAATGCACTGATATAGCTGGCAAATCAAAAGAGGATCAAACTTGCTTCCATATGGAATTTGAAAAAGATTTTGCTGTCTAGTGATCACTTCTAGAATAAATTGTGATAATACCGTCATTGCTGTCCTGAATGTCCCAAGCCCGGCCAAATTTCTCCTATTCGATTCTGTGGTAGCACTTTGTGTAGTAACCAATGTACATATGAACTTAAACGAAAAGTTAACATGGTAACTTCTAAAGACAGTATATATGGAAAGAGAAAAGACAAACAATCGGCACTTGCTCCCATTGTTTGTATTGAATATTTTATGGAAGAAGAGTGTGCAATTTGGTGGAATAGTTAGCATTTTAGTTTTTCCATTGAAATCTGTTGAAATTGTTTTTACTCTGTAATCTTGCTTAGAGATTGACATGATAAACTGGCAGCACGTTTTTTTCCTTTTTGGGTCGTCTATTGATTTTGTCATGCACTTTGATTAAGCCAGGTGTGGCAATTCCTAACATGACTCTAACATGACATGAATTTACTGAGAAAAACAGGAATACAATGACTTACTCAAAGCTAACACGAATGACCATGTTTTCAATCATTTTTAATGGAAAACCCTCAGTAATAATGTTGAAACAAATTTCATAACGACATAAAAATTGACCTGAATATGCTGACAACTCAAATTTCCAGCCCAAGATATAGCCCTACTTTCTATTTTTTGTTAATAAAATCTTTTTCTTAATAGGTTTTATCTTTCCCAATATAAATCTTGAGATGCTTCATTCCAGTATAAGCATGTAACACTATTGAGACCTACTCTCGTCCTCATGGCTGCCACAGCGAACAGCATGGTTTCTCAGTGGTGGAACTTTGTTAAACACATGATCTTGTAATCAAATAATTCATTGCATGAACCATAAAAAGAAGAGCTACATTTTTTTGGGTGAATGCAGAACCGCATAGTTGCATCTGAAGATGGTAAAAAAGGTAAGAGAAAGGGAAAGATAGGAGCGCTTGCTGCCTATGGCCTGTATCAAATCTTTTAATGGATAGGAGCTTGCAGTTGGGAAATGGAAAAATTGGCGTTTCAGTTCCTCTTGAAATCTGTTTAGATTGTTTGGACTCTGGAATTTCCTCGAGTATGTGACGCTATTAACTGTTTTCATATCTTTTTCCTCTCTGAATTTCTATTTGTGCCCCTTCTTCTCTATTAGTTTTTGACTTTCCCAAAATAAATCTGGGGCATGCTTCATACATTAATGATTATGTGATACTATCCAAAACTATTCTCATTCTCGTGGCTGCCACACGAACTGCATGGGTAGTGTCAGACATAAATTGAACATAGAAATTGTGTCTAATAGATTTTACTAGATTGCTATCGGTTTTTACTGGTGAAGTTCATAGCCGCATCATGCAAGAGATGTTTGATTTCTGTTCCAATGGATGTCTTTCTTGCAGGTTCTTTTTAAGCATCTGCAAGAGCAGTTAAATGTTACTGAGGTGTGTGACCTAGATTTGAGATGTCAGCAATATCATCCAACATTTGATGTCAAATTTAGTATTTAAGCTCATCTTATTTTAGGGGTTCAACAAATTATCTTCTTTGTTGCTTCAGACCAAACTGAAAGAATCACACTTTCAATTGGCCCCTTGGAATTCAGAGGCAAGTCCGTCAAGTTTCGCACCACAGTCGCCCGCTCATTCTATTGGTGCAGCATTGATGACTTCAGTATGCACGTGTATTTAGATCTCGGTTCCTTTTGCTTGTGAATCATCTAGCCTAATACGTGCAGTTTTTCTTGCCAGAGGAGAAATGGACTAGAATTGGTGCCACAGCCTGCTTTTTCCCTAGGAAATGCACCAGTTTCTTCTGATGCTCAGCCAAATGCTGGATGGGATGCATTGAATGCCCATCAGACAGCTTTGGGAGGTGTCCTGCCCAAAAACATGGAACCTGATGACATAGGGAGGTATTCACCCCTTGCAAGCAGGTGAGCTTGGTCAAATGGAGCCTACTGCAACTGTGAACTGATTGTAACACATTTCAACCATCTGCATTTGTTGGTGGGTTCAGTCTTCGTTGAATTATTGTGTTGATTGTTCGCGCATACTTAAGTTCTGCCTTATGCTGCTTTCGGACTTGACAAATGTGAAATTCCTAGTTTTGTCTACTCTAAGTGTTCCTCAATGTGAACAAGGCTGCATGCCTATGAATCTTGCAGTAGACCATGTGATTACGGCAATAAATTTTTAGTATTGGCGCATGCATTTTTCTATCAAACATTCTGTAGCTCTTTAAAAGGGGGGAGGAGTTCGTGATGTCTTATCAGTTCTCTAGCACAGAAGATTTGAATTCACAGGGTGCAGACTCCTTATGTTGGTTTTGTGCCGATACTGACCTTCTTAGCAAATGTTGAACTTTTTTGGCTTTATGGTTTATTGCTACTGTATCTTTTTTCTACAAATGCCTTTTTCCACGTGTGCAATGAACTTCTAGGAAAATGAGTCCTTGGGTGGACCGAGTCCGTTAACTGTAGAGTTTCTTTGACCCCTTCATTTACGGTTAGAAAATTCAACTCAAAAGCTTAAACTGATAGGTGGAAGGAGACCATATGAATATAAAGAGCATTTAGGACCCGTTGTCAAGCTATGTGGGACAATACTTCAACATGTACTATAAAATGCTGTCCTTATTTTCAAGGTAGTTTGACCATTTTCTATTGAAAAGGGAAGCAGAAAATATTTTACTGGAGTTGTCGGGCATTGTCTTGATATGAATGTGATGTCATGAATCAGTTACCAGAAAAGGAAAATGTTAAAGAGTGCCCCTAGGGCACTTGTTAAGCCTCATTGATTGTGCTTAATAAATATGTCAATTTGAAGCAGGTGACTTTTCCAAAATGTGTTGTTGCTCTTTCAAAGTGTGTTGATGTGCATTATTTGAATTTTTGGTGGTCTTAACTAGTGACCCCTGGGTACTTATTAACAAGACCCATCACAAAAGATTGTTGAAAATGTGGTGCACTAATTTACTCTGTTGGTGTTATCAGGGGTCCTGTCACCCGTGATGTGGCAGGACACTTTGCAATTACTCAGGGCAGCACACCTCTCACCCGTCATAGCGAAGAAACTACCAAGCAAGTCACTTTTCGTGAGCCTGTTAGCAACACAGAGATGGATGATCCTGATGTGGAGGCAAATCACAATGAGAGACAGTCTCCGGCTAATTGGGTTTCTGGGAACTCCCCCTATACAGGCCCACTTGATGATCCCGGCTCTTCATATTCCCCCTTTCTACCACCAGTTCTTGAAGAACCTTCTTCTTCCTTTTCAGAGGGTAACAGTACATTCTTGTTAGGATTCAGTTATTGTCTAGTCATTTCTGTCATAATTATTTTTTAACAAAAATGTTTATGTCATTCAGCTGCAGAAGATGATCCATTACCAGCTATAGATGGCCTCCAAATTTCAGGTGATGCATTTCCTGGTAAGGAACTGCAGGCTTCTGGATACTCCATTAATGGAACAACCAGCTGCAACTTTGAGGTGTGTTTCTGGATCATAAATAACTCTTTTGCTTTTTATTAGTTATCTAAGGTGGCACAGCAGAAAGGTTTTGTTATTTATTTTTTTGATGGATGAAACATCTTTTCTTATAATCTAGGAATGAGCTTTAAAGTACTTTTCCTATTTTAAGATGAAAACTCTAGGAATGAGCTTTAGAGTAATACATTATGGATTCTTGGAGTTGCTTTGAACTTGATGGGAGTCCATGAGATGTAACATGGATTTACTGTCCGTAGATAAAGATCTTGAACCACCAGGAGCCCTGTTCGGGCAAATATTAAGATAAGACTCAAGCCACAGGATGCCCTATAGGGATTAGATCATGTTAGGCCATTCTGCTATTTTTGGATTAGGGTTTGCAGCCCCTTGTTGGCCTATAGTTGATCCTTTCACATCTAAAATACCTGATGTTTGACCATTCTGGATTTCTTGCATCTGTGAAGCTTTCATTTGCCCAAATATTGTGTTATTGTCATTCCTGACAGTTGACTGCCTTTCTGTTTAACAGTGGGTACGTCATTTAGAAGATGGGTCGATTAGTTATATTGAAGGTATGTTTTTATGCTTCCACTTAGATTTTTCTTTTTGTTCTTGATATATGTTATCTAAAAGCTGGGTACTGAGGATTGCCTTATTACAGGAGCTAAGCAACCAAATTATCTTGTTACTGCTGACGATGTTGAAACGTACCTTGCCATCGAAGTTCAACCACTGGATAATAGGAAGCGGAAGGTATTGATTTTCAATTTTGGCTTCAGCAACTGTGGTAGTTTTTGCAGGCTGTTATACCATCAAACGTTCATGTCTTTTGTTCATTGCTTTGCTGCCTTTCTCCCTTGGTCTTTGTCATGCTTTTCTGCAAGTTTTTAATGCGGGAGGAGCCTTGAAATCAAGAGCCCTAGAGTGAACATACACGTATTGGCTGAAGTCTTGACATTTCGGGAAAATAAAGAAGGCATGTGTTGGAGATTGGGATTTCTAAATGCTAATAGCGATTCTTGCTTATGTCCTATTTTCAGCATATTCGCATGAATTGGGTTGTGATTGTTTTCCATATGTTTCCATCTGATTGATAGAAATTTATTCTTGTATGATCTCGTTCGGATTACGTTCATCTTTACCAGGCTGAATCTGAAGTTCAAGAAATTATTTTTTCACCAACCATGTTACAGACTCTCTATGTGCTCCTTTTGTTGGATATCAATTACTTAGCCTCTGACTTTTCCTCTTCACAATTTAGGGGGAGCTTGTGAAGGTATTTGCTAATGAGCACCGAAAGATTACATGCGGTGCGTAAAATTATGCTTCTTACCCTTCTATGTATTATAATTGCTATAATTAGTAGTTCATATCACATCCATTTATCCTCTTTAAAGTGAAAAGAATGGAATGATTTAATTTACTGTCATAGTTAGTGATTTTCCTGTAACCTGTGGAAGCCATGCTTGTTTGATGTTCTGCTGGCAGAATTTTCAATCAAACTTACCCAATTAGCCAAGGAAGCACATCATTATTTTGCTTTCTTCTCTCTATGTGGTGTAGCTAGTTATACTAAGCAATGCTGAAAGCCTTTATATTGAACCTGGCAGGTCGCTTGATTATAACCAAATTGCCAAACTGCAGGCTTCATGTTTCCCAGAATTTTCCCTAACTTTTGTTTTTAGTTTGTCGGTGAGGATTGTTCCCTGTTTTATGCACCATAAATCTTCTAACTTCTTCTTTTCTTTGTTCATAGGCCCAATGCAGAATATCATAGAAAAGACTTTTCATGAAGGGCATGCATCATACAAAGTTTCATTATCGGTATGGAATCCTCAATGATAAATGTGATTGTTGCCTCAACTGTTCATTGTTCTCTACTTCATTTGCTAAAAGAAGCATGACTGGCTATATGTAAGCTGTTGATGGCAGACGAGATATCTTGACATATGGGAACCAGCTATATTGGCTGTTAAAAGGGAAGGTTACAGCATTAAGTGTACTGCCAGCGATGTTGTAGTCACAGAAAAGTTTTCTCCAAATACAAGAGTATGATCTTATTCCTTTTTATCATTTTTTGATACTCTGATCAATTTGTTGCTCACATTGTGATGAAAGTGCTTGATTCTAGACAAGGGGCCTTATCAATCCTATAGGGGTAAAAGAACTTCACCCAGTTCGTCACTTGGTATCATTAAACCTGCATTATGCCTGAGACCATTTAAGTTCTTTTCTAATTTAAGTTTTTAACATCCTTTTTAAATTTGTAAATGCAATTTTCACCTTGAAAGTTTAATTGAGTAATGAAAGCTTCATTTGTTTATACGCTGCATCATTATTCATCCTCTCCTATGTTCTTTGAGGGAAAGGAAAGGGAGGCATGTGAATCAAATTTAAATTGGATTCGGTAAATTCATGAAGGGACTAGAAACACTTTGATTCAGATTTGGAGGATCCGTCATTAAAGAACCCTTTTTCCAAATGTTGAGAACATGCATGAGATAGTTTTGCTATAGTATTTTGTGTAGATGCCTCAAACGTAGGAGAATGTGGAAGCAACTGCAACTGGATTGCATTCTGCATGTCCTTGTCCCCAGCAAAGTAGCTATAAATTAACTAGCTTTCTTTTGATACTTCTGTTGTCCAAGTTACCTATGGGAGAATGTGTCGAGCTTGAATGTTCATATATATATAGTTATTTTTATACTGGTGAACTGGAACTCGAGAAGTCAGTTTATTAGCCAATATCAATCTCTGGAAGGAAGAGAAATAAATGATAGTATATTTGACTAGAAGAATTCTTGGTGTATGGTGTTCGTCATCCTTTGTCACTGTTTCCATATTCGACATGCATAACCAAAAGGCTGTTGTGCATATAAGATTTGTGTACATTTCCATGATTTAGTACTATCATTATCATGGTCATTGTTGTAACTCAATCACGAATATGGTCATCAACGCTCTCCACCATGAAGTTTGGAGTGTGCAAAGCCTGAAGTGGTGGGTACTTTCTTGCTGAAACGGGGATACAAATGCTGGATGTAGAACAATAGTAAAAATGTTATATTTTGATGCTTTAGCTTTCTTGATGTGGACAACATTTTAGGTCGAAGCATGAATTGAATGTCAAATGACTAGGAAAAGATGTGCTGTAATGAAAGGAAGTCTTATCAGTTCAAACCTGTTGTTATTTTCTTAGCAAACATCAATATATTAACTTCGTAATTGGACTAGAGTTGAGTGGTAGCTTTGTCTGAGATTCCCTTTTCTTCCCCTGCAGATTACAATTCCTTATGGAGATGACACTGCGTTCTGCATAACAGGTTCAAATGACAGTGAGCATCTCTTGAGAGCAGAAAACGACGAAGAAGACATTAGCTGGTAATGATCCATTCTTGTTATGTTATGGAGGATTGATACTTCCTATGCCATCTGAGATCCCTATCAGATTTAAAATGTGTTGTCTTTGGAATAGAGGCCAATGAGATGCAAATATTTTTGACACGGCATGTTTTGTCTAATGTGGATGGCAAAGAATTATGGTGGCACTGTTCCTCAACTGAAAGAGAGAAAAGGAAGGAATGAACAAGTTATATGCTAGTTCAGGGGAAGGATTTTCTTATGATCCTGTTATTTGACATTATGTGGAATGTAATTGCTGTTCTCTCTGCCTGCAGCTCAAGGGATACGATTGTGCTTACTCTGAGGATGTTCATCTTAAGGGTATTTTTCTGTTTTTCTTCTCATCACTTCTCTCTCCTTATTAATATACTTGTGCGAATTATAATGCGGTTCAGAGAGCTGGATAATGCGGTTCAGAGAGCTGGGCAGGCTACATTGTCCCTGGACCAGTAAAAGAATGGTTTCTTTCTTGCGCAGATAATGAGTACCATCATCTTTCACAGTCAATCTCAGAATGTTGATTGAACCTACGTGAAAGTAGGAAAAACCAGAGTCCCCAATATTCACAAAATCTACTTCCTAATCATCATTTTTATTCTGTTTTTCACCCTTCATAGAGCCCGAGCAACATATATTGTGCGTGTAGAAATTCGGTTAAAAGATATCAAGGGGTAACAATAGATTCAGAAGAAGCATCTGTTGCAGTCTCTATGATCTACAAGATCTGACAATTTGAATGCCTTTGTCAAAGTTTTCATAAAGTAAAGCAAACCCATAGCAAGGGAAAGGGATTATTGACTGCTCTTAATATCACAACCTAAATTAGCCAAGGGAATCAAGTGAAGCAGCAACCCTTAAAAGGGGTCCAAGATCAAACTTCACATTTGACGATAACTCAATTTACCCATTATGTGTTTGCACTTGCCATCACCATGTTTCATTAGGGCCCCAACAATTGACTCACTTGGTCTCACTCAAGGACCATAAACATCAGTCTGTTTTCTTCTGAGTTCTGAGCGACTGACATATTTACTAACCTGAGTACAGACATATACATGGAAGCATATAATTCACAGAGCCCATGTTCTGTTGCTTATGCAGGCTGGTGAAAGAAGAAAAGGGAGGAAAAGGGGTCTGTTCTTCAACAAGTAAAAAAATCTCCTCTTACGCCTGTCACAAAAGTTCATTGCCTCGTTGAGAATTGCAAGTGCAACACGAAATCTTTGGATAGCGTGCAGCATAGTTCGCATTTTTGAATTCAGACTATCTGAAGATGAGTCAGGTACACCGAATGAGGGCTGGTTGTATAGTTTTTGCATGAAACATACCCATTTTTCCTTCTGGCTGTAACCCTTTTCTCTTGTAATCTTTTTGATATTAAACCCCAAGGAAAGCCAGAGGAGGGCATTTTTCACTTCATGTACAAAAATTTTGTTTATTGTTTTGGCTCAATATATATGGAGGAGGTATTTACTCATAAGATGGTTTGTTGAAGCAGCTTATATTGCTCTCTGTGTCCATGGCCTCATGAACCGGTATGACAATTTGTCTTGGTTTTGGTTGGTTTTGATGAGATCTTGCCGCATAGGAATTGTAAGTGAAGACTTGCAACTAATGTGACTATTGGCACGACGCATTCTTGTTGAGTCCTCAAGTGATGTCAATGGATAATGTATCCTGTGATTCTTCGGTTTAAAAAAGAAGAGGTGGCGGGAAAAAGAAGAAAAAGGATGCTAAGTGCGCATGGCAACGATTCTGTGTCCGGGAACTGATTCTGCTCAGAAATAATTCTTTTTTATTCTGTGCCCGGGAATAATTTCTAAGCATTTGAAGGCGTTTGGTAACTATCCAAAATTTTTATTCTTAGAATAGAAAAAGAACAAAAATGCGTTTGGTAACTATACAAAATTTCTTTTTATTAATAATATTTTGAATTTTTTAATATTTCTACCTTTTTTTTTCTTTTTTTTCCTTCCTTTCCTTGGCCATGGCTGGTTGCCGGCCACAGGCCAGGCCAGCAAGGGCGTCGCGGCCCTCGCCGGTCGCGACGGCGAGGTCGGCCTCGCCTAGCCTCGCCTTCGCCTTGGTTGGGCGAGGCCGACCTCGCCATCGTCGGGGGTGGCGACGGCAAGGCGGGCGAGGCTCGACCTCGCCGTGATCTGGCGAGGCTGACCTCGCCGTCGTCGGGGTGGCATTGGCGAGGTTGGCCTCGTAAGATCTGGGCGAGGCCGACCTCGTCATCATCGGTGGTCGGTCGCCGGTGGCCGATCGTCGGCGATCGGCCGGTGGCGGGCCGATGGCAGACCGGGAAGAAGACGAAGAACAAATCAAAAAGGAAGAAGAAAATCAAGAAGAATCAGAAATGAAAAAATTGTTCCAAAATTAAGAAGTTACTTTTTTTTGCTTCTTGATTCTGTTCCAAAACTGATTCTGAGAACAATTTTTTGCAAATTTGTGCCCGGGCACAAAATATTTAACAAACGAATTTCTGTTCCCAAATTGATTCTGAAAACAAAAAAATAGAAATTTTTACTATTTGGTAACTTACCAAACACCTCCTAAGCAACTACAAACAGGTAAAAGGACAAAGGGTAAGGCTTTGGAATCCTCTAGCTCTGTTTAAATTGTCCTTGGGGTGTGACTTGAACAAGGTGATTCTTCAGTTTGTAATGTGCTTGTTGAAGCTTCTCCCTCCTCAATAGCATACATTCACTTGATGTTGTTCGGGGATACGATTTAGACGGTGAATCAGAGAACAAATCTTTTGCAAATGCAATACGACATGGTTGATACCGAAGGCAACATGCTGTGAACTCCTTATCTTATCGAAAATCTTACTGTGTATATCATGCCGCGAGGAAGGGGATTGGGAAGTGGATCTACACACATTTCGTGATGGCGTGTACGTGTGGAGCACTTTGATCCTCTCATATTGACCTTCGGACATGAATAGCCAAGCGCTCTTGTGGCACAAACCGTCCGGCGAACATGTATTCATCGGAAATGGACATCAGAAAATCTGTACTCACCACAAATGGAGCTATACGTGTGAACGACTGGCACTGGCTCGATAGTCACCTATTTCATTTGTAAATCGCGCTCGAGATGCTCACCTGGCGAACCAAAATGCCTACTTGCTGATTCTGGGTGAAATACCTCATCAGTGTCTCCCATTCAAAATCTCGAACGCATGTGCATCGTCTTGCTGCCTAATGAAAGAAAAAAACCAATGATGCACGAGGACAGGACGGGTGTTCCAATATTAACAAAAGATGTCTGTCGAGTTGGATTCTCAGTCATGTAGAGGTGCTACTCCTTTTGCAAGTCTCTTCAAATGTAAAAATATTTCAAGAGGGACGACAGCACCTCTGAAAGAGCATGCGAAGTTTCAATGCTATGAAAAATGGTCGTATCAATTTGTGACACGATCCATTCGACTAGCTTGTGGGATGACTGAAATTGGACCTATCATTCATACTTTAGTGTATGACTGAAAGAGCACATCATGTACGCTTCCGTCATCATTCAGTGGATGTACTGAGAAATGCACCAAACATTAGTCTAAGTGCTTAAATAAATTTACATATCCCTCGTTAGAACAAAACGATGTGCGATAATTCGGTGGTCACTTTTCAAAATTTCCACACTTTGGAATAAAAATAAGCGAACCCGTTCATCATAGTCATTGTTTAGATTGAACTTCTACATTCCTTTGAAAATAATAGATCTAGCAAATCAGGGGAGGGAAATTTCTTTCCTGAACCCAAATCCACCGAACAGGGTAGATCTCAAACGTTGATTTTATTGGATCCCGAAATCAACGATGGTGATGCATTTGGTCCACTAGGCTCGGGTAAATGCAAGAATCGACCACTCTCGAGTCACCATCATCCACATATTTTCATGGGATAAATGCATTAGAAGTCCTAAAACTTATTATGAAAGTGCATTTGAATCCTAAAACTATCAAAAAGTGTAATCAAGTCCTAAAACTTGTCAAGTTTGTGCAATCGAGTCCTAAAGTTAACATCGTCAATTAGTCTTAACATAGAGAATGCTGACGTGGCATTTTTAAATTAATTTCTCTCTCCTATGTGGTATTATAATTATTATTTTTATCTTCAAATCTTATTTAAATTAGATTTTTATATTTAAATTAGATTAAAAAATTAAAATTTTATTTAAAAAACAACAACAAAAAAAGAAGGGGAGGCCTTGCCAGGAGGGCCCTGCCATTGTCACCCATCGCTAGCCCCCTCGGCGATGGTGGCCGGCCCAAGAAAGGGTCAGCGAGGCACGCCCAAATCTAGGTTAAAGGTGCCCAGATCTAAGCAACACCGGCCCCAAGCGAGAGTTGGCAACCCTCGCCAAGCCCCGGGCAAGGCCTCACCGGCCCTTGGCTGGAGCCCTCAAGGCTCGCCCCAATTTGGGCAACGCCTTGCCTGCCCTCGCTTGGGACCCGCGGAGCTCGCCCAGGTCTAGGTGACGCCAACCCCTGACAAGGGCTGGAATCGCCCCAATCTAGGCGAGCCTCGTTCCCTCGCCTGGGCCAGCAAGGCTCCCTTTCTTTCTTTTTTTCCACGGTTGTTTTTGTATATAAATTTTAGCTTTTTAATTTAATTTAAATAAGATTTAAAGACAATAATAATAATAAAAATACGTAGGAAAAAGAAATTAATTTTAAAATGCCACATTAGCATTTTCGGTTAAACAAATTGATTATGTTAACTTTAGGACTTGATTGTACCAACTTAACAAGTTTTATGATTTGATTGCACTTTTTGAAAGTTTAAGGACTCAATTGCACTTTCGCAACAAGTTTTAGGGACTTTCGCGATAAGTTTTAGGGCTTTTAATGCATTAATGCCTATTTTTATTTTTGCTAATGTGTCGCCTTTTTTAAGATGTCTTATATTTGGTCTATTGATCGATGTCAAGCAGTTACTTATTTCTATTTTGTCAGTCATACATGTTTCTAAAGTCAAATGGTGATTATTATTTAGTACTTTCGTAAGGCAACAAATGAATGGTCAGGGGTATGTAGGTTCTTGCATGGGTAGGGTGTCATAACCCGAATCCACCCTATAAGTTCCGGTTCCAAGTTTTTTTGGAACCCAAAGCCTATCCTATAGGCTCGTAGAATGACTCAAAACATCGGTGGTATAATACCTTGTACTAACTTGTATTTTTCAAATTTGTTTTGTTGTATAAAAGAATATTGCGGTCCTCGTTCCTAATACATTGAACAATCAGTGCAAAATATAAGTGGGTTACAGTATAAAATATATGTTCGTGTCTAATAGTAACATAATTCGAAAATGATAATGATATCGGCGCAGATTACACCACGTAAGACGGCCGGTGTCAACATCAGAAATTTCCAGCTAAAATTGACCATAAGGATTGTATTGGCAAATCGTCAAAAGATAACTAGCAAGATCGAAAGGTTCAGAACCCAATCAACATCAGTACAATGGGTTTGTGAATTACTCGGTAATCATCCCACACTCTAAAGTCCTAAAACCTACCGTATATCCTTCATTCCGTACTTGAAACGCGCAATACAACTATAGAACTATTGAAAAGACAGAACGCGATCATTCTGAAATTCTATAACCTTTCTACCACGATTACCATTTCGATCACGTCATTAGAAAAGAATAAATCGCAAATGACGACCAAGACTTCGTTCACCATGATAAGCGCATCCGTCGTCCCCGTCTCAAAAACAAGTCTTCCCCTCGAATCACCGCGCATGCGCCATCGGCTCCTTGCCATCGTTTTCCCAAAGAACAGCAAGAAGTCAAGCAAGAACGCACTCTCTTTTCACGTGGGTTGGGGTTGGGGTTGGGGGTTGGGGGATGGGGAGGAGGGAGGAATTCCTGCAGAAAAGAAGGTAGGAAGGAAGGAAAGGGAAGGAGGGGGCTCTCGCGTACGGACGGGGGGGCGTGCGTGCGTTTGACCGATGGCGCCAACTTTTTGGGTTTTGGCCAATTTCTCATTCCCGCCATTTCGCCGCACCCGACCCGATCCCTCCCCCATCTCCCGCCTTCGATTCCATGGCTTCCCACGCCCCCGCGTGACCAAACGCCGCTGACCCATCTCTCCTTCTCCCTCCATCTCTTCTGGGTCTTCATTGCCTTTCCAGTTCGAGCCCGATTTCGATTCTGGGTCGTCGGCGATTTCTTGGTCCGATTCGATTACCCCGACAGCCAAAGAGGGAAGGAAAGATCCACGGATGGGATCCGCGGCTTTATTAGACTCCGCAGCCGCGACGGGTAACGCTCCCGCCGCCTCCGCTGATGACGACTCCTCCTCCTCCTCAAAATCGTCGCCTGGTGAGTTCGGGGAACCTCGTTTCTGTTCGTGATGATGGGGGGTCTTCGCGCATTTCGCGTGTTCCATTTAATGCCCGTCGCTTGCCTTTTTTTTTTTGTTTCGCCTTTTCTTGGGGGGGTCATTTAAGGGCTTGCCTGGGTTGTGATTCCTATGGGATTCGGGTTGTGTTGGCGCTTGCATTCCATATGGGTACTTACCAAACTCGCCCAGTTTCGTGAATTTTCCCCCAATTTGGTATCTTTTTGAAATCTGGGTTTTGGGGTTGCTTCCATCGACTGCAGACATTTTCATGCTGTTTGTGTTGTTGTAGTTGCAAGATTCACTCTCGTTCTCTCGCGCTTTCTCTTCTTGATTGGGTTTCTGAGATTTCATTCGGGGTGCTTTTTTTCCGGGTTCTTGCGTTGGTATTGTTCGTCTTCCTCTTGTCATCTTTGTTTTCTTTTCGGGGTTTTCGACTATAGATCTCTAGAGACCTTTTAGTTTGATCTTGGTTTTTGATGGTGTTGGATGGAGTATTTTTTGTTTAGTCTTCTTCATCTTACCGTGTTGAGTGGGGTGTGTGCTCATAGGGATGGCGAAGAAACAAGGCAAGGAAAAGTCTGCTGCTGCTAATCCTAAGAAGGCATCGACGATCAACAGGAAGGACAAGAAACGGAGCTTGCCTCGGGATGGTGAGGAACCCGCTGGTTCCCGCAAGATGCCGAAGCGAGCTGCTGCATGCACGGATTTCAAGGAAAAGTCCATGCTTATCGATGAGAAATCATCTCTGATCGAGAAAAAGAAAGCAAAGCTAGCTGATGAAGAGATTTTGGCGATTGGCCTTACTGCTGGGAGAGAAGAGGGTCGGCCAAATCGGAGACTAGCTGATTTCATTTTGTACAACGAACAGGGAGTCCCGCAGCCCCTCGAGATGTTGGAAGTGGATGATCTGTTTATCTCGGGTCTGATTTTGCCTCTTGAGGAAAGTGCTGAAAAGGAGAAGGACAAAGAGAAGGGTGTCCGGTGTGAAGGGTTTGGACGTATCGAATCGTGGTCTATATCCGGTTACGAAGAAGGATCTCCGGTTGTATGGCTTTCAACTGATATTGCTGATTACGACTGCCTCAAACCGGCAGCTAGCTACAAGAAATATTACGATCACTTTCTGGAAAAAGCCCGTGCTTGCGTGGAGGTCTACAAAAAACTCTCGACATCTTCTGGAGGAAATCCTGACTGCAGTCTCGACGAGTTGCTCGCTGGGGTGATACGTGCAATGAGTGGAAGTAAGAGCTTTTCCAGTGGATCATCGATCAAAGATTTTCTTATTTCTCAGGGCGACTTTATCTACAACCAACTGATAGGCTTGGATGAGACTTCAAAAAGTGATCGTATGTTTGTGGAACTGCCTGTTCTAGCAGCTCTTAGTGATGAGTGTAGTAAGTACGGCAATTTTACGCAGGCAAAATCAGCACCTTCCGGTAAAGGGATAGTCATTGGTTCAAAATCTACAGATGGAGAGGTAGCGGCTCAGTATGGTTCATCTGCTGGTGGGGCTGAGGAAGATGAGGACGTGAAATTGGCTAAATTGTTGCAAGAAGAAGAGTACTGGCAATCAAGGAAACAGAAAAAGAACCAGGGTTCAGCTTCTGCATCAACCAAATTTTACATCAAGATCAATGAAGATGAAATAGCAAACGATTACCCTTTACCTGCTTATTACAAGAATGATGATCAGGAAACGGACGAATTTATAGTCTTCGACAGTGAACTTGATATGGTTGACATTGATGATCTCCCAAGAAGCATGCTTCATAATTGGTCACTTTATGACTCTGACTCTAGATTGATATCTTTGGAGCTTCTTCCAATGAAATCTTGCGACGATATTGACGTTACAATCTTTGGGTCTGGCGTAATGACTGCTGATGATGGAAGTGGATTTTGTCTCGACACGGACACCAATCAATCTTCCCCAGTTGGTTCTGGAGCCCAGCACGTGGATGGAATGCCAATCTACCTGAGCGCAATAAAGGAATGGATGATTGAATTTGGATCATCAATGGTTTTCATATCGATTCGGACAGATATGGCTTGGTACTTTGCTGCTAAAATATCCTTAAATATTCTGGTCTTTCCTGTACTTTTTGTCCACTTGATTTCAGGTTTGCATGCACTTAATGAAGTCATGTGAATGCAAATCTAGAGTGCAACCTGCCTAGATTGTTTGAGGCAAAAGCATATGCATGACACGCGCACGTAATGAGCTAGGCGAGATTGTTTGCAATTTTCGAAAATTATGAAATCCGAAAATTGAAAGAGCCACTCAAATAAAAGCTGATATGAAAGAGCGAATGAGTATCTACTGACATAAATGATATACTCTGGAGCATCTATTTCTGTCATGACATATGGATTATGTTTTAATTGCATTCGTCAACTTAGCATTAGATTCTCCTCTGAAGATAGTATGGACATCATGTTATTTATAATAAGATAATATATCGGTCCCATTTTTTGGCAATTCGGATCTGATGAATATATGTAAAATTGGGCCAATTATGGTTAAATTGAAAGCATCAAATAAAGAATGAATTAAACACTTTTCTGTTTGAGAGGTAAGTTTTGCACCACATTCTGGTGCGAGCGTCAAGGATCGAACCCCAGTTGTGTCCCTGAACCCCCAGAACCCATGCCACCAGGCTGACCGCCTGGTGTGAAAACATTAACCAAGTTTAAAAAGAACATAAAAAGCTAGGAAACGCATAACCGAAGGCATTCTAAATGCATCTCTAAATAGAGACTTTGAGCATTGAAATATACTAGACTAGGTCTTTGATTTATTAAGAAAGATTCTAAGCTTCTTCTGTTTCTTAAATGTGGCCCTTTCCTGACTAGATATCTCTCAATTAAGTTCATGGTATCGTAAAGGGGCCTAGCTATATCGTGTCTACTTGTGAGGTAAATGAAATAGGCAGGTGTTTGTCTCCGTACTTGGCAGGAAATATGCACTTGAGTGTGCTTACTTTGCCTAGATAGTCAAAAAGTGCAAACACGTGTTTTACATCACCCGAGCATTGAACCTACGAGTCGATCAAATTTTTTTGACATTGCATGAATAGAAAAAGGGGGATCAACAGTTGATGACGTTACTGATAATGGCGTTACACATAGGACAACGTACTTTTGATGTAAGAATATACTTTCATGTCATTAAAGAAAGTATTGTGATTTTGTCTCCTCTTAAATGTTGAAATCCTTAGTAAACGGACTGATGAGGATTCGATTTTTCTCTGTATATTCAGGTACAGACTCGGGAAACCATCAAAGCAGTATGCTCCATGGTATACTCCAGTACTTAAGACAGCAAGGGTCGGAATAAGCATTATTACATTGCTGAAGGAGCAAAGCCGAGTATCTAAACTTTCATTTGCAGATGTCATCAAGAAAGTCTCAGAGTTTGAGACATCTCATCTGGCTTATATTTCTTCTAATCCAGCAGCTGTTGAAAGGTATGTGGTGGTGCACGGTCAAATAATACTGCAACTGTTTGCAGTATATCCTGATGAAAAGATCAAGAAGTGTTCTTTTGTGATTGGTCTTTCAAAGAAAATGGAGGAGAGACACCACACCAAGTGGCTTGTGAAGAAGAAGAAGATTATGCTGAAGAACCTGCCAAACTTAAATCCAAGGGCAGCTATGGGATTTGTTTTACCGAAGAGAAAGGCCATGAAGGCGACAACAACCAGGCTCATCAATAGAATATGGGGTGAGTACTACTCCAACTACTCACCAGAGGAAATAAAAGAGGGAACGGGCACAGATGCAAAAGAAGAGGATGACATAGAGGAGCAAGAGGAGAATGAAGAGGATGACAATGAAGATATATCAGTAAATCCAGAGGAAAGTCAGAAAACTGGTTCAGCACCTAGGCGAAGTAAGCCTGCCTCTACACATAAAGAAGTTAGATGGCACGGGGAGTCCGTGGGTCAAACATCTTCAGGTGAAGCTCTGTATAGACAAGCTGTTGTCCATGGTGAAACAATTGCTGTAGGAGATGCAGTAGCCTTGGAAGTTGAGGAGTCAGATGAACTTCCTATGCTGTATTATGTGGAATACATGTTTGAAACATCAAAAGGAAGCAAAATGTGCCATGGACGAATGATGAAGCGAGGAACTCAAACCGTCCTCGGAAATGCTGCTAATGAGAGAGAGGTATTTCTGGTGTATGAGTGCTCAAACATTGCACTAGTCGATATAAAACAAACTGTCGTGGTAGATATTCGTTCAAGACCTTGGGGATATCAATATAGGAAAAGTGATGCCAACGCTGATATGATCGAGCGGACAAAGGCAGAAGAGAGAAAGAAGAAAGGATTGCCACTTGAGTTTTACTGTAAAAGCTTGTATTGGCCTGAGAGAGGTGCATTCTTCAGTCTTCCTCGGGATACAGTGGGTCTTGGGTCAGGAGTTTGCCACTCATGCAAAGTGAGGGAAGTTGAAAACGAGAAGGGAACCTTCAAATTGAATTCATTGAAGACTGGTTTTATCTACAATGGAGTTGACTATCTTGTTCATGATTATGTCTACATAAGCCCCCATTTTTTCACTGAGGAAAGAGTAGAGACCGGAACTTTCAAGAGTGGGAGAAATGTGGGCCTGAAGGCTTATGTAGTATGCCAACTTCTGGAAATTATCTGTCCCAAAGAGTCCAAGAAAACTGAGGCAAACTCAACTCAAATGAAAGTCCGAAGATTTTACAGACCGGAGGAAATCTCAACTGAGAAGGCATATTGTTCTGATATCCAGGAGGTGTAATTTTGGTCCCATTATAGTTGTCACGCCTATTACATGTTAAATTCTTGATTTCACCATTTGATTGCATTATTCCAATTAGAAGGTACTTTTGCTATTAAAGAACGCATTTAAATTTGCAATTGTTGATTATAGGTCTACTACAGCGAGGAAACGCAGATATTGAATATTGAGAGCATTGAAGGCAAGTGTGAAGTAAGGAAGAGGAGTGACATTCCGTCTTGTGATTCTCCAGCAATGTTTCAGCACGTTTTCTACTGTGAACATCTATATGATCCTTCAAAAGGATCACTCAAGCAGGTAATTTGCGTTTCTGCTAGATTCTCTCCCAGCAACTTTTATTCATTTTGTATTGTAAAAGAACTAAAAAGGGGTGTTTAGTAAGAGTTTGCTTTTACGTATTTCATTTCTATAAAATGGAAATAGTAATCATGATCATAGTGGTCATATTAAGGTTTTTCTGGCGTTGGTCAATTTAAGGATACAATCGTGAATCAAAAGATGCATTGTTTGTACCGTGAATCTAATTCATGGTAAATGATAATATTCGTAACAGCTTAAATAGATTGACAAGGTAGAGTAACTCACTGAATTAGGTATTAATTTGGAGAACTAATTACACGATAAGGTATTATTTAAAAGGACAGCATATCATGAGGATACTATCTAATTGATAAGGCCCTGGCATACCGATAGTCAATTTATTTAATCTCTAAAATGAAGCGATCAAATGTGCTTTCAGTTCTGTAGAGGCACCCGTCCCTTCCTTGATGAAACAGCTATGCTCATTCATCCCCCTTCAATTGATCTTATTAGATGCGGTTGTCGATATTTGGAACTCTTAACAAAGTGTAGAAATATAAAGCAGAGTCAATTCTCCATATTTTTTTCCTTCAATGGGTAACAAGTCTATAGTATGTCTCTTTGTGTTCAAACATAACCAAAATAAGATTTCAACCTCAAGAACACTGTTCAATCTATAACTAACCAAGTTCAACTTAGGGTTATGATGAGGTTTGTTCTTAGTCTTTAAAACGTTAAATCTTAGAGGGATAATAAAAGTTAGACCTAATTGAGGTTTATTTGGCTAATTCTAGAATTAATTAACCATCAACCGAAACTTGAACAGGAATCAAATCATGACCATATCTTGACCATCTTGCATGATAATTGCACACTTTGGTAGAATGGACTTGTATATGAATCTAACAGAATTGTACAATCTGAATCATAAGTCCTGTGATTGTAACGACATTGATTGTGATTATTGACTTTCCCTTTTATTTATTTTCCTTTTTCTTTGATTGGCATGATGGATCCTATAAGTATGTAAAAGATCGGGGCGGAATTGCAAGATAACACTTCTCTCTATTTTTTGTTGATAGTTGCCAACTCACATTAAACTTAAGTACTCGGTCGGAGTGGATACTGATGCTGCATCTAGAAAGAGAAAAGGGAAGTGCAAGGAAGGAGAGACTGATTTAGAAATGGAGAAACAGAAGGAAGCATCTCAAGGGAACAATTTGGCCACATTAGACATTTTTGCTGGTTGTGGAGGCTTATCAGAGGGACTGCAACGATCCGGTAACTTCATTTCGTAACTTTTGGTAATCATCTTACTCGTCTATGCACAACTCTGCTTGTCTCTTTTAACTTGGGAAATCTCCAATATGCAGGAGTTTCGAACACAAAATGGGCAATAGAGTATGAAGAGCCTGCTGCAGATGCATTCAAGCTCAATCATCCAGAGTCGTTGATGTTTGTCAACAACTGTAATGTAATCCTGAGGTAGGCAAAATCATTAGGAAGTTTTTCTCTCACACAACCAAGGAGCTAACCAATTGTAACAGTTCTGAGCTTGAAGCAAATGCTAATGCAGGGCCATAATGCAAAAGTGTGGGGACATTGATGACTGCATCTCAACCCCTGAAGCAGCAGAGCTCGCAACATCCTTAGATGAGAAGGAGATAAGTAACTTACCTTTGCCAGGGCACGTAGATTTTATCAACGGAGGACCTCCCTGCCAGGTTATCTTTTATCTATCCTGCATGCCATTCCCTATTCTATGGTTTGTTATCATGACTCAGACGCCATGCTGAGACCAATTTATGTTCCTACCAGGGTTTTTCCGGAATGAATAGATTCAACCAAAGCACGTGGAGTAAAGTTCAATGCGAGATGATATTAGCATTCTTATCATTTGCTGATTACTTTAGGCCCAAATACTTCCTCTTGGAGAATGTGAGGAATTTTGTGTCCTTCAATAAAGGGCAAACATTTCGCTTGACTCTGGCATCCCTCCTTGAGATGGGGTATCAGGTAGAATCTTGCGAATCTGCTGAAAATGAAAATAGTTGTTGAAGATCTCCTTTTTCCTTTTTTCATTTTTCTGAAAGATATGCTGACTTTTGTAAATGCATATTTGTTTCGGAGAGACATTCATGTGCATGCATACACATTTTCCTTTTAGGTGAGGTTTGGCATTCTGGAGGCTGGAGCATATGGAGTTTCTCAGTCACGGAAGCGGGCATTCATATGGGCAGCCTCTCCAGAAGACACCCTTCCAGAGTGGCCAGAGCCCATGCACGTCTTTGCTGCTCCTGAGCTGAAAATCACATTGTCAGAGGATTTGCAGTATGCTGCTGTTCGAAGCACTGCAAGTGGAGCTCCTTTCCGTGCAATAACTGTCAGGGATACAATTGGAGATCTCCCAGCTGTGATAAATGGAGCATCTCAGACAAACCTAGAGGTAATATCACAGATTAAGAATGCTGTGTCAAATCTTACCTAATAGGTTAACCTTGCTACAAAGCTTATCTACTTTCTCTTTGTGCAGTATCAAAATGATCCTGTCTCATGGTTCCAAAAGAAAATAAGAGGAAACATGGCAGTTTTGATTGATCATATATCTAAAGAAATGAACGAGCTGAATTTAATCAGATGTCAGAAAATTCCAAAGCGGCCAGGTGCTGATTGGCGTGACCTTCCCGAAGAAAAGGTAGATACTGATTCATTTTTTTTTTTGGTGGCTATGATAAAGAATATACTATGCGTGATTGTTGGACCAACTAATTTTCAACTGTTTATTGTCCTCTCATCAAATGCAGGTTAAATTGTCAAATGGACAAGTTGTTGATTTGATACCATGGTGCCTTCCAAACACAGCTAATCGGCACAACCAGTGGAAGGGGCTGTTTGGAAGATTGGACTGGGAGGGTAACTTCCCAACTTCCATCACAGATCCTCAGCCAATGGGAAAAGTTGGGATGTGTTTTCACCCTGATCAGGACAGGATTCTTACAGTTCGTGAATGTGCCCGATCTCAGGTATGAAAGTCAATTTCTTCTCTCTGCATTGCCGCTCACTGTGTATATCATCTTCCTTTCCTTCATTTGGAGCAAGGATTTTGTTGTAGTTTGAAGTACAAAATGGGATAATGTATAGCTTCAGTGTCTGCTAGTTTGGATGAAGAGAGAGAAACACGTCATGCTTTTTTGATTTGCGGCTTTTTTCACCTGCCTTGAATGGATTATTATCCTCCTTGGCTAATGTTGGAATCTGTCGATTGTGGATCTAATTTGATCGTATATGAATTATCATTATTGTATGATTTTTGCAGGCATCCTATTCACACCTAGTCAAATTGTTTACTATATGAATTGCATTGAATTACAGTCTAATAGACCATAATTCTATTCTCAATTAGGCAAGAGATTGCATTAAAGGTGACTTTTCACTTAGGCAATGGTCCACAGCGTAGTCCTCTCTTAACTCTTGAACTGCTGTATGGCATTACTACTTCTGTATATGTTATCTTGCGATGGTAGTTGATGGAATCACGCATAACAAAATGCGGTTATTTACTTTTAACGGTAGCTGAATGAATATCTAATTTTTAATCGGTTAAAAATAAAAAGAATTCCGTAAGGATCTAGGAATTTCACAATATTCTCTCGACTTTGGAAGATCATAGATGATTTTCTTTTTTATGTAGAGTTTAAATGTACAAATGTATCTCGAAGTTCTATATCAAGTCACCAGGCACGATCTGAGGATTCATTTTCTTTTCTTCTTTCATCTATTTCAATGCAGGGCTTCCGTGACTCCTATCTGTTTGCTGGAAACATTCAGCACAGGCACAGGCAGATTGGTAATGCTGTTCCCCCACCGCTGGCATATGCACTTGGAAGAAAACTCAAGGAAGCAATGGGCAGCAGGAGGGTCTAATTAGAGGAGAGATCAGGTGGGCATTAGAATGAGCGAATTCAAATGCCCATATTTCTCTTTATTTTGACAGAACAGATACAGAGCAACCGAAGAAGCTTGCCATATATCACTTTGCCGGATGGGCGAAAGCGAGTATTCATGCCTTTTGATCCTTATTGTCTTGAACATCATGTGCAGAGATTGCCTTCCTGAATTGATAGAAGTTGCATCAAATAGAAAATCAAAAAAACAAGACCGGCTCGAGTTGCTGTACAGAGAACTTGCTTCCTATTATATACAAATTAGGAACGTGCGCGAAGGATTCATATATGTTGCTGATGATCATGTATGGGGAACCTGCGTGCGGGTTGGCCCGGGCAACGTTGAAGCGGCGCCGGGTTTGAGCGAGTTTTCTGCCGAGAAATCGCTGCTGTTGAAACCAAATTAGTGCCCATTCGCAAAGCCCCATCTCTAGTATTGTCATCTTTAGTCGACCAAAGAAAAGGTTCAACCAATTCGTAGTGCTTCATAGATCATATAATTGTCAGGAAAATGACTTTGCGCAACTCGATTGATCCTGTGCCCTTCCGGATTAATGGTGAATTTAACTTTCCTTCTATATCTATATTCCGGTGCCCGAGGGCACGCCGCGCCATACCATATTCACATATCGTATCTGTCAGCCAACCTCGCGATTTAGAAGTAAAGGAAAGGAAACCATGATACAGAAACCCAGTGGCGATCGACTTCGATGAACAGGAATGCCGTGCTCCCGGAATTACATTTAAACATTAATTTTATGAAATTAGTGATGGATGTGATTGCTGCTGGATAGTAATTTGGCGGGTAGGATTTGGCACGCGATTCGGCCGACAAAGCCAGGAAGCTATGATGAGAAGTCAAACCCACTTGCATCACCTAACAACAGCTTCCATGAATTCCTACTACAGACAACCCATTTCGTAGTTATGAATTCGTGAAATTGAAGTATTATTTTCTGGAAACGTGGCTGTGGATGAAATCCTTGACCTCCATGATCAGTTTGGTGGAGTGGGCCACCTCCGGGAAGATGTAGAAGGCGTGGAACATGGTCGGGTACTCCACCAGCGCCGCCTCCTTGCCGGACCTCCTCAGCCACTCGCAGTACCTCTTCTGCCAGTCCCTCAGCGGGTCGAAACCCCCCACGAACACCAACGCCGCCGGGAACCCCTCCAGCCCCGCCACGTCCACCGCGTTCGGGCCGCTCACGTTCGCCGCCCAGTGGTCCCGGTCCGCCCCCTCCGGCAAGAAGGCCTTCCAGCAAATGTCCGTCCGGGGCACCGACACCAGCGGCGCATCCACGAGCCGGGTCTCCGATTCGGTCCGCTCCGTGCCCCCGAAGAAGGGCTGGATCGACACCAGCCCCACCACCCGGACTCTCTCGAGCCTCTTCCCCTCCGGCCGGCAGGCCCTCACCGCCACGTGGTGCGCGATGTTCGCCCCGGCGCTGTCCCCGGCGAGGAAGCACTTGGAGACGTCGGCGATCGGGGGCAGGGCGGAGGTCTCGTCGAGGAAGCGGAGGACGTCGAAGCCGTCGTCGTACTGGGAGGGGAAGCGGTGCTCGGGGGCGAGGCGGTAGTTGACGGAGACGACGACGGCGGGGAGCTTGCGGGCGAAGCGGCGGCACACGGCGTCGTAGGCCCTGGAGGCCGCGCTGAGGAAGCAGAAGCCCCCGCCGTGGAAGAAGACGAGGACGGGGAGGGGGGAGGAGGCGGCGGAGGAGGAGGAAGGGGTGTAGAGGCGGAACCAGAGGTGGCGGGAGGGGTCGACGGAGACGTCGGAGGAGGAGACGCCGTTGGCGGGGGTGGGGTTGGGGGCGGACCTGAAGTCGAGGAAGCCGATGAGGCGGCGGTTGATGGAGCCGTCGTCGCGGCGGCAGTAGTCGGTGACGCGGGAGAGGAGGGAGACGGCGACGCGAGTCCTCCAGGGCATGTCCGGCGAGGATGGGGAGGAGGACGAGGATTTCGCCGACGTCGCCATTGGCGAGGAATCAGGAGGTGACGGATGGGTCTTCGGTTCTTTGCAGAGAGGGACAAATGAGGAGGAGGGAAAGATCAGAGGAGAGGTGAGGAGAGGGAGAGGAGCAGAAGACGACACGCCACACGAGGAGTGGGGACAGGGGGCGCGGTACGGGAGTTTGTGCGGGCCCTACTGCCACGTGTCGCGCGTTTATTGGGCCGAGCAATGTTCTCCCCCGCTACATCATGGGGGGAAGGAAATAATGGCGATTTCGGAGGTGGTGGTTGCGAGAAAACATTAGGCGGTGCCGGCACTCCACGTTGGCGTGGTTCCCTATCACTCATGAAGCGTCATGAAAATACAAGTGACGCTGTGGGGCCAGCAAAATTTTTGCCACAAGAAATAGTACTCTTTCTCTCTCATTGGCCTGCAAGCTAGGCCAGCTCTGCACGTTCCGATGCTCGCTCCATTGATGCATGCTAGGCCAACTCTACATGATTCAGCGCTCGCTCCATCGAACCCTGAGAGAGAGAGAGGCACAGGTCGATCGATGGAGCGAGCACCGGAACGTGCAAGGCTAACGAGAGAGGAAGGGTATTATTTTTTGTGGCAAAAATTTCGCCGGTCCCACCGTACCACGTGGTCCGTCGTCGAGGACCATGCCGTCCAAGCCAGGATCACTTAATATTTTCTCAGTGGTTGCCGGCTGGTCTTTTTGGGCGGTAAGTGGGACTGGGACCGGGGAGGGGTGGGGTCCCATCGTAATCAAGAGGAGACATTTATTGGTTCGGCTTTCCTTGACTGAACCCTGCAACATGCTTCTGTATAAAAGCCGAGCGGCATAATGACACAATTTCGGAGGTGGTTGGGTTGCTGGTGTTGGTCCGTTTTTTAGGGGGGGGGGGGGGGGGGTGGGCCCCATCGTAATCAAGAGGAGACATTTATTGGTTAGGCTTTCCCTCGACTGAAACCATAAAATATATTAGGGATAATGACACAAATAGTCTATGAACTTTGATTAAATGTATAATTTGATCTTTGAACTTTTAATTTGTTCAATGTGGTCCTTGAACTTTAGCATAATGTTCGATGTGGTCCCTGAACTTTTAATTTATTCAATATGATCCTTAAACTTTCGGTACATGTTCAATTTAGTTCATGAACTATATAAAAAATGCACAATACAGTCCCTGAACTTGAATTAATGGAAGGACTACATTGAATATTTTTATAAAGTTCAGAGACTATATTGAACATATACCAAAAGTCCAAGGACTACATTGAACAAATTAAAAATTCATGGATCAAATTGCACATTGAGTCAAAGTTTAGGGACTGTTTGTATCATTTTCCCAATATACTGCTGTTTAAAAGCCGAGCGAAATAATTGCAAGAATAGTCCCTGAAGTTTGGCTAGATGTACAATATGATCTCCGAAGGCCCTGAACTTTAGCCTGATGTTCAATGTGACCCCCGGAATTTTAATTTATTCAATGTGGTTCCTGGACTTTTGGTACATGTTCAATGTAGTCCCTGAACTTGATTTAATGGAAGGATTGCATTAAACATTTTTATATAGTTCGGGGACTAAAATGAACATACATCAAAATTCAGAGACAACATTGAACAAATTAAAATTTCAGAGACCACATTGCACATTGGATTAAAGTTCAGGGATCACATTAAACAAATTAATAGTTTATGGACGACATTGCACAATGAGCCGAAATTCAGAGACTGTTTATATCATTTCCCCAAGTTGAGCTCATCTCTTTTTCTTACGCCAAAGAAGTTTATCAGACTCGCATAATTAACGATTGAGATGAAACTATTCACGTCGTTTATGAACTATAATATTGAAGTAGTCGTTTGCTCCCGTGTGCCTTAGCTAGCAATGTCGATTAGATGTCGAAATTCCCTTCCTTTTTTTTCGGATCGAAAATAAATTGAACATTGAGATGCTTTTTACGCTCGTGTGTTAGCAATAATGTTATCCTCTATGCGAAAATTCAATATCGAAGAATCTTAAATTTTCATGATTTATTCACAACAAGATGGATGAAGACACGTACATTAATTAATCTATAGCAATTCCGACTACTCTCCCTTAACTCACTCTTTCTTAATGTATTTTATTTGATCAGGATTGGATACAACTTTCGTTGTATGTGGGGGGGAAGAGGACTGAACTTTTTATATAGGCCGTCAATAGGTATCTTTAATAAGTGTCTTCCATTAAAGCACATAAAATATTCTATCTTAATAAAAGTTGCAACTTCTCATATTCTGTTTTCGTAAAAGTTGCAACTTTTCAAAGTCCATACATTTTTAACATTTAAATAATTATTAAACCATTAATAATATCACGTGAGTTGCAATAATTCTTACATCATCCATTGAGAGTAACCAAAGTAGACTCGCATGCAAGTGTCACAGGTCGGCAGTTCCTTGGCAGCGGAATAGACCGTGCGGCGCCTGGCGCATTGTTCACACCAAGCCAGCCCTCATTCACTAGTTCTTCCAGAGAACAATACGGCGAATATGTACTTTCTATTGGATCGTATCCAGTTAAACTCATGCGTCTAGTCCATCGAGTGAGAAACACACATCTATTTAGGTACGACAATTTGTTTCGTCTTGCCATGGCCTCATTAGGAGAGCGGCATCAGCTCCCGACTAGTTTGTATACGGGAGACCAACCCTGCCTTTAAAGCTCCTAAGGGTATATTTTTTCTATCCTAAAACTCCTAGCACCAACCGTCTTGACACCACTTCCACGACCTAGTTGTATTTCATCCCTTATGTATTCTCACTCTTCACTAAATAACTCCAAGCAGCACTCACAATGGTATAGGAGTACGAGAAAAGGATGGTCTGTGACACAAGGCCATCTCTACGTTTCGCCTAAGAATGATTCTTTAGGAAATTTGTTAACTGTTGAATCGCAAATCCATATGTCTCGAGCGTCAGTTAAATTTTTTCATACTCATGTTGCGACGCGCTTCGTATGATAATTGCCCCCAATTTGCGTGACAACAACGGTGGATGGATCTCTCGAGAGACCATAAAAGCCCTTAAACTTGCAAAAAATATCATTTGATAAATGCGATATACCTCAAAATACTCTCAAAACCATGGACACACGATGTCTTAAATTAGGAAGAGATCCAGCTATGCACATTATCGATTTTGAGGCGCCTTGTATTTGTGCGCAACCGACAATGACAAAGCTTCATAAGTCAAACTCGAACAACTTGCTCATGCATGAATTCCCGTATCTATTTAAGGACATGCTCGGGTCCAGAATTCCCATATCTATTTAAAGCAAAAATAATGCCAACTCACACTACGTATTCGTTCTATTGCTACTAATGGTAATGGACGAGACCAAGGTTTGGTTTTCAATCCAAGGAAGTTAACCTTCGAAGAAACCAATTAGATACTCCTATGTAGACGTGGTGTGTTCTCAATCAGATAGAAAATTGATCGGACCGCCCTCCTTCCCCTCTCCATTCAGGGTGAATAATAGGTAACTAGTAGTGTAGTTAGTGAGCGCGCTATACAGCTTTAACAGTTTCCGCTAAGTCAATGGAGAACGGGAATCGGTGTCCAAACATCAGCTCAATTGAATGCATTCCCGAGAAGAGTTTGCTCATTGGGAACTGCGAAACTTTCCGTACAGAGTCGTTTTCAAACAATGATGCGATATTTTACAAGGCTCACGCAATTTTTTCTTTTTTAAAAAAAATTTTGTATTAATTACTCAAATTGATACATAAGAAATATGGGAAAATTCTTATTAAGGACCCCAAGTTGGGTCTTTTTCTCAAAAGAGGACCCCAAGTTAACATAATATCAAATAAGTGCAAGTGCTATCAGTCTCAGTAAGGGCTGGTTGCCGCCGGCAGCACGATTTCGTTCGGCGACGGAAAAGGCGTTCGTCCTTTTCTTTTTTTTTTGTTTTTTCTGTTTTTTTTCCTTTCCTTTTCCTTTTCTGTTTTTTTTCTTCTCTTTCCCAATGGTCGACGACCTCAGGCAGAGCCCGCCCTCGCCGGCGTCGGGCGAGGGCCACCCTCACCTGGGCTGGGCGGGCGAGGGCGACCCTCGCCGGCGTCGGGCGAGGGCCGCCCTTGCCTGGGCTGGGCGGGCAAGGGCGACCCTCTCCAGGATCTCGGTGAGGGCGGCCCTCGGACTGGGCTAGGTGGGCGAGGGCGACCCTCGCCCGCCCCGCCCAGCCCAGTCGAGGGCCACCCTCGCCGGCGTCGAGCGAGGGCGACCCTCGCCCTTGCCGGATTTGGCAAGGGTCGCCCTCGCCCGCCCAGCCCAGCCCAGGCGAGGGCGGCCCTCGCCCGACGCCGGGCGAGGAGGGCTCACCTTGAGGCCGACCGACTACCACGGCCCGGCTATGGCTATGGCGGCGGAGGTCGCCGGCCATTAGGGAAGAGAAGAAAAAAAACAGAAAAGGAAAAGGAAAGGAAAAAAACAGAAAAAAGCAAAAAGAAAAAGAAAAAGACGAAACTGCCCTTTTCTGGTCGCCGGAATAGTAACCGTGCTCACCGGCCGGCGACCCAGGCCCTTACTTGAGACTAATTGGGCACTTCGGGCTCTTATTTGAGACTGATTGGGCACTTCAGGCCCTTATTTAACACTATGTTAACTTGGGGTCCTCTTTTGAAAAAATGACCCTACTTGGGGTCCTTAATCAAAATTTTCCCGACTTTCATGGTAAAGAAAATCGAAGCAGAGCAAATCTTAGAATACAACAAAACAAAAGCAAAATCCAGAAACAAGGAGGATTAACAGAGCATCAGCAGAGTTAAACACATGCAAATTCCATAAAAATAGATTTGTCAACATGCTCATTTCATGAGAAGTACAGTGACATTCATGGCAAAGAAAATCGAAGCAGAACAAATCTCAGAATACGACAAAACAAAGCAAAATCCAAAAAAAACAAGGAGAATTAACAGAGCCCTGGCAGAGTTAGGTACATGAGAAGTATAGTGACTTTCATGGCAAATAAAATCGAAGCAGAGTAAATCTCAAATTACGACAAAACAAGGCCAAATCTAGAAAAATAAGGAGGATTAATAGAGCATCTGCAGAGTTAAGTACATACTCATTTCGTAAAAATGGATCTGTCAAGCAAAATAATTAGTGGTCGATATTGGACCTCGTATCATCATTAGTGTTGAGCACTTGCCGGAAAGTCCTTCTCCAATAACTACAGCATTTTTTTTTGGCAGTGCACACCTAGGTTCGGCTTCCTCTATAGACAACCAAAACGGGTTGAAAAAGCACAAATCTAATCTTCGTGGTTCAGCGAGATGCCAAAGCTCCTACGATTATCAATGAAACTGGAGGCATAGGACCTATACACGGACAGATCACAAGATATCGAATATTCGAAAATATTATTAAACTCTCAAATCTAAATCGATAGAGAAAATCTCATAAATCTAAAATTAAATTAGGAGAGTTCAAACTCTCAGATCTAGAATTAGACCGGAAGAAAAGAGGTCTTGAATTTAGATCGGGAGAGAAGAAAAAATCAAAAAAATAATAAAAAGACTCGAACAAAATCAACGGAAGGGGAGGGAGAAGATAGAGAGAAAAACTTTTCGGCTTCTAAGGCTCACGCTATTTACACCTCTCAAACGCACCTCCTTTCCGGTTGTGCGTAAGCAAGAAGGACAATTGAAGGTAAAAAAAGACAGCCTATTTTTGGGTGCATTAAATGATTTGGAAACGACCCCAAATGGACTTGCTTTTCGACCACCTACCATTGAACCTTTCGTAGCAAGAAGTGGGTTAACAGATGTAGACAATTTTAGTTTTCGAATGCTTTTAATGTTAGTTCTTCGTTTTCATACCCCACCCAAGATTGACTTGGATTTTTCGACCGTGAAGGCATGGGAGAGTTTAGAAGAGGTTGGTGTCAGGCCATCTATAACTTTGCTTTTTAGCAGTTAGACTTAGGTCGGGTCTACCGGAATTTTGGGACCTACCCGATCGGGTTCGGTTGGACCTGAGGTCGGGCCCAAGGTGTCGTGCCTAGACCTTGCCGTGACAGTCGAGCCGAGATGCTCGCCCGAATTATATCTCGTGGTTACAAGTCTGATAAGCAAAAACTTTTGCCCAAGGCCGCCGACTAGCGCGGGGCGTCTCTCCGACCCATCCATATCACCCGGAAACATAACGAAGGGCCGGAACTCCGGTGGGTGAAGATAAGTATGAAACTTTTTTCCAAAAAAATAAATAAAAAGTAAACATCTACGAAAGACAATAGGATATGACATAAGTAAGAAGGAAGCTCTCCTATTCGAGGTTTGCTTGGCTCTCAAGAAAATCCTTGGTAGAGCGCCGTGAAAAGGGCTTGTGGACGATCACAATTGGTTTCGTTTTCAATCTCAATCGAACACGAAAGAGACTCTTAGAGAAAATGACATTAATCGTTCATCGCATAATCGTTTGAATTTGTAGCACGACTGGTCCACTTGCTATTCTTTAGGCAAATAACTTCCTTTTTTCTATCTAAGGAATATAGAACTTTATAATTTTCATTCTACTAGAGTACCGATTTTATTTTTTAGAAACTCTTCTTGTTTTTTTTATTCGTTCTCTTTCTCATACTGTTTTTGCTCGCGATTCTAAGCATGTTTAGTCTGACTCGATATCATGTAACATCTAGGCCGAATAATATGGAAAACATTTTTCAAAAAACAATCGCTTGTGTCGCTTGAAATAATTAGCTGATGAAGGATGTTTTCATTATCGATAACAGTTTATGTCTAAACACATCCGTGGGAGATGAAAATATTTTTCGTCCGTTCATTTTTGTAAGTAAATCAGACGATCAATTTTTAAAAAATATTTTCTAAATCTTTCATTTTCCGCGAAACAAACGTACCCTCAAATTTCAAATTGCTCGAATAATTAGTTAAGTAGATCCTGGGCAAGAGCGGGCCCTGATAATTCGTGCTCTTATGTAGTAATCGTGCCATATCAAAATCACGGGCCATCATTCGACCAAAATATTTCATGGGCCTGACCAAAAAAATCCATGGGCCAAACTTCAAATGCGTCGTGGGCCATTTTTAGCCTCGAAAATCTACTGTTTTTTTGTGGATTATTTGGGGTCATATTTTCAGTTTCATACCACATTTTTTTTTCTCATTTTAATAGTTTAATCGATATTAAGTTCGATCGAAGAATTCAACATCTTTTCTATTTTGGAATGAAGAATATATCATGCTTATTTTGTTAAAGCTATAAAACTATGAAAATTTTGGGGCTGGACCATCTGATGCTTCATCACGTGGAGCTCGAAATTCTTGCTTGGCCCGGACTTTGAAATGTAAAATCCGCTTGAGGACTGGACCGACCATTTCGAGTCGCTTCTCCGGGCTTTCGTGTTGATTTTTAATTTGCACCCTTAGTCCCTAAACCGCTCGTGGATTACCTTAAGATATCATCGATCTGTATATATATATCCAATTTATATATATATATATCCAATAGGGCTTGGCCCTTTGTCCTTCTCGCCCCCGCGAGAGCTGGGCAGGCCCGGCCGGTCGCCCGCTCGTCGATCAGGTCTATCGCCCCGGGAATAAGAGGTTGAGGGTAATGGTCGAACATATGAGTATGAGCCAGATAGAAATGGTCAACGCATAGGTCCTCATCCCGGACTCGTTACCTCTTACAGTATGCTTGTTCACATCAATGGTTATTGCGTCGCCATGGATATAATAGCCAAAACCGTGATAGCTAGCCATCGCAACCGAGTTGTGGTAAGTGTTCTCAAAATACTCCAATCCTCGTTCCTTTTAAGCTTATATTAATTAGTTTAAAGCGATATTTTTATGTAATTTCTCGCGACTCGATGTAATAGCTATCGCACTGCTTGTTTCTTTTTTTCGTTCCGCATCGTCCCTAATCGGTTCTCGTACGATATTTGAGGACCATAGTCTAAGTAAGTAAAAGATTTCTATTTGTGAATTTGAAAAAACCTAGCCAAAAATCCATAGGAAAATTTGTGAATTCACGATCTTATATGTTTGAAAGATTGAAAATTTTCCGAAACTAAAGAATCTTCTCTTCTTTTTTTTTTGGCTCTTTAATCAATGAAATGGATAATTACGCGAATCGTTCATGACCTTCAGCTCGGTGTGTAATGTCATCCCCGAACTTTTATTTTGCTTAATACGGTCCCTGAACTTTTGGTATATACTTAATCTAGTCTCTGAACTATATTAAAATGTACAATGTTATCATTGACCTCGAATTAATGAATTGAATATTTTAATATAGTCCAGGGACCGGATCGAGCACGTACCAACCGTTTCGAACAAATTGAAAGTTCATGGATAGAATTGCACACCGGGCTAAATCTTAAGGGATCACATCGAGCAATAGATTAAAAGTTCAGGGACCACGTTGCAACGCCCCGATCAAAGTTCAGGGACCATTTGCGTCGTTCTTCCGAACCGAGAACGGAAGTCGGAAAAGGGACTCTAGAAAAGGGGCCGTCGGCCCAAGCTGCCTGTCTCCCCCTCTGGCGAATCGAACCCCGCACCACCACCGCCGGCCAATCGCTCTCCGAAAGAGTAAAAGACTCGGGTCGCCTCCGAGTGTGGCCAGTCCACTCTCTTCCCCGGCACGACACCAACAGATCTCTCCATCTCCGTCTCTCTGCAGCTGCGAGCGTCGCCCCCATCGAAGGAGGAAGGAGGAAGGAGAGATTGGAGGCGCCGACGATGATCGGGATCGTGAACGGCGAGGACTCGTACAAGCTCCTGAAGCTGCTCAAGCACGACTCCCGCCCGCTCCGCGACGTCCTCGCCGACTTCGACGCCGCATTCCCCCGCTCCCTCCGCTTCCCTCTCTGCACCTCTCTCTATCTCATCCTCCAGGTAAAACCCCCCCTCTCCTCCTCCTCCTCGTCCTCATCGCTTCCTTTCCCCCCTCCGCCGTCCCGCGCGAGCCGCGAGGGCCGGTCGGCCGGCCGCTCCCTCCTTTTGTGTGGGGGGGTAGGTTTTCTTTGCGCGTCTTTTGGTGTCCGCCGCGTAGGTTTGCGGCGTTTCGGTCCGTGCGCCGGTGGAGTCCGTCCTTGAGCTATTCCGGTGAAGGTATACGGTGGCTAGGGTTTTTTTTTTTTGGGGGGGGGGGGGGGGGTGGGGCCTTTAGTCTTCGGCTGCGGACGATTCTGGAGAGATTTGGTCATTTGTGCGTGTGATACGGAGTGGTGCGGGAGGTTGGAATTGTTGATCGGAAACTACTCCGGTATCCTGTTCCGTACCATGAATAGGCAAGATGGGTTACATTGAAAAAAATGAAGGGATTGCTCGCTTATTCGATCTTCATTCTTTTGGTGGGATTTCTGTATAATTAAGTGAAGTATGCGAAGGCGTTCAATACAATTTTCAGCTGGCAAATGCTGTTATCTTCATCTCGATTTGAATCGGACCTGTATGCAGTATGTCTACCTTCTATGCCGTCATAAGAAAAGTTGGAGATAAACCTGGCAAGACAATTCTTTTTTTCCTTTTCTAATGGTTTATCCTTGTCCAGCCATATGGATGCTGCTGTTCCATGTGAAATGGAAATGGATGCGGCTCAGTGGCCGCAGAGCAGCGCGTGGGATTTAGAGCAGTAACATGGTGGAAAATTGGACCCACTCAGCTTTCTTTAGGAGCAACCCTAGACTTGCCCAAGTCTGGAGGACCGCATTTTCTTATGTGAAACTTGTGCCTGTAATTAATTTAGGAAATCTGCAAAATTCTTTTTTTCTTTGTCTCCTATGAAGAGTACCTTTTCCTGCTTGATTAGTTGAAATTGAAAATCGATCGTTGTATTGAAGCACTTCATAAGTGGAAGTTTTACTGGATTGGTGATAAATTTGCCTTCCATAGGGAAAATGCATTGAATTGCTCAAAGAGGAGAAAAGCAGCTACCGGACCTTCCATACGGGCAGCTGCAATTTAATATCGTTGATAGACTGTGCCAAAATATTTAGGCTTATGTTTTCGGGGTAGCATGGTTTTAGAAGCCAAGACCTCAGTTGACCCTAGACAATTGCCAAATTGTGTGTCTATGCTCTCAAGAACACCACAGTTAGAAGAGAGGCTAAGCGATTATTCTTGTTGTGGCTGTTAACTTTGGTCTTCCAGTAACTGCAAAAGTGGTTCTTTTTGAGTTCTTACTGCTCTTATGTTTCTTTTTGCTTACCTGTTGACATCATGTCCTGGCAGGACAAGATTATGCTCTCTCCTACCGAACGTTTGGTGGCATTCTCTATTCTGCATCAGACATATGCCTCACACTCTCCTTCTGCAAATCCATTTATATGTTTTCTTGTAATTGTAAGTGCTGCATCCTATTTTTTACTCTGATGCTTCTTGAAAATTGCGGGATCTTCTATATTCTTCGGCTTGCTATTTTGCACTCTGATTCTTGTAGGAAATTCTAGGATTATGTCATTTTATTATCGAGTCAACAATCCTACATTATATTTAACTTGGTGACACTGTGATCATGGATTGATAATTCGGTAATGCAAAGATGCTGGGCCAGTATGTTAATCTCTGGTAAACTTTAAGTGGAGACATGTTAAATAAGCAATCTGCAATGCCTTGGACCTCGGGGTGGGATGGGAGAGAAGTGTGTCCTATATGGGAGCTGGTGGCCCATTGTCTTACGCAGTGAAAAGAATTTGATTTTATAGTATGTGGTTTTAGCATCTGCTGTTATAGTAATTAATGCATGTTTGAGCATGTCAATATTTGATAGATAGTTCAATTGTAAGATGATAATGCCAACCTTGTAAATATGTATATTTATGAAACTGTTTAGATTTAGTGGTCGATATAAAATGTCATATTGAACTATCCGTACTCGCATTATCAAGTGCTGGTGGTACAGCCTTAGACAGATTATTTGGGTTTATATCTCTTTCTATAGTGGATTTACCTTTGATGCTTGATGGGTTCCCATGTCTCATTTGGACCTTGTTTAAGATACTACGAAGATTCTGTGTAATGAAGTCCTGCAATCTGTTGTGTATTATCATGCACAGGCCGCGTGTGATGATGGTGCTGAAAAATTCGAGAGGGCATTTATCGTCCAGTTGTTGGAATCAAGTTCCGGCAGTGCCAAAGAGGTGAAAATATCTGTTCGACATTTCAATCTATAAATAAAAACAAAAAAAAAATGCAGTTCATCCTTACTATCTGTTGGGCGTAGGTTGCGTAATTTAGTGCAACGGTCATTAGTCATCCTGTTCTATTTTTCTGTAGCTGATTCTGTGAATCTGTGGCCGGAGAGACATCTGTGATGTGATATAGGTCTTTGGTTGTTTATATCAGTCCAATGGTTAAAGTCCTTAGACAGTTTGTGCAATGATGAAACTCTTAACAGTTTGGGAACTATTTGTTATGTTTGCGCATCTATAATATTCCTGAAATACCTGCTTAAAATTAGTTTACACTGTTTTCAGTTGGACTATCTCATTGAAGTTTCTCTTTTAGGGAAAACCTATATCTGTAGCAATTTCTTACATGTATTTGTTTTATCTGAGGGCGAGGCGATTAAATCACATACTGAGTTAAGCCCACTAATATTTTAGTCCCTTCATCTTTCGTGGTATGTATGAATTTGTGCTGATTGAGACATCTGACGGCAATGTCTCTGTTGCAGATTTTTAAACAGTCAGCTTCAGATTATGTGAAAGGTTTTGATCCCTCAATGCATGTAAGTCGTGTTCTTGCTTTTCATGTATCTTCTTAGTTGAGACATTGATGAGTATATCTGGATAATCACTGGCTAATTTTTTGCCCCTCTATCAATTTTTTAGATTTGCGGTGGAATTTTCTGCACCTGCTAACAGATTGGGTATTGTCTTTCCTATTAATTGTCAGACTTTCCCAGCACTTGATCAGTTGCAGCAGCAGTATTCTGATGGTGCTCATTCCGAATCGTATAACTGCTTATTCAAGGATACGAAAGTGAAAAATGTGATGCCAGACCCAAATGTTCCATCTGGATGCAACAAAAATTCACCAGAGTATGTCCCTTTTGTCTGAAGAATTTGTGCAGCATCTTTTGTTATCTTGAAAGTTTTAGGTCACAGTTCTTGCGCTGAGAATTAATCGTATTTCTTTTTAAGGAGAACTTTGTTTGCTAGCCTTTGTCTAACAGTTTGAGCTCATGACCTAGGTTTGATCTGCTACCCGGAACCAAACCAAAGCTTGGGTCTGGAGATAGAGATGAAACAATTGCTGGGTTGCTATCTAATATTTCACTAGAAGGATTGGGTCCTCGGTGGATCAGACCTCGGCCTCCAAGGCTTCCAATACAGGATGGGGAGGTAAGACATGGAGGATATGCTATTATTAATTGGAGGACTTGTCATTCACCTGTCAATGCATTTTCAGCTAGTATGGCTAATACCTGACAACAATCACGAGCTTCTTTGGGATTATGGGATGTGTGCCGATACTAGCAGAGGGGCAGCAGTTAGGGATTTAATTGCAAAAGCTGCAAAAGGACCACTTGTGCCTGCACAGCAAGAGGTACTTGTTTATCTTTTCAATACTAGATCAAACAAATACTGAGAGAACGCATCTTTCCTGCATGGTGATTGGCTAGTTTGGACTTACTACTAAGCATGCCTATTTTGCCACTGGAAGTAACTCTTTACATTGCATTTTTGTCGTGGGTTGGGTAATGGGATTTTCTGAATTTTTCCCGCTTCTTAGTGAATGAGTTTTGTTCACCAATTTCCACTTTTGAGGGATGAAATTGAAGGGGTTTCAAGATTCTGGAAAATTGGTTGATTCTGAACACTTGTGTTTATATGTCCACCTTCTGAAAAAATATGATTGTTTAAAGTGGGATCTTTCAAAATCGCAAGTAATCTTGGACTTTATTACATTCCACCTTGTGAACGGATGCTCCTCAGCATTTCTTTCCCGTAGATTGTTAACCGAGGATTTTGGCGGGGAAGCTGCTTTTTAATGGCCCATTTGATATTTGGGAAGAAATTGCTGTTAATGGATCAATTTGTCTTCAAGATTCGTATGATTACTTTTTTAGTGATATCTCCGGTTTTGTGGCTGTTTGACGGTTTGCTCAGAAGCAGTTACACTTGTACCTGAATTGCCATTTATATCTGTGCTTCTTGTCTAATTGATGACCTAAGGCTCAACTTCTAAATGGCCAGAAAGTATTGATGGAGTTGGCCAATGACCCAAAGCTTGTATATCACTGTGGACTGACACCAATGAAGCTACCGGTATGTGATTTTCTGTGGTTTCATTTCTTGGCATTAGTATAAGCAAAAAATTGGATTTTTAGTATCTGGTTTTGTTATCAGGATCTGGTGGAAAATAACCCTCTCATTGCTGTCGAGGTTCTCACCAAGTTGATTAATTCTCCTGAAATTGGAGAGTATGTTAAGCATCTATGCTGTATTTGTTCTTTTACTTGAGCCAGTGAATACTTATAGATGTGTTCCAATTGTCATGCTTAATACGCTTTTGATGTCAGGTATTTTACAGTACTTGTCACAATGGAAATGAGTCTCCACTCTATGGAAGTTGTGAACAGACTTACACAAGCTGTGAAATTGCCATCTGAATTTTTAAGATTGTACATAAGTAACTGTATAGCATCCTGCGAGAACATAAAGGTACCTCATGGGCCTCACCTCACCTTCTTTTCTCCCCTCTCTATTGAGCTAGTTCATTGTTAATACTGAACTTACAACTTGTGGAAACACGTCTCTGGATTCCTTGATGAATGTGTGATGATTGATGGAATGGTAGTGAAGATGAGGATGAGAGTGTTTAGAAGAAGAGGCTATGCATTTCGAGCGGAGTTGCGCTAAATAAAGTACTTGAAAGAATTTTTTGGGGCAGTTATTTTGTCCTCTGGTCAGTTATGGTGAGAGCATGATTTTATCAATCATGGGAAGGTGCATGTGATCGGTAGACCTAAATTAGTTGGTTTACTTAATAAACAATCAAGAATTGCTATCCTTGCTGGATAGTTGTGATGTCATCATCAACGTTGAAGGGAATTGTTTGCGATATGATTCTAGATAGAGTGGTTCGGTTTTAAAGATGAAGCAATACCATTTATCCAAATCGATAATTCTTTTTTGATGATATATAGTGTAGTAGTACACTAGTAGAGGTTCTGGTGTCTAGTAGACAGTGTTGACACTAGATAGAGTGGTTCTGTTTACAGATGAAGCAATGCCATTCGTCCCAATCGCTAGTTCTTTTAATGATATACGATGTAGTAGTACACTAGTATGGTACGGGTGCTGATAGTGTTGATTGGGCTGGTGGAAGCACAGTTGAAGTGGAGGTCCAATAGTCTACCACTGATGTTTTAAATCCTGTAGTATATGTTTTGTGGTTGAGTGACGAAAACTGTATACTTGGAACACAAAAGATGTTACTACGTGGCAATATGCAGGAGTAAGAAATTTTAGGGCAGTCAGCAATCCTATTTGCCCATAAAGCTTGTTGTCTTGTTTCTTTCTCTGCAAATGCTGATAGCTAGATAGCAGTTGTTTTTAACTACTGTCTTTATAGCTCATCTCATCTTTTTGGCAGGACAAATACATGCAGAATAGACTCGTCAGACTTGTATGTGTTTTCTTGCAGAGTTTGATTCGGAACAATCACATCGATGGTAAGTGTTCGCATTTATTCATTTTCTTCGTGCATTGGATTGTCCTTTATTTCTTTTCTTGTTGGGCCTTTGAAGGTGGAATCCCGTGCGTTCTGCGTGCGTTTGCAGAATTTGATATCTGCAGGGATAATGACATCTGAATTTTTTTGGTAATGTGGGTCGAGATTGAGCACTCTGTTTTTCTTTTTCTACAATGAACAAAAAATCCTTGTGACAGAACGAGATCTGCATGCTATTTGTTTTTGAGTATGCTGTCCTGCTATAGCGAAATGAATAACTAGAATATTCAGCGTCGTTTAGAATGATATTGGTGGGGATGATCTGTTTCTTACATGGTTTGTTTTTTTGCCTTCTTCTGTATGTTGATGATTTTGGGCAGTCAAGGAGATCCTGATCGAAGTCCAAGCCTTCTGCATAAACTTTTCACGGATAAGGGAAGCAGCTGGGCTGTTTAGGCTTCTCAAAACCATGGAAGGATAGAATCCTTGTTTACCCATCAAATTCCTAGTTTCTTCCAAAAGTTGCATGTTGTAGATAATGATGGTTTCATTGCGAGATTTGTAGGAGATGTTGGATCTCTCTCTCTCTCTCTCTCTCTCTCTCTCTCTCTCTCTCAGTTGTAACACAAAAAGGAACATTTTGAGGTTCTGTGGCAAACCATCTGATTGGTTCAGCCAAACAAGCCATTCTTGCACTTTGATTGATCACAAACGACGGAGTTATCATGCTAGTGAAATCACGGAAGCTAACAATGTTACTTGCCTTGCGGGTGGCGATTTCGGGGTCATAATGGTTCTATTGTGTCGAATTAAAGCTCATGTTGTTATACATAAGGTCGATCCGGCTATGTGCAAAAACACCCACATTTCACTTCATTAAACAGGCAACTCGAGCCGACATAAAGAACCTGCTTAACTTAATACGTCAACCGGGTGAACCAAGATGCTTTCATTTCATATCCTTTGCCGTTAATGGCACCATTCTACGGGGACCTCGAGCACCTTAGCTTCTGTAACCGATCGCCTGCCCGCCCTTCCATAAATATGTTGGGAGAACGCAATCTTCATGATCAATATGTCCATCGTGTCCGCTTCGTTTTTCAAGACAGTCCCCGTAACAGGACCTAGACCTTCACAGTCATTCTGACCATCACCTCAACTACCCTCAATTCCATCAACCCCCGATGTACCGTCTGTATTTTACATTTTTTTTCTCCACTTCTGTGTTTGAATACATTAAGTAGATTTTGATCGCTTAGATAATTGAGTGGTCTGTGGCTTGAATAAGTAACATTTAGTTGAAATGAGTCATAGTGCATACCGCAATTTTCAAAAAAAAAGAAGAGAAAAATCAGACACATCCTTAACATAGTCATGCATCGTCTAATCTCAAATAATAAAGTATAAGAAATGCACATAGTAGATAACTTAGGCAATGCCCATGGACAAACTAGTGAAAATTACTTAAAAAGTCATAAACCTATTGTACTTGCGTCAATTCAGTCATAAACCTTTTAATTTGATCAATTGAGTCTTAAATTTTTTGACTTTGGCTGAAATTTTTTTGAAAATTTGCCAATATTGTCTATCCGATCAACTTTGACTGAAAATCACTGACATGGATGCTAGCCATTCTACATGGTATGGCCCGTGTTGAATGGACAATTTTTTTAATTTTTTTAATTATTTTTTTTATGAATTTATATATATATTTTTCTTTATTTTTTTCATTCTTTCTCCGCTGATTGCTGAGCCTCGGCGATGGCTAGGGACCAGCCAAAGGAGGCAACCGGCGAAGATCTCTCTTGCTAAATTCGGCGGGGTCGAGCTTTGCCAGAGGCCAACAAGGATTAGCTTCACCAGCGAGGGCTAGCCTTGCTAGCTTTGCCTCGTCTAAGGCTGATGAGGTGACCCTCGCCGGTCGTCGCCTATGGCCGGTCGTTGGCCATCGTCGAGGCCAGACGACTGGCGGAGGAAGAAGAAAAAAAGAAAAAGACAATAAAAATTGCAAAAATTGTCCAAGTTAATATCGACCACGCTACGTAGGACAGTCGACGTCCATGATAGCGATTTCCTGTTAAAATTCGCCGGATGGAATACGTTGGCAAATTGTCAAAATTTTTAGGATTCAATTGACAAAATTGAAAGTTTACGACTGAATTGATATAAATATAATAGTTTTAGGACTTCTAACAAACTATTAGCAAAAGAAGTTAGGCATGAAGAGGCTTTGTTAGGGAGTGTTCAACGAGGAAAATAGGGGTGGAAAATACCCATAATTTTAAATTTTCTCCCCATTTTTATCTCATAAAACTTTTAATTTTTTTCTCGATTTTCCATGCAAATTTTTCTCCCATATATTTTCCTTCACTCTCCCGTTACATCAATTTTCAAAAAGGGTAATGACATAAATAGTCCATGAATTTTACCTCAATATGTAATGTGGTCATTGAATTTTCAGTACATGTTTAATTTAGTCTCTGAACTATATGAAAATGTTTAATGATACATGTATCAAAAGTCTAGAAATCACATTGAATAATTTAAAAGTTTAGGGATGACATTGCACATTACGCTAAAATGGAGGGATCACATTTAAAAAATTAAAAAATTAAAAATCATATTTTATATCGGGTTAAAATTCAAGGATCAATTGTGTCTTTTTTCCTCTTCAAAAACACTAAAAAGTGGCATTATCAAGAGAGAGTCCAGAGTGTTCTCGCCTCGTGTAGCTATCCTACTCGCTAAACGGTTCCAGAGTGTCCACGCCACGTGTAGCTATCCTACTCACTAAATCGTTATATATATAGAGACACTGCTCATAATCATGGATTGGACATTGGAAGATGGTTAAGTTGCTCCACGTTGATTGTTTAAAATCAATAGATGGAAAATACGTCAAACAATGAATTAGACTCACTTGCATAAGGATTCGTACCACAAAAAACCCTTCATTAGTTTCCGTTAAATTTGATTAATACCTCAAAAAATCACAAATTAGTACACCTATGACAAACGGAGAATAAAATCCAAAATTGCTATCTCTATCAACTGCCGCAAGTTGTTTAACAAAGCAATTTAACAGTAAAACTTAATAGAAACTAACGGAGGATAAATTTGTCACGTGTATACTAGTTTAGGATTTTTTGTGATCAAGAAATTAGTTTGGGGTAAAATTATCACAGATGTACCAGTTTGGGATTTTTCGTAGTATTAACTCATTGCAGAAAATGCTATTCCAAACGAACACACTCTCACTATCAAAAGAAAAAAAATTCTAGTATGTCACATCAGACATCAGGATCGAAGCTGAAAAAAACGAAGCGGATGCTGTGGAACGGCTTCGAGGGGGAGGCCAAGCATTGTACTCTCGAACAGAACCGCATCTTAAATCACCTTAACATCGAGTTTTGGACATGCTTCTAAGGTTGCCCCACGTGAGATCTCGCGATCCTGGCCGTCGTCGTGAGAGGCGGAGGTGAAATTGCCGTAGGTCTGCGTCGATTTCGAACAAAGGCATTGGTCAAGATTTTAGTTGGACATTTTAATATTCTCTTTTGCACAATTTAATATTCTCAAATGAGCGTAAGACTTTGTGGGAAAGAGATTTTTGGTTGGACATTTTTTTTTGGGTTGGGAAAAGGACAGAGCCCGAAAATTATATGTTACTTTCCTATTAAAATATGATCCAATCTGATCCCATGACAACAAAAAAAGTAAACTTATTTGTAGCCTATCTAACACATAATTATTAACCGCATTGTTGGGTTGGATAATCCAATTTGCTAACCAATCTGCACATGCATTTCCTCCTTAAAATTATGAAGAATCTTGACATGTTGAAAATACTTGAGCAATTTGAGAAATGAGTACATCACCAAAATGAAGCGATGAAGTTGATTTTTGAGGTAGAGAAATGGTTGCCGAGTCCGCCTTCATGATAATTTTGGTTGGACATTTTATTATTCTCTTTAGGACATTCTAATATTCTCTTTCTTTTCATTCCCAAATGAGGGTAAGATTTTTTGGGAATTTTTCTTGATAAGGTTCTTTCTCTATCAGGATATTAATTCGGATGTTTGGATTTTTTTAAACACCCGACCCATCTTCAAATAACAGTATAACTATTCCTCCGTCCCCTCTCCTGCTTTATAAAATCCCTGCGTTTGATAACCCGAATAGGACAATTTATTATCTTATCCGGTGTTTGGAAAAGGTCCTCCGAACCGGATAAATGGGGATACATTCGAATAAAGTGATGGATAAGATGGGGTAGGCAGCGGGATAAATCTGGATTGAATAAGATAAATTTTAAAAATATTTAAGGATATGTGCAATTGAAGTCTTAAAACTTGTCACGAAGGTGCAATTAAGTCTTAAAACTTGTCAAATTCATTCAATCAAATTCTTCTATTAACTCCGTCCAACTTGACTATTGAAAAATGTTGACATGTCTTATTTTTTCTTAAGACACGTGACGATGATATGATGCCCACTAAATGCCATGTTAGAAATAATATTTAAAAAATAAAAAAATATAAACTAAATTAGATTGAAAAATAAAAAGTCTAAAGTTAAAAAAAAAAAAAACAAACAAACAAACTCAAGTCCTCACCAGTGGCCGCCGCCACAGCTGCCTGGAAGGGCCGACGGAGGTCGCTTGGGCCTTCCAAAAGCCCAGCGACCCTTGTTGGCCCCAAGTGAGGCCTTGGCGGCCCCCAGCAAGGGTTTGCTGGCTCATATCTGGAGTAGGACGCGACCCTCGCCCTAGATATGAGCAAGGGTTGCCGTCAAGCCTAGCCAGGGTCGGGGGTAATTTTTTTTTAATATTAAAAATATTTCAATTTTAATATTTTTTTTTTAAAAATATTTTTGCTATTTTTTCCCTTTTTTTTTTGTCTTTCTTCTTCCTTTTGCCAATGGCCAGCCGCAGGCGAGGGTCACCGTCGCCCGCCAAAGGCAAGGCCTAGCCTTAGAGAGGGCGTGCCTCGCCAGATCTAGCCTGGGCAGGGGCAATTCCCAACAAGGGAGCCCTCATCGAGGCTCGCCCTCGCCCAGGTGAGGCTAGCTTGCCCTGCTATGACCGGTGACCGGTCACCGACCAAAGGAAGAAGAAAGGAAAAAAATAAAGAAAAAATATTAAAAATATTAAAATATTATTAAAAATTGTCCATGTCAATGCCGCTTGTGACGGTTGGCGTCCACATCAGCCATTTCCGACCAAAATTGGCCGGACAAACTCAACTGGAAAAATGTGAAAATATTTAGTATTCAATTAGCAAAATTGAAAAGTTTATGATTAAATTGGCAAAAATGCAATAGGTTCGGGATTTTAAGGACAATATTCTCACCTTTGGTGACGGAGGCTTCTTGATGGGCCGCAATGAGATCACCTTGAGCTTGGCGATGAGATCACCATAAGAGATAAAGCGTCACCAGTGGCTATGCGGCGGCCGCCACCCAATTCTTTGTCCCTTACCCTTTGCAACTATCCCCTCTAATTCCTTCTTCCAACATGTTTTATTATTTTTTTCAAGGATTACAATTTTTGTTTTCTAATTTCCATTTTTTTATTTAATTGAATTTTTTTATTTATTTTTCAATCTTATATTAGGTATACCAAACACTTGATAGGATAAGATATGTCTATATTTACTATCCGGAAGATTTTTTTATCCTACTTTATTTTATCATATCCTGATCTTCTCTTGACGACCAATGTGAGCTAATAAATTCCGAAAATGCACAGTTCCCCTCCAACATGGCTTCTCCAGTCCGGGGGAAACTTGCATGTGAGGTTCTAGCCGAAGACTCGGTATATTGTACTAAAATGTGTACATCTCCATAATTCGAGTGAGATTGTCATGGCGTAAGAGCAGATATGGTCCCGTATCCCCTAGTTTTTTTGTAGTGGTTATGATAATAATTTCTCATCTTCTAAGCCAATAAATATTAGCGACCAAAAAAAAAAGCCAATAAATATTGAGTTAAGATCGACACTCAACTCTAATAGCCTTGCAATTACAAGAACAAGTCCCCAAATTTGATATAAATGCGAATTTTGTCACTTGTAGAATAAGAATTCCTATATATTGCCTGAATTTAAATGGAGAAATTTTGCATACAAAATACTGGGTGAAAGTGAAACAGGAGTGCTTGTTGGAAATGTGATTCACACTCATCTCAGCGGCCTTACAGGTGAGAATTTAATGGTGACCCAGCTTCATCATTTGTTTGGGACTTCTCCCAATTTACTATTGAGGAATGCAGGATTCCATGAAAGTGTCAATCACCAATTTGTCTAACTAAGAGGATTTCGATTTCGATTCGCAAGTTTTGTCGTGGGGTCGGCATGGAATGATCCATAATGTCCAAAACTTTCTGATGTTTATCAGTTAAATCCACGAGAAACCAAGGCTATAGCACCAGACAGAGAACTGGCGTAGCAGACGATGTGAAGTGGTTTTTCAATATTACATTCCAAAAGATGTAAATTTAAACATAAGTGAGCCTGAAACCAAAATTGATTAGATTAAAAAGATGCACTCGCGCCAACATTCTGCTGAATGATACAGAACTCCAAGACACGAAAACTGAATTACATATCAATTTATCAAACAAATGGTTTACATAACAAGCCAAACCTACATGACTCCAGGATATTGCATATTTACAGGGCTAATTTGTGGTCAGGGCTAGCTTTTCTAGTGATGTTATCCACAAAATAACTCAAGATAAAGACCAATACACTCGCTAGTTAATTTAAATCAATATGCACCCGGAATCTCCACAGGAAGTGTATGAAATAAGGACAGAGAAATAAAACAGTCACAACCAGGGCTAATTCAATGACAGAAAATGCACCCGAGCAAATGAGTATTCTTTTCCAGCTATCCAAGCCCCAGTTTGTGACCACTGCACATCCTCCCAGTCCAGATTCTCCTCCAATACCTATTCAAGAAAGGTAGACACATCAATGTTAAAGTTTGGGTTTCTATCATTCTTTTCTCCTCGGAAAAGAGAAATTTACTTTATTTCCTGTGAGTATACTCTGCTGCATACTTATATCACCAATTTGACCGGCATCTGAATTAAGAAACATGAACAAGAACCATGCACATGCGTAGACTACAGCTAGCAAGACTCTATGCTCAAAGTGAAACATGTAGTTTTAGCAAAATGTTACACAAACCAGTGAAAAATGACATGAAGCGACTTAGTGAGGAATTCACTTTATGTGACAGCTACATAGTGAGGGAAGAAGAGCATGTGATTTCTCTAAGCTTACTGTAACAAGGTGGGATACGTCCTGGAATGTTGAAATTGGTAAAAAAAATATTAGGAATCTTCCAAGTCCAAGAAATGCAAAGCACACATGCAACATCCAAAGGAAGGAAACTATAATGATCATAATAATAGTAATAATACCTCCAGATAGTCAGGGGGCAGAGGAATTCCGACTGACCGCATAACTTTCTGGGGAAGAGGCTTCTTACATCGAGACCACCGAAACACATCGATCACAGTATTTTCAGTGTCATTTCTCTCTCCATTCATGGAATGTGAGTGGTGATTTTGGGATTTCTCTGTTTCAGCTTCATGCATTTGAGAAGCTGTAGTAGCTTTGACCATCTTTTCTCCAGTGAAACAGAGCTCGTATCTTTAATAAGGCAACAACAGAAAAAAGTCACTCAAAAGTAGCATCTCTAACAAATAATCCAGGTGAAACTATGCTTTGTGTCTGAGCGTTTGAGTCACTCCTATATATTTCTACAATTTGTAGTTAAAAGTGAAGCCAACCATAGATGCAATGAACATTCTGAGAAATAAAGGTCTCCAACAGAATCGGCAACACAGTCTTGGCACTAAGGTTTAAATTTCAGTAGACAAGTCCCTGTATACCACACAACAAGGCTGCTCCATACTCTCACTTATCAGACCAAGGACAGCAGAAAATATATGCAGTACCAATCACGTGAAACAAACTCCATGTAACAAGGTTTTTATAGACAATCCTCACGTGTATAATCAATTTTCAACAAACATCTATGAACGATGCTAAGTAAATACTCTGCAAAAAATCTGATACCTGCAGGAATGTGTCTCCAGATACAGCACTTCTCCTTTTTTCAGACGTGCAGATGTATATAGGGGCTTTTTCAGGCCCTTGTCCGCGACAATGCTCAAGCTATACTTAATCCTAAATAAAAAGCCCTTGTCATCAATCAGAGCACCACTAATCAAATGAACAAAATCTAAGCAAGCAAGATAGAGGCACATGACTTGGACTTGACCAGTTAATAACCTAAGCATGCGCAACTAAGACAAAATACATAACAGGCCCTCGTCCTACAAACTACAACCAATCAAGCATGTTAGCCTTAACTTTTCATTAATGGGTATGTTGGTGACTTTAAGTATGTTGGCGATTCTAAGCATGGCAAGGTTGATTCTTTAGGTGCACTTTTAGCCATTGACTAAATTTGATACATGTAATGTGGTATACTTCCCACAAACCGCTGTATCTTTTGCACAATTTTCCGCATGTAGTTGCATGAACGCAGGGAGATTGGTATGGACTATTCCCATCCTTTTAGGAATGTGATTGGTGGTAACAACACAAAAAACATGTCGTTCAAAAGGTCAAGGGGTTCCATCCAAAATAGCTCCAAAAGTGAGAGTGAAGAGGCTATTCAAGCAAACGCAGAAATTGACAGTATACATATGTACTTGTGCATAAAATTGACAAGGCAGCTTCCTCCGACATGCTAAACCAAAACGGAAGGTATACATTTCAAAGATTATGGTGCTTGAAAGGCTCAACTCTCTAGAAGATAGACTGCTGGAAATAACAGATGGAAAACTAAAACTTACCAAGGTTCATTGCAGAGATTGTATTGTATTGTAACTTCTCGAACAAATCTTTGTTGCCGCAGTGCATTCTAAAGGACAAAACCAATTTTAACAGATTACCTATTTTGCATGCATATAGAGAATAATGTGATATGATACAGAATTGAATTCAATGATAATCATGAAATTGAATTCGCAATTCCCAACAGCTGACAACAATTGCTAAAGCCTTTTACGAACAAGTAGATCCCTACATAGTTTCCGCTGGCATAACCCAAGGCCTCATTTACCTTTCTCAATACAGTCCCATCAAAATGTACATCTTCTGGCAAAAAAATCTCAAGGTCATTTTTTCACTTGTCCAAACCACTTTAACAAGCTTATATTGGCTTGTTATCCTTGATTAACCATCACCAATTCCGGGATATTCCTTTTTACTGTATCGCTTATTATATGCCAAAAGCTGTTAACAATTTCCCAGGTTATGTATATATATTGCGAGAGTTCGATCTCCTTCTACCATAATGGACAGCGAATGCGAGAGAAAAGAAAGATTCCATAATTGCTAATCCACGTGCATCCAAAGTAAAACAAAATGAGTGGAGATCTAACAATTAAACATATAGGCCATTCACCAGGTCAATCCATTCTCCTCCAGCGGCCTCTCTCCTCCCAAAAGATTATCAAATCTCAACAATTAGTCAGACAAAGGAATCAAGCACAATCCAATATGCTTTGAAAATTTATCAGCAGGGAACATAGTCAGAAGATGTGATTTCCACTTGACCTGCTCCAACACTTACTTCTTAACACAAACGATCTTTGTACAAACATCAGAAAGAGAAACAAATTTAATCTAATTTCGATATATTGTCTCATAAGACAAAATTCTAGACCCTAAAATACCACCTTGCAGAGGAAAGGTATGTTTCAATAGGATCAGCACCCAACAACTATTAAATCAAACAACTGAATTGAGAAATTATGCTGGTTCATACCGATGCTGCTGCTCGTGTAGTCATGGTCCGCTCAACAGCAACAGGAGCAAGCGTCGGCTCCACTGTCGATGTATGCGTTATGCAAGGCTCAAGATCAATCGTCCCACCTCCTTTCTGAATACAACATTATTAAAACATAGCAACTATTGAGAAAGAGTAAAACAAGAACTAAGAGGACAGCTGAAGTATCTCATAAAGTTTTCTATCTGACCACTCCAGAATTTTTAATCTACAGACCATGAAAACATCAAAGAATTATAGGCAACAAAGGAGCTTGGCATCTCCAATGGTTGAACAAATAAATTATATGTCGATCTCATCATACTCTCAGTTTGAGAAGAACGAAAACTAAGATGATGAAGAAATAGTTTCACCTTCACAATGCAGCAATGGTCAACGCGATAACTGCAACCAATTGCAGCACCCCAAGCACGGGAGCGCACATTGTTTCTCAAAGTAGAAATGTAACCTAAAAGATCAATCAGAATCAGATAGGCAGAGCTTGATCTGGCACGAGTTTAGTGGTCAAAGCAATAAAATAGCTAGAGCTTTTACCAAAATAACACATATGTAATGATAATTTCAAATTAAATCTCCTAATTTGAGTATAAAAAAGCATGATACTACCTAAGTACATGGAAGTTGGAGAACTAAATCTTTTAATGTAGAAAGAAAAGTACAAGAGGAATAATGTTATGGCAATACAAACAAACAAAGACTGTAGCCATTTCCAGGGCCACAACTATATATTCTGGAATGTACCAGTTACAAGTTCACAACATATGGTTCTCTAACCGCCACTCAATCTATTCAAATCTGTGATCAAGCCAAAAACGAAAAAAATAGATTAAATCTGCGCATGCTAATATCTTCTCAGATTAAAACAGCACCTAATTACAAAAGCACCATATGGCTCAAATGAACTTACAATCTAGAGGAGGCAGCACTCTGATAGTAGCACGCAATTCTTGGATCGCAGAAGGTGGGGGAGAAGCCGTGGGGCGGCAGTAACCTGTGTGCATTAGAACTAGAAACAACATTCCATGTTAATCCTACTTTCCCCATGGAATATAATATTATCCGTATTATAGTTTTCTAGGCACAGAAACTTAAATTGATCTTGATGACCTCATACCAGCAACTAGATCAGAGTCATATGTATATGTGTCAGTCCCCCATAGTTGGCCACCTCTAACCTACATGATATGAAAAGAAGCTGAGAGAGAAACATGACATAACCATAATCACAACCTCAGAAGGCCAATAGATGATTCGAAAGGAGCATTTTATGCTGGAAGTAAATAAACCTGGTTGAAGAACACTCAAGAAGGCAATAGAAATTTACAAATACTGGAGGGCCAATTGAACAAATTATTTAGTAGAAAAAGGCCATTGCAAATGGCAAGCTTCGAAAGTTAGTGTACACAGAGATTCTAGCAAAGCAGAACTTGATATTGAAGAAGCTTATAATCCATGCAATTGATTGTGACACAGCTTTTTGAGGGAACTGGTGGCTGAAGAATAGTCTTGGGGCAACTTGGCAAGTGTCTACTCTATAAAGAGGTTCCCATGGATGAGTCAGGAGATGGCTCAAGATAGGGTGGTCGAATTTCCTCTACTGTTAGTCGAATACAGACACAAGTCCTTGTTACGCATACCCATCCTGCTTATTATGACTTGTCTAGACCTTAGACACTAGATCCAGGACGAGAATGAGTGAACAAACACATAAAAGTTGGACATTAGCAAATGAAATCAATTAAAATAGACACTTGTGACATCTTATTAACACTGGACTTTCAAAATAACATTGATTGCAGTAGAAAAATAATTGCTTGGTGAGGCTCCTCTATATCAACTTCACAACGCACTAGCTATAAATATGAAAACTGCTGTCAACTTGTCTTTCTTTGCCTTTGAAGAAAGGTAAATGTCTTTTTTGAATGTTTGAAATTGGGCATCAGAGGCATTTTCTACTTTCTCTAACTTAAGTGGCTACCCAACTCCCCAGCAAAAAAAAAAAAAAAAAACAAGAAGAAGAAACAAAAAGTAGCTAGCCAACTCTGCAACTGTTTGGAAAATTAAATCTCCTTTCATACAATTTATACTGCAAATTCGTTTCAAGTACCAAACGAAATGATTTTCCTCTGGTTGAACATACACGATTTTTGAAACACATTAGTTATTTAAATTATGCATCGAAGTTAAATGGGGCCAACATTATGTCGTCTGTTTAAAACAGAAAGGTATGTGGTCTACTGGCAACCAATTTCTCATCATATACGGGAAAAAAAGAAAATTCCACAAACTGGTTTAGCATCAGTAAAGCTTAGATTGAATAAAAGGTAGTGGGAGAACAATGCATAATAGAAAGAGAGACGCTAGCCTTAACATAAATACTGACACAATGATTGCAACACATGATTTATCACACGTGTAAGGGTCTTGGGTTGCAAGATGAATTGACGAGGAAAGAGACGTACATGACACAGTTCACCAATTGGAAACATTACACGACCCAAAGAGATCAACACACAGCATATTGATCTTACTTGGCGATTTGTAGCAGTTACATGTTCTGCTGGAATTCTAATTTCAAGAGTGGGACCATTAGGTGAGGTAACAGCATCTTTATCTTCTTGAGATGATTCATATTCCTTCCATAGCTTTATCAGTTCTTGCATGGATTCACCAACTTTATATATGACAGAGGAAACTTCAGACTTTCCTGAAACAACAACAGCCAAAATTTAAATCACAACAGTAACAAAAGAAATACATCCCACTAGGCCCACCGCAAATTCAATGACAAGTCACAGTCTGCAAGTACACAACGAAAGGCAATTTAACAGAGACCAGACACACAAAGAAATTTTAACCGCAACAAAATAAGTTACCCAATCATTGCCCTACTTCCTTCGAGCTACTAAACACATTCATGCACCAAAAATGGCATATCAAATTTACAGACACATAAATCCTAAGGATATATGATTTGCCACAGAATAGATAAGCAAATAAATTGCCTTTCATGCACGCAAATTAATCAAGCCTAGCAGACACCAGATTCAGAATTCAGAGTACCAAAACATAAACAATGTAACAGCGAACTCTACTGATTATCCACTGCAAGAGAAGTATTTGAGCTGATCATATTTTCTAGTTCCACTTTGGAACCGCTCACCATAAACTCTTCAAGCTCAATATAATTTATTGCGATGTCTTACCTTGAGACCTGCGCAAAAGAGAAGGGAAGAGTGTTAGAATGCAATATTTATCAACAAAACACGCATCAGTTTCATGATCTTCAATATTCTTATCATGCTAAAGTAAAAAGTTGCAATTACAATATCCAAAAGGCCTCTTATAGTCTTATTAGGTATGGGTGTGAAAGCAAGACAGACAATGTCAGTAATATCCATCACAAAGAACTAAATCTAGACTGGCAGCTGATGCAAATGATGCGTGTCAGCAAGTTTTCAAAGATATGAATATTAAAAGAGAGGGAAAAGACAAACAGGAACTTCTGATAAAAAAGAAGGAATATTTGCTTAAGGAAAAAAATGAAGCCTTTGTTTCAATTTATTCAAGGACATGGTAACTAAAGTGAAGGTCAATTTAGTTGATCACCAGATCAAGCGCTTCATTCCAGATCCTATTATTATGCAATGCCTACAGGTTGACCATCCGCTCTAAGGCTCCTCCACACACGTGTGGGCGAAGAGAGAGAGAGAGAGAGGTGAGATTGTCTAGGCAGAGCACTTTTCCTCTGAGATTCATTTGAAAAAGGTTTGCTGCCCCTGGAGCTTCACTTAGAAAGGCACTTCTAGGAAAGGATGAGCGTACATCGTTAACATTTCTTTCTATGAAGAGAGAAGGAAAAAGGCAGAGCTTCCGAATTGTAAGTGGGAAAAGAGCTAATAAGCTAATCAGCATCCATGAATGCTGGACCATACAGAAGTAACCCAAACAGAAAAGCTTGTTCGTCTGTCTACTCCGATTTCCCACTCAACATCATTCTAGGAAATTCTTGAACTAAACAATAGCGAATAGCCTGATAAAAGAATGAGCAGTTCGAATTTAAAGATTAAATCTCATTTATTGATGAGACACTTATATAACTTGGCCAAGATAATTTTGACCCTTTTAGTGGTTTACCACATGATAAGCAACTTGAATCTCATAGTAACAATTCAATTTGGCAGGAAATGGTTTTGGATTAACTGAAGTCATGCAGAAGGATAATCAAGGATAACTTTTGCAATTATATTTGTACAACTAGTTGCAGAATAAATTTTTATGCTGAATAACAATGCTTTAAAATCAGGAGGAGTAATAGTAATAAGACCTACCCTTCATTATCCTGAGTACGGGACCTAAACCGAGGGTCACCTCTTGACAATTGAGGGCTACCCCTAGGTCGAAGCATTCTCTTTCGCTGCTGAACTCCATCATAATTAAACACTTCCCTTTCCCTTTCCATCCCTTCAGCATCTGCACATCCATCTTCTGATTCTTTCTCATATCCTCTACCACGCTTTTCAGTTCTATCGACTTCCATATTTGTGTCTCGCTCTTTCTTTCTTTCTCTAGCATCCTTGTCAACATTTTTCCAGACATCAAAATCTTTATGTTTTTTCAAGTCAGATACCGAAGTTTCCTGCTCTGTTGTTTTCACAGGCAGATCTGCAGTGTCCTTCTCAGAGGACACTCCCTCTTTCTCCAGCCCATTCCAAGTTTCTCTCTTTGGATGGTCCTTTTCTCTTTCCTTCAATCTTTCCTTGTCCTTTGCCGGATCCTTCCTGTCCTTCTCCAACTTCTCTGCTTCTCTTTCTTCTCTCGCAGGGTCTTTGAAATCGGCAGCGCTATTGTTTAGAGGCATACTGCTCCTACGATCAATTCTATCTTTGTCTCTTTCACCCCATTCTCGGTGCTTCACATCCTTCCTTTTCCTATCCTTATCTTTCAGCTTATCATCAATTTTTGTGTCAATTTTGTTCTCGCCAACAGCCTCGTGAGTTTCTATGTGACCCCGCTCTTCAGTTGTGGAATCTTCCTTGGCCGACTCAAATTGTCCTGGTGGATTATTGCGCTGAATATGCCATGGGTCCATGCTTCCGCTTGGTGTTTCAGAATACCTTTTGCCTCTGTGGTACTCTTTTGATTCTTTCCAATTCAAGTGACTGCTCCCAGCACCATAGCTTTCCTTTTCCACCTTTCCATCGACCTTAGGATCACTGTAACTATCCCTTTCATACTTCAATTTCTTACTGTCATCGCCTCTGATTTCAACTTTCCCCTCCCTTTCACTTCTCATATGCTGAGAATCCCTCTTCGTCTCATACGACTCCCTTATCTCGGGCTTGGGATCCCGGTTATCAACCCTGAAATCTCTGCCATCCTTTGCATCCCTAGCTTCCAACCTGCTTTCGGAAGAAGCGGCATGATCTAAATGTGGGTCATCCAGCGAGGAGGACGGCATCCGAAAGACCGAATGCATGGGCGATCTTCTATCTGAATCTCGAGACTCAGTCCTGGGGATCTTCGCCATTCGACTTTCTTGACCCGTGTCGTGGGACAGATGATATTCACTAGACACTGCAGACATCAGCCTAGGATATGGGGTAAGATCTTCATGGGTGTACTTTGAAGAGGAATGACCACTCTCCTCGTGAGATCTTTTAGGAGCTCCACTCATAATTAGCGGCAAACAATAAGCAAAGGCTACCGTGATTCAGTGCTTTGACTCCAACCTGCAAAATGACAGTAAGAGCAAAATCAAAACAATATGCACCGTAGTGTTTCTAAGAGCAAAAGAACAGAAATGAGAAAGACACGTTAACACAAGAGTGCAAAGGGGCACACTGCAGATAATTCGAAATCATCCAGCAAGGTCACACGAAAGAGCCGTGCTCGACTTAAATTAAACCACAAACAGCGAAATTCACACATTCCCCGCAAATACCCTCAATTGGAGCCAAGAAATGCCGGAAGCAACGAAATTTACAGCGCAAGCAAGGGGTTCAGAAGGCGCAATGCCAATGCTCGAAACAGATTATCGAGCATCCACTCTCTCCATCGACTCCCTCATCCAAGCAGCTAAGAGCACAAAAATCGAGGACGAACGAACGAATTCGGATAAAGGGTAACCTAAAAACACGCGAAATTTCGAAATTGACGATGCTTCTCGGATCGCTGGAACCGTCGGTACAAGACACGCCGAGGTCTCTCACAGCGACGACGCCGCAGCCGCGAACACCAAAAATGGAAAGCAGCGACGAGCGAATTGACAGAGAGAGAGAGAAAGAGAGGGGGGAATGGCTTACCTTCGCCTTCACATTCGCGCACGCTATTGCGCAGAGAAATGGAGTTGAGGAAGAAGAAGAAGAGGAAGAGGAAGAGGAAGAGGAAGGCCAGAAGAAGAAGACAAAGCTCAACACCACACGAGAAAGACCCACGCAGCAGAGACGCTATAAGGCACTGCGCTCACGCTTATATCTCTCCCCCCGTTTCCGAACAAAGCTCTCGTCACGTGGCGGCCATTGGTTTTTCAGTGGAATTAAATTAATTTGACAATTCCATAGGAGTAATAGGGAATTAAAAAAAACCTAACGTGTAATTAAAAAGGGTGAAATTAATTTATTGGTTTCGGAAAAGGAGAAAAAAAAATGAAGGTCAAACAGTGGCAAAAGACACGATTTAATTCCTAGAATTATTATAACTTAATTTACAAATAGAAAAGGATTAAGATAATAAGGGGAGGGAAAAATTCCGGATGGGTACATTCCCATTTCACTTGTAGTCCAAGCTGAGTATCGGTTTCCCGATTTGAAAATAGCAAATTCCATTCCCATTCTTTCCGTTATGAATCTTATTTGGAACTTGGCTTTTTGCCCCTATTAAACGAATGACCAGAGGGTAATAAATATGCTCTTCGGGTTGTCAGATATGGTCTGTTGATCACGTCGTGACTTCGTCTTACGTGTGTGCAGCGGTGTATACGTCTGGTGTAGTTGTTTGATGGGCTTTGAACTCCACTAATTAATCGAAACTATAAGTTTAATCGTATCAAAACCCGAGAAAACAAAATAGAAATTTAATTTTGAGTCTATGGACTAACAAACGAAAACGATTATGAAAATTCGTGAAGCTCGAGATAATCCTTACTACAACTTTTCATCCGACCTTAAATTCTTTCTTGAGGGCATGGTCTCTACACCCTTTTTCCACCATAATCACGGGCAAACAAGAGCCGATGATGGAATACAAAGGCGTTTTGATGATAACTTCGAGTGAAAAGACAATGGATAGAAAATTGTGCACCGTGATTTACTTGGGTGCACAAGTGACATGGCCTCTTGGAACACTTAAGAAGGTCTTGAGAAGAAAGGAGCATATGTTTTGTATGCGCCAAACAATGTCTTTGAGGCATCTTTAAGGGGTAAAAGGCATAAAATTATGGGTTAATACCACGACAAATTTCAAATAAATATATCTGTGACAAATTTATTTTAAATTAATTTTTTAATCACAAAAAACCCTAAATTGGTACACTTGTGATAAATTTATCAAAAACTAATTTTTTTACTACCAAAAACCCAAAACTAGTATACTTATAACAAATTTACTTTCCGTTAAATTGGATTAATACAAAAAAGAAAATCACAAATCCGTACACCTGCAACAAACGGACGGTAAAATCTTAAACTGGTACATCCGTCAACTGCCGCATGTCATTTAACTCAGTAATTTAACAGTAAAATTTAACGAAAACTAATGGAGAGTAAATTTGTCACAGGTGTATCAATTTGAGATTTTTTGTGGTCAAAAAATTATTTTGGGGTAAGTTTGTTATAGGTATACCAGTTTGGAGTTTTTCGTAATATTAATCCTAAAATTATTCTAACAAGAGAAAGTTCACAATCCATGCTCAAGCTTTTAAGGACGCGCTATTTTCACCTTTCCACCCTATTTTCATTAAAAAGTCAAAATTGCCCATTAATCATTCAATTACAATTTTAAAGTGTAGGGCTCAAATTTATTTTTCCATTTTTTTTCTTTGTCCATTTCTATGTAGGATCTAGTTATTACAATTAAGTATCTCACATGTTTAGTTTTTGTTTATCACATGTATTGCATTTATATTAAATGTACTTTTTCATAGTTAGGTTTTACTTCCAAATTAGCTTTGTCAAAAAGAGAAATATCTAGAAAACCCAGATTCCGTTTGTTTTGCGAAAAATGAATGATTCGGAAAATATTTTCCTAAAAATGATCACTTTTATCGCTTGGAATAATTAGCCAATAAAATATGTTTCATTAAAGATAACAATTTATATCTAAACACTTTCATGGATGATAAAAATATTTTTCGTTCAAACCATTTTTGTGAATAATGAAAAGATTTTTCATTCATTTATTTTTTGTAAGCGATGGAAGCAATAAGTTGTAAAAAAATATTTTTCAAATCATTTATTTTTCGTGAAACAAACGAAGCCTTAGTCATTTTCTAGGTTGTCAAGCAAATTTATGGATAATTTGTTAAGTAGAATCTCGAAAAAATTTGGACATATACAATTTTTTTTAAACAATCATTCACTTTTGTTGTGCATATCTCCATCAAACACTTCTTATCGATTTTATTTTATATACATATAAATAAGATGATTAGATCAAAAAACTTTTGAAGATTTTCCAAAATAAAAACGCAATTACGTTCTCCAAAGTGCAAATATTTAAAGATGAAATTTAATTAAATCAAAATATCGCATAGGATAAGAAGTTTTTTCAAACTCCCAATGAAATCTCATTATTTTGGATTGACAAAAATTAATAACCTCCCTTAAGTATTTATGAAAACATATTAAGATGACTCGTTGTGGATAATGTTTTGAGTGTATTCTAGATATTCCTATTTGGCCAATAGTAACGATTTAATATAGTAAGTAAAGAGATTGGATATATATTTTAGGAAATTCCAAATAAGAGCCCGAAGTGCCTTTATTTTTCTCAAATAAGAGCCTGAAGTAAACCTTGTGTCAAAAAAAGCTCGCTGTTGGTTTACTTAAAAGTTCGAGACAGAATTAAGACTATTAAATTTTATTAATATGTTTATCAATTTATGATTTTTCGTGGTATTAATCCAATTTAACGGAAGGTAAATTTATCACGGATGTACCGGTTTGAGATTTTTAGTGGTCAAAAAACTAGTTCAGGTAAATTTATCACAAATGTATCAGTTTAGGGTTTTTTCGTGCTCTTAACCCAAAGTTCTTTTACGGAAGATTGGCACACGGTATAAATAAAAGTTTTCGCATAGGCGACTCGAGTAATGATAGACTTACTAAGACTGATTGACAAAATCGAATTACAAAATCGATAAAAAGCTTGGGTCATTTTTCACAAAACCAAACCAATAGCATTTTGGATCATGTTGAAAAAACATTATTGAAGAAGAACAAAGGCATATAAATGACAAATCCCACCATGGCTGGAAAATTCAGGGTAAACCCAAACCCTCCCGTCGGCCTCCCCTCCCCTCCCCAAAAGCTTCCGCTTCCGCTTCCTCTCCCATGGCTTCCAGGTACTCTCTCTCTCTCTCTCCCTGTCTCTCTCTCGCTCTCTGCGCGCACGTAGACGCGCGCAGGCTTAATGGGTATCTCCGTTCCTCCGTGGGCAGGCGGCTGAGGGCGTTCAAGAGGTGGATGAAGTCTCAGTCCATCGACTCCGGCGACGCCCTCCGCTTCACCGACGATCCCTCCCTGGGGATCGCCGTCAGGGCGCTGCGCGACCTCAGGGAAGGTGACGTCGTCGCCGCCATCCCCAAGGCGGCTTGCCTCACCGTCAGGACCGGCGGGGCGAGCTCGCTGGTCGAGGCGGCCGGCCTGGAGGGGAGCTTGGGGCTGTCCGTGGCCCTCATGTACGAGAGGAGCCTGGGCGCGAGCTCGCCCTGGGCTGGTTACCTCCAGCTCTTGCCCGAGGAGGAGTGCTTGCCTATGGTCTGGACTCTCGACGAAGTCGATGGGCTGCTCCGTGGGACTGAGCTCCACAAGGTACGGACTTTGTGGTTTTTCATGTCTCCATTGCTAACATGTCAATTGCTTTGCTTTTCTGTATTGGAATCTGGTGAATCTGTGTGGAATTTCTAGTCAAGGACTGGCGTGATTCCTTTAGTGTGGAATGGTCGGCTCGGGTAGTTTAATCGCCTTATGAGATGATAGAAACTGAAAATGCTTGTACTTGCTGATTCGATTCTAAATGGGAATTCGGATGGGAATTCTGGGGCGATGCCATGGTTCTTTTCTGGTTTTCTTGTTGGAAAGTTTTAGTTCCTTTTTCATGTTCAGTGTAGTTCATCCTCGCTTGACATTGTGGCAGTAATGAGCAATCGAGAGCGACATGTGCCTTGGCTACAGCTAACTATTTCCTTGGTGATTGTAGGCAGACTGTGAGAGAAGACAAAGCTCTTATTTATGATGACTGGAAAGAGTCCATTTTGCCCCTTCTAGATTCCGGGCCATTAAAGCTCAAACCGGAGTTTTTTGGCCCTGAACAATACTTTGCGGCAAGAAGTCTCGTCGCTTCTCGGTCGTTTGAGATAGACGAATACCATGGATCTGGCATGGTTCCTTTGGCTGATCTGTGAGTACTTGTTTCTTGCTACTTTTATTGCGTCTGACTTGGGATGTTGCTGGGGCCTTCTGCTATTGATTCAATCCTCTTAATTGTTTCCATGGAATCTGTCAGTTACTGCTAGTCAGCTCAATCATTTTCTTCACAAAGCAATGTTCTATGATCTGTATGTAGATAATCATCCATGCATTTTAATTGTGTATTTGGGTACTGATAGGGTTGTTTATGTTTATGCTTTCAAGGCCCGTGACTATGAAGAAGAAATTAGGTTGTTACTCTTCACAATGCCAAGATTCGAAAGTATGCTACAACTTGTAAAAGCCCACTAGGGCCACTACATAGATGAAGGAAGATGACTGACGAGTGGTTTGGAGAAATACAGATACACAACCTTTTTTCAATGGCACTGTAAACATATTGTGAGATCAATGGCTACTTTCCTGAATGATCATTCTTTTAGATTAAGTCTGGTTTAGTGGTTAATTATAATTAGAACTCTACAAAAACACAATATATAGCTGCGAAACCAGAACTTCAAGTACTTAGATAGATCTGCAAGTGTTCACGACTATGTTGTTCCTTATTTTGCCTTCATGTAGTAACAAACCAACCTTGCTTATTTCCCTCTACACATGTTTCTTTGTATGAACTGGAATTGGATTACCTGTATCATCAGTCGCCTCCTTGATGCTCTGAATCCAGGTTTAACCACAAGACAGGAGCCGAGGATGTACACTTCACTAATGTATCTTCTCATGGTGAATCGGATGATGACTCCGATTATGGCGATGACTATCCTGATGCTGACATTACTGAGGATGGGAATGGACAGTTAATTCAAGATTTGGATACGAATTCTCATGGAAACATGGACATGGAGTGCCCTCCAGTGTCAAAAGAGGACCCCGCTGTTTTGGAAATGATTCTATTAAAAGATGTCAAAGCTGGAGATGAGGTTAGTTTCATGCTCCATCTTTTCAACATCTGGAATTTGGCATCAATTTTGTGTCATCGTTGGTTTAGTAGGATGGCATTATGTCCTTGAGCATTTTAGTGTGAAATATTACCTGGTTCATAGATATTAGTTGACAGCTTGGGATAACAACTCGAGCAATGTTTTTCCTTTTTAACCCATGCCTTTATAGATAGGGATGTGAAATGTGACACATACATACGCATGTCCTGTTACTTTTAATTGCCAAAGGTGATAGGAAACAAACATTATTGTTTCAGTCTTTCTTTAGCACATGCTTCCTGGCCTATGAAAGCCTTTTATCCAAGTCGAAAATTTAGTAATCTAGGAAGAGTTGATTCTAGGTTGAATGTTTCCTACTTTGTTGATCGTGAGGAACTTGGAGTGTGCGGACATTTATGTTCCAAATTTAGCTAAATGTATTTTAACTTTTTTAGGTATATAATACATATGGGACTTTGGGTAATGCGGCTTTGCTTCACAGATATGGATTTACGGAGGAAAATAATCCATATGACATAGTCAACATTGACATAGAACTGGTGTTGGAATGGAGTAATTCTCTGTTTTCTAATCGCCACAGTAGAGCGAGGGTTGCCATGTGGAGAAAATTAAATTACTCTGGATGCGTCAGCCAAGACTCGGAATATTTTGAGATCTCGTACAAAGGGGAGCCCCAGCTGGAGCTGATGATATTGTTGTACATGATGTTGTTACCGGATGATGCGTATAATATTTTGGATCTCGCAGTATCTACCGAACAGGACTACAACTTGGATATGCTTTTATCAGAAAAAGACGAATTGCGAGAGGCACCAACATCAGAACTTAGCAAGGATCTGCTGGTCACTGAAGGTGTTTGTAAAGCCCTTCTGGAACTTGCCAACATCCGGGAAGGGCTTTACGGTCCAAATTCAATCAGAGATGACATTGAAGCGTTAAATATGTGCCGTTGCAGTGAAGATCGGAAGCTGTATTACACATTGATATTGCGTGTTTGTGAGAGGAAAATCCTGGAGAAACTCAGAAGATATGCTTCCTTCAAAGTCGAAGCGTTTGGGCGTAAAAAAGGATTCACAAGGAGGGATATAAGGAAATAAATGCAGGGCGGGGCTGGTGAGGTTTTTTGGTAGGTTGATTTTCTGTAAGGTAGAGAGTGCAATTGTTTCTGGAATGGTGAGTTTAGAGGAGTAGGTGAAGCAACTACCTTGGCGAGTGTCTTAACAATTAGATGAGTTTTTGGCAATGCAAATGCAGGGGGGGATTCCCTCAACTTCATTTAACAACTTGTTCCATCTCTCTCTCTCTCTCTCTCTCTCTCTCTCTCTCTCTCTCTCTTTCTCGCTTTTGACCCGAGAATTCTATCTAGATAATTCCATTGACAACTTGTTCTTCTGTACACTTCTTTAAGATCAAATATGGTCAACATTCAACCCAAGTTATTACCTTTTGCGGTCCTGCAAAACTCTTCTAAGTGGGTACTTGGAGTTTGTTCAACTTAAGCCTCTTTTTAATCTTTCACTTTTAGTATTTGGAATCTAACTCTATTTAACTGGGAACGCCATTAGATATTCGATTCAGGAACATGCAATTACTGACAATCATAGGGTCATTTAGGATGTTCTTTTTAATAATTTCTTAGTAGTGTAAACATGTTTCGATGCGAAAGCCAAAAATGTGCTTTAATTGGGTGCCTCAAGGCCAAAGGAGGTGTCCCCCTTTCCCTAAAAAGTAGCTTAATCCATCCATACGCCATGCCTCGTAAGAAGACAATTTGTAATCCAGTCTTGATTCAAAGTCTCGAAGCACAGGGAGTGGTTGGTTTGTCCTAGTCCTCGACCAACAAATGACATAATTGCTGACTAAATGACGCCGGCCATATCTCATTTACTTATTCCTAAGGCTGAATAGGACTAGCCCTTTCTCTTCTGGTCAATGATTAGGAGGATGGTTGCTGACTCTTCTTCTTGCTCTCACCTGCTAACTTTCTTTTTTTATTATATGTTGGTCTCCTCCACTGGGTGTTTGACGTATGGGGTTGAGAGCCTTAGAGAAATTCTTCTGTGGACAAGAATATAAGACCCGATATAATCATAATCATTGATCGTGTATGACTCGCGCATGAAACGCAAACGATGATTGATTGGTCAAGACAAATCCTGAGCTCGAGGGTTTATAGATATATAATTGAGCTGAGTCATGCTTGACTCAGCTTTGCTCATAAACCTGGTGCTCGAAATCCGACTTGAGCTCGATCGAGTATCGACATTCATGCTCGAGCTCGTGCTCGAATGTAAATAAGTCTCGAATTCTATATAATTTCAATAATTTCTCACGTTCGTTTATACATATGTTAAATATCCACTAAAAGTTAATACAAACGTAATTGGACTCAATTAGGCTTACGAGCTTACTAGATCAGGCGATCCTGAGCTCGGTTCGATACGTTCTGTGCGCAGTTCAAACTCGAGACCGACTCGAAATAAGCGAGCCAATCGTGAGTAGACATAGAACCCCAGTTAGCTTATGACCAAAGCACGTTCCGACCAACGTGACGAGACGTCACATCACGTTCCGTTGGTTCCTGTGGTTTTTCTTGTCGTATAAATATGGAGGACGTGACGGTTTCGCCTTCCCACTCATTCGAAGAAGAAGAAGAAGAAGAAGAAGAAGAAGGAATCGGTCAATGGATCAAGCAATGAAGAGCGCGTTCTTCATATCGCACGGATCGCCGATGATGTCGATCGACGAGTCGATTCCGGCGAGGCACTTCCTGTCGTCGTGGAAAGACACGGTGTTGCCTCAGCGGCCCAAGGCCATCCTCATAATCTCCGGCCACTGGGACACCAAGGAGCCCTCCGTCAACGTCGTCGATCGCAACGACACCATCTACGACTTCTACAACTTCCCCAAGCCCATGTACCAGGTTCCCTCATCATAAGCTCTCCTCTCTTTTCTTGACTTCTATCTGGTCCTTTGGCTCTGTTTTCTCGCCGGTGATTTCTCATCGCACGTATTGCTACTGGGTGGATTTGTTTCTTGATCTTCTTGGCTTTGGTTTTGGTCCCTGATGTCGTCGCGTTGATTCTCCGGAATGTTTGAAACTGGGAATCGGGCTTCCATGTCCATCGTTGACTGTTTGTTTGAACTACTTGCCCCCCGTATTTTTGATGATTTGGTTCTACACCTACCACCACCCACCATTTAAAGAACTTTGCCGCGGCTGACTATCGCCTTTGACACGTTCTTGCTTTGCTTTCCTTATATGCCTGCGGTTGCATGTTGTGGTGTTAGGTTGCACATTGCACCCTCCCTGGTTTATGAAACAAACAACAACAGTTCTGAGAGTTTATTGTCCAAGAAAGGCCAGACCCTTTTTTGTTTTGTTTTGCTTTTGCATTCAGAATGCATGTATAGGGAAAAGATAGCTATAGATGTAACCAATCACCTCATGGGAAAACTAGCCTCGGTATGCTCATTCACTTAGAAAATTCACTTTTAGAATCCCAGTGCCATTGAAGAGAGGATTATCCTAAGCAGCATCCGATAAAACATGCATTGGGGACCTGATTTAGATTGAGCATTGACAGAGTGCCGCCATATCTCATTCGTGAAGTAAAAGCAAGGAAGTTGGTTGGTCTATCTAACCAATTGTACTGATTGTCAGCTCAAATATCCTGCACCTGGTGCTCCTGAATTGGCAAAGAGGGTGAAGGAACTGCTCCTGGCATCTGGGTTCAAGCGCGTCAATGAAGACACCAAACGTGGGCTTGACCATGGTGCTTGGGTTCCACTGATGTTCATGTATCCGGAGGCTGATGTTCCAGTGTGTCAACTCTCCATTCAGTCTAATAGAGATGGTACATATCACTATAACTTGGGAAAGGCATTGGCACCTCTCAAGGAGGAAGGCGTTCTAATTCTTGGTTCTGGAAGTACTACTCACAACTTGAGAGACATTCATTTTGGCAATGCTCCTGTTCCTTCTTGGGCTTCAGAATTTGACACCTGGCTCAAGGATGCTCTTCTTGAAGGAAGGTAATTGTTAGAGCAAACTTTTTGTTTACTTGGATGGTTTACTATACTGTGTTGGAGCTGATTTAACTCTAGAACAATAATCGTCATCATCAGGGATGGTTTGTTATCATGATAGCTGTAAATTTTTTGCACTTTTAAGAATGACTACTTCATTAACATTTCGTATAAATACATTTTGGGAACAAACTGTTGTTGCCATTATTCGCTTTGCACTGATTAATTTTGGTTCAGATTGCACTGTGACACTTTGCCAAAACTTTTTCCGCAAGAGATGTTGAGTGCTGCAAATTTTGTTCAGAGAAGAAGCTTTTGCAGTTGATGCAATTTTTACTTTGAAAGATTTCAAGCAAATTAAGGCTTTCAAAATTTTCATCAATGAGCGAAACTATAAGTTTGCCTTTTTGTGATTGCCATGCTGCTTATGCAAGTCTGTAGTTGCATAGCAGTTTTCTTCTGCATGGCCATTCCTTGGTTATTTCTCAGTGCAATAAGTTTTTTGCTCAACTGGGATTGGTTTTTCAATTGGGTGAGTCCATTTGTTGATGCTGAGTTCTGTCACGTTTTACTTGTTTATATTTCTCATACATCTTGACTGATTCTTACTATGTCGAATGGCATTCTGGAATATGTTACTAAATCATCTCTCCATGTATGTCACAGGCTTGAAATTCAGGAATTGTTTTCTTTTGGCTTACGAAGTAACTCATTGCCAGAATATGTTTCTTTATTATGGCAGATATGAAGATGTCAACCATTATGACGAGAGGGCACCCCACGCCAAAAAGGCTCACCCATGGCCAGATCACTTTTACCCATTGCATGTCGCGATGGGCGCTGCCGGTGTCAACGCCAAGGCAAAACTCATCCACCATAGCTGGAGTAACGGAACCCTTTCTTATTCCTCTTATGAATTCACCAAGGACAGCTGATCAATTTATTGTAAAATATGCAATCTTGTGTATTGCTGTTGTGCTCTCAAGTCCTGCCTTATAAACATTCCTGAACTTATATGTTTGCTAATCTCTGTCTCCTTTTAATTTGTTTCAGTCAATAAGAATACGAGAGTGTTTGTGGAGTTTCAGCTGCATCCTGCTTCTCATGTTTCTTGATGCACCGTGACTTTGGGGGAATAGATTTATTGTGGTCGATCACCCCTTGCTTTCTACAGTCTGGCTGTACCTCACACTCACTGTGTTAGAAGCTTGAGGAATTCGAAATATTGCACATTTGTTTCACCCGAGTCCAAAGCACCAACTCAAAGTTAAAAAGAGAAGTCACTTTCGGCATTTCCAATTGACTTTGAGACAGCATTTGATAGAAAACAGCATGATGGGTTACAAGCTGTTAATATGATGGAAATATGCGGTTCCCTAATGATCAGCGTGTGTAAGAAATTCTCACTTGTTACTCGCACTGAAAAAGATCATATACTTCGTTCTATCAAAACTGAGAAACCGATCCTACATATGCATGTGCACGTTTGTGTGTGTGGTGTGAGCATGAGCAGCAAGTCTAACACAAGGACGGTGTTGGTTCAGTCGAATTTCCTGATCTGAGGCAACAAATTTTAGCAAAATCTTGAATACCTACCTTCTTACCTGATTCAACGGTGCATTTGATCTTAAATTGAGAGTTTCTTATGCAGTATTAATCGCCATAGCTTTAACTCTGAAATAAGGAGACAACAACTTTGCCGCCTCTCTCTCTTTCAAGTTGCTTATTGGTGGAATAATGTCACTATAGTCTGATTTAACGAACGATTGGAGTCATTTCCCTTCGGTAGATGGAATGCGCAATCTTAACCTATTTAGTTCGAATGGTCCCCAAAAGAAAAAAACCTACCTAAACCAACCACGATCATAGAGAAATCTCAAAAACACAGTCCAAGTCTAGAAACAACAACCATATTGGGACTATGGGTAGTAGGATGCTGATTAGATACTTAAAAGTAAAGTTAAAGCTTCGAAAGTTGGGTTGGCCATTGAGTACGGATGGGCACATGACATTACTTTATTGACCCAAAGACACAATTGTATTTAACTCCAACTAAATCATAGAAATTCACGGCAAGGCGAAGGGATTACATGATAAATTAATGGGAAGAGGAGCTATCGATCCCAACAGCTACCTTAATCTATCTAATAATTCCCTTCCTTCAAAGCAACCTCAAAAGAACCTTAATTTTATGAAACCTGATTAAGCTTCTTGTCCCATTCTAGGCTCTTGCGCGCTTACTTTAGTCTCCTGTCCATTGAATTTGATTACTTCAATTAACAGACTGTTGAACCTATCTACAATCATGAGTTTTAGAGTGGATTCACTGGAATTATCGAGTCACCATCTCTTTGATTTGAGTACGATTTCCACGTAGCATATGAAAGTAAATGAACCATCGTCCTCATCATCACACGGTGTTTCGCTTGCCTAAACAATCCATATACCAATGTTGGTCGTAGAGTATTTTGCAGGAGGAGAAAAGGAGAAAGTCCAGTAAAACTGTGATTTTGCAGTAGAAATGCTCAATATATAATACAAAGGAAACTAGGAGTTATCTAAGGAATTAGTATTCGCTTAACATAAGAGCCTGGATGCATTGCAGGGCAGGCTCTCTGACAGTACAAGTAGAACAAAGTTTTCACCAACCAGCTACTTGAATTCTTGGACACAAATGTTCATTTTTATCAGTGCCTGCTGAATTGAAATGTTTACGCAGTCCCTTTTCTGTATACTGGTATAAAAACAAAAAACTCCCACCTCCCTCTTCCATTGATATCCATAGCATGCATATTATTCATACATTATCTGATATATTCACTAATGATAGCTTTCCTTACAAATTCACCATCAATGGTCTTCTTACACCTTCTTAGTATACATAGCATGGTTTTTTTTAATAACAAAATCGATTACCTTGTTGGTGCTGCTGTGAAAGTATGCGGAGAATGTCAAAAGATGTGGGAATATGACATCCCTTGAACACCTACTCATCTGCCGGCAGACACTATATATAGTGTAGCTTTCCATGTTATGGAAAAAGCACCTCTTTCTTTGCTTCCATTTCACTTCCACCGCCTTGAAAAGTGCTGTCTTTTTATTCTTCATTAATAAAGAAAGGAGTTCTATCTAATGCGGTTAGCTCTAATTTATTTCGAACGATTTGGAAATCCATTGCCCAGTGAGGGGGAGAAAGAGAGAAATTGACGGGTATGAGCCAAGCAGGCGACAAGCTGCTGCCATCGTCAAGAAGCAGCAGTGATGATATTGATGGTCAAGTTCTGCCTCGTTCGCCACCGCCTTATATTCAACAACGAGAAGATCACAACAGAGGACCTTCTCTGAATGGTGGTGAAGGGTCAGGTGTCGCAAAATATGGAGAATGCCAGAAGAATCATGCAGCTGCAATTGGTGGGAATGCAAGGGACGGGTGCGGCGAGTTCATGCCTAGTGGAGAAGAAGGAACGCTCAATGCCCTCAAATGCTCGGCCTGCAATTGCCATCGTAATTTCCACAGGAGGGAAATCCTAGCAGTACACCCTTCAATTGTAGATGCTTCAAGAGGCTTGACATTGCATTTGCTACAGTCAGATCCTCTTAATAGTCCTACAGATAATGGTGGAGATGAAACTCACAAGGTGGAGATTGTTGAGAAGAAGAAGAGGAGGTACAGGACCAAGTTCACTGCACAGCAGAAGGAGAAGCTGTTGGCCTTCGCAATGAAAGCCGGATGGAGAATGCAGAAGCTGGATGAACATGCAGTGGAGCAATTCTGCGAAGAGCTTGGGATCGAGAAGAGAGTTCTTAAGGTTTGGATGCACAACAACAAGCATAATTATCTCCCCAGCAAACGTTTATAATGCCACCTTTTCTCCTGGGTTCACGTAATCCACCTCATTCATGTACTCAACCTTTCATTCATGTACTTTCTCTATTCCGTGGCCATCACTTTCTCTAATTAGACAATGATCATGCTGCAGTCGATCATTCAAGTTAGCGCTGTTTCAATCTGTATCTCTAATCCTGTTTAGTCTGCTTGTTAAAGAGTCATATAATTCCCACATTCCCGCATTACTGACGTAACAATCATAGTGTTGACATAATTGGTCCTACTGTCTTCTTTTATCAAGTTTTTGGCAATATGCGTGTCTTCTTCAATGAATGCTTGAGGATGCGAAAGCAGATAGCTTCTCAATTAACAGTGAGCTCCTGACAAAAAGAACCCAAATTTTCCCCAACCTTGGAGAATTTTTAATGAGGAGAGTTCCCCTCTGTTCCGATAAACCGTAGAAATGCATGTGCAAAGGACCTTTACAGTGGAAGGCTGGAAAGCTTGACAGCTAGCAATCCGAAGATCGGACAGAAAGAGTAAACACCATATCTTTTGGAAAAATTCAAAGAGAAAATGGACAAAAGAAAGTGAATTGAGGATCAGAAGAAGACATACGAACTTTCCAATAAAAGCATTCTGAGTATAAATATAGCTCATTAGAGAGTCTAGACCACAGTGGCTACTGAAACTTGGGGCCTAATATTGCCCTCTGGTCTGATAGTAAGCATCTCATGCTCAGACAGCCCGGTCAAGAATGCTAAACGAGAAAATATTTCCCTGTCAAAATCACGTTCAGTCTCTCACATATTGATGAAGTGCTTATATGTAGAATTTGGCTAGGACTATAATTACCACCATGGGGAAACTCTTCTTTTTTTTTTTTTTGGTAAAGTGGGGAAACTCTTCTTTATTTCTTCTTTCTCCCAAGAAGTTTGATCAAGTATCAGGAGAGACTATGGTGCCTCACCAAAAGTTGGTTTTTCTGCTCAGAATCATTTCCTGTTCTCCATCTCGACGTGGTTAAATTTCAACAGTCACTCTTCTAAGTACATGGAAATTTTGCTTTACCCGTCCTTCTGATCGGTTTCATATCGAAAGGCTGATTCTAGAGTTTTGGCTTAAACCGGATATTGTCCTCAATTTGCATGACAATTTGACTTTTACGATTACAGAAAATCTATGCGTTTTATTCCGTAGTTACAGCCGAAGTTATGCTTAGTTTCAGGTAAAACCGAATGTCTCTCATTTTTTGTCAGGAAAATGCCATTCGCTGCGAGATTAGGTCTGGATCGAACATTTTCAAAAGGTTTAGACCTCATTTGACCAAATTTGATCGTTTTGGACTTGATTAACCAAGGGATAAACATACAGGACTTGTTCTATGCATTTGTAGCTTGGATGGAAACGACTACGAATGGTATGTGCTTGCATCCACTGCTGCGTAGAATGCCAAAGTTGAAAGGAGGAATTGATGGGACTCCAGCTAGGGTGAAATGATGAGTGGATATATATGGAGGAAATTTGAAATCACAATATAAGATAATCATGATGAGGAGATTTGCCTCTGCACTCAATTGAGTTGCCATTATTTTCTTAACTAATCAACAAGCAAGCATCAGGATTAAGCCTAGGATACCCGAATACGATAAAGAAAATGCAAAGAAAGGCTAATCTAGATTAAGAGGTTTAATTATGAGGATCAATAGGCAGTAATCGATGACCCACTATCTTTGTATTTGTCAAAAGTGATGGCAATAAACTCTCATAATCTCTTTTGTTTAATATAAGCGGCTGCTTGCGAAAGAGAGTGTGTCACTAGATGGTCTAAGCAGCTAATTCTTGTTTATTTGGGCCCTCCAGGATATAACTAAAGTTAAAAACTCGCTTATCAGCAAATTTTCTTCAGCACAAGTTGTTTTCCTTTTCGTCCATGCAATATAATCCCTAGCTTTAAGATCCCTCAATGTTGCATTGTTTCATAAGCATCTAATGTTCAAACAACCCAAGGCCGTCTCTTGAATTACTTCGTTCTTCGATTAACAATAGTTATAAAGCATTTTGACTAGTCATAGCTTCTCTTCATGTGGTACTTGACAATACATTCCTGTGAAAGTTAACCATTTACCTCTTTCTCTAAGATTAGCATAATAATCAATATTCAGACCCGCGCTACCGCAGGACTTCACCGTGTCTTACTAAAACATCCTTTAAACTTGAATATTCCATTGAAGCCACTCTGCAACATCTTGCAATTTCTAACCATTTCCGCTCCACAAATAAGGGCGTGCATGATAACGCAATTTCATTTTTCTACTTCCGAAACAAATTTTTAGTCCAGAAATAATTTTGGAATAGAAATGAGAAATAAATTTTTTTTACTTTTACAAAAAAAGAAATAAAAACTCTTTTCATCGCTCATCCTTGTGATCGTTGCCCGTCGATGAATGGAAAAAAGCGTAAGAAGGAGAAATTTTGTGTCATTATCAAACGAATTTCTGTTCCCGAAAGAAAAATTTAGTGTCGTTATCAAATACATATTTTTGTTTAGAAACTCGTTAAGGGAACAGAAATAGAAAAATCGGCAAAAATACACCACAAGTGTCATAATTTGTGTACGGCGATCACTTTGGTGCCATAACTTTTTTTCGGATCACTTTGGTGTCAAGTCGGAGGAAAAGAGATCACTTTAATGTCAATTTGGCCGGAAATCCGACGTGGCATTTTTTATTAATTTTTGACGCCGACGTGGCTCGCCGGAGGCTGAGTCAGCGTGTATAGTCAGCATTTTTTATTTTAAATAATTTTTTTCAGCATGTACAGTCAGCATTTTTAATTTTAAATATTTTTTTCCTTTTTTTTTTCTTTTTTTCTTTTCTTTTTTTTCTTTTCTCCCCTCGCCGGCCGGTCGGCCACCGGCGAAGCCCGGGAAGGGCTGGGCGAGGGCGGCCTTGCCCATGGCCGGCGAGGGGCGGCCGACCTCGCCGGCGACAGGCGAGGCCAGCCCAGGCGAGGGCTGCCCTCGCCCGACGCCGGCGAGGGAAGCCCTCGCTTGGGCGGGCGAGGGTCGCCCTCGCCTGAGTTGGGCGTGGGCGACCCTCGCCCGCCCGTGCGAGAGCTTCCTTCGCCCGGGCCGAGCTTCCTTCGCCCGGGCCGGCGAGGGGGCGACCTCGCCCGGGCCGGCGAGGGCCGGCCTCGCCTGTTGCCGGCGAGGGTCGGCCGCCCCTCGCAGCCATGGGCAAGGCCGCCCTCGCCCGGCCCTTCCGGGCTTCGCCGGTGGCCGGCCGGCCACCGGCAACCGGCCGGCGAGGGGAGAAAAGAAAAAAAAGAAAAGAAAAGAAAAAGGAAAAAAGAGGAAAAAAAATATTTAAAATTAAAAATGCTGACTGTACACGTTAAAAAATTATTTAAAATTAAAAATGCTAACTGTACACGCTGATTCAGCCTCCGGCGAGCCACGTCGGCCTAAAAAATTAATAAAAAATGCCACGTCGGATTTCCGACCAAATTGGCACTAAAGTGATCTCTTTTTTTCTGACTTGGCACCAAAGTGATCCGAAAAAAAGTTATGGCACCAAAGTGATCGCCGTACACAAGTTATGGCACTTGTGGTGTACTTTTGCCTAAAAAAATCTATTTCCGGCCAGAAATCTATTCTAGAAACAGAATAATTATCATTTGCGCCCTAAATGTGTCATATATATGTCAAACCTTTTCGGTTACTGAGTTTCACAAAATGAATGGTGCGTTCAGTAAAAGTTATGTTTTATGCTCAAAGGAGTCTCAATTCTTCAAATCTTGGTTCAAAATAGAGAAAGTATCACCTTTAAAAATCCCATCAACTTACACTAGAATCCATTAGGCATCAATAGGTTCATGTCCCAAATAAGTCATCAACATCCATCATCGTTCTTTATCACTACGACAATATCATCAATTTTCTTAGGAGTCTGATCATGTACCAAACCAACTTCTTAGATTACCACACATGTTCCGTGCTCTTATGATGGATATTCGTCGCTAATGGACAAGCACGTATATTTGAACTTGGTCAAGTGTTGAGCAGAGAGATTAGTTTGCTGAACTCCAAGAGTTATTCCCACTAATAGGCAGCTTAGGAGAGACAAACAGAAAAATCTTTCTGGGCCAATTAAATGGAATCATTGGCAGCTACAAAATTTTTGGACAAAGGACATATCAGAGTAACTTGAGATCTCAAGTCTCAAGTCCATAAGTGAAAATTCCAAAGTCAGCATTTCTAGCAGTGACAAATCATAAAGAACGATATGATTAATGAATTGACTCTCTACATGATTATGAATAATCCAAAGCCCCAACTATTCCCTTTAATTACAGATAAGGCTCTTAAGGGGTAAAAGTAAAGACACATCAAAGAAATACATTCATTCCACTTTCCACGTTTCACCTTCAGCACGAACCACTAAATTGACTAACCTCCAATCACAGCCAATGCAGAATGGTTCCCTGGATGCTTTTCAGAGCGACTGTGCTTAGTATGCACAACTTTTCCGATTTACATCTATCTAAAACTCCGTGTCAAAACAAGATAACATGACTTTTGACACCATAGATCTTGCAAAAGGGACATAGCTCAAGCTATACCTGTAGAAATGGGAAATACGTTAGTGGACAAAGTAACCAATGATGATGTGCATTTTATCTGAAAAACAGCATCAAAGAAGAAGAGAGAAGAAACAAAGCAACAAAAAAAGAATTCAAAGATCCCCAGCCTTTCAGGTCCTATAGCAATGTAAATAGAAGATTCCACAGTCCAATTTTTATTTTTTGTTAAGTTATAAACTAGCAATAGTTCCTAAAGAATCAGTGAGACTAGCTTGTAGGATCAAGGGACAGAAGTGAAGTGCATAGAGAGGCTCAAGGCACGCCAAAAAGGGGAGGTCTAGATGGCCTCACTTTCTGCGGAACCAGGCACATATATCCATAAAGTTGATTAAGCCATTTAGATAAGTTATCTCTAGTACTCAATGCACCAAATCTTTTGGTTGATTTAGTTGTGAACACTGGTCAATGGCATATCTATATTTACCTTCTTAATCATAAAATATCCACAAGAAATTTCAATTATAAATAAGTCATACCTCAGCTACATAGCCTTCCTCGGCATTTCATCAGATCAAAAAGCGGTACCCAAGAAGCATGACAAAAAAAGAAAAGAAGCATACGACTTTCTCCAATTTTGCTTTTACTTGGGAATCCATCGATTTCGATAGTTGCATTTCATGGGTCCAAAACCCAATATGAAGGATCAAATTAAAGAAAAGCATGATTTGATCAGGTGAAATTGGTATAGATGTACTACTCCATACACACCAGATAAGGGCACCAAATTCCAAAATGATAGCCAAGAGCGTTAACAGCTTGTTACGAACCTGCACAAGAATATCAAGGGACAAAATCAGCGAGATTTCAGTTTTTTCTCATATAAAGAAAAGGTCTAATACACTATTAGTGAATAAGCAACGGTTTTAACTTACATAGAGGGCGCAAAACAAGGCCACTATGATACTTGCTAGATATATGGCTGTTGCATAGATACGAACGGGATCAAGCATCATATTCACCTGCCTTTTTGGGCCTATCAGGAATGCCGTGCTGTTAATCAGAAAGAAACTTGAACTCAGGGACTTAGCATGAAGACCAATCAATAATGATACTCCAACGTAGAATTTCAAACCAACTCAGGGCTTGTTTGATTATAATTAAGTATAAAGTACTATCTTTCTTTCCTGCCACAAAGTAAAATATCCTCCAAATTTCAAATAATTATGAAAAATATATATGTGAGTTTCCATGTCAACATTTGTAAACTGTGAAAATTTCAAGCGTATAGAGTTAAGAAAAAAGTCAAAGGGCGTCCGCCACAAGATTTAGATTAAGCAGGACATAAAAAGTAAAAGTCTGTCAAGATACGCCCTTAAGCTTATCAAATAGCATGACCAGTAAACATGTCGGAGATAATGGAGGAGAACTAGTTAATAACCAAGTTACAACTGAAAACTCAATTTCTGATATTTCAGTAAGAAATTGAGGAACAAATTGCAGAAATGCACAAAGCACATGCACAGCAAATGACTACAAACCAAAAGCAGAATTAAGTTATCTAGGTAAGAAAACAAAAGGCAGTATTTAGTCCAAGCACAAACCTCCCAAGAGCAAGCAGATTGCCAAAAGTGAATGTGATACCAAATTTCATTGGATGGAAGAAAACAAGCATAGACTGCCAAGGCAAAAAATGATATCAGAACTAATAAGACCATGGAAATACATACCACAGGAATGATACAAGAACTACTCTTTTTCTCATGAAAATCACATTAATATACAATCGGGAAAATATATATGCTTGGTGCCCAGTGCTTGGTCCCAGCCATGGATAGAAAAATCTCTCTTTGTTCTTTTTCCTTAAGAATCCCCAACAATGTACAAATATCTTGAATAGTATCCGCTCCAAGATACAATCACTTCTTTTTCTCTGCTTTTTCCTTTTCCCTGAATTCGCTTTTTCTTCCATATGGCATTGAATGTTTGGACCTTTTAAAGCACCCAATTAGTCCCACCAGGTCCTAGCAGTCCCCAAAATCCACCCAAACTTATAATTTACCAACGTAGGAGGCCCGAGAGGTGAGCCTGACGGATCGCCATTGAAACTTGCATGTGACCAGGCTTCCAGATGCTCAGCCTCAACCAACTCTATTAAACCCTCAGGGAATTTCACATCAGCAAAAAGTATTTCAGTAAGAGGCACCAAACGGAACAACCCATCAGGCATTTAGGTTCTTCAGTTCTATATAATGATCGTCTAGGTAATTAAAGAATCCCCTAGCCTCAAATTCGTGAGCTCTCATGCAAAAGTATGTTCATTTGCCTACCTTCTAATATAGCATGGACGTTCTACATATCAAGTTCTGTACCACATCGAGAAAGCAATAAAAAATTGTCAGTTAGATTCTTTGTAATTGGAATTCATGTGTTTTCCGTAGGTCATCGTAAGCAAGCACACCAAAAGCATAGATCACACTAAATCTGAAACTCAGTTACTTGTTTGGACTTACCAACAGCGTGCAAGTTAACCCAGCAGCCAAACATATGGCAAAGCCATAGAACCTCTGTCCAATTGGAGAAGATAAACGAGGTTAAGTCAAGAGACTAATGGGGAATGTTTTTCATAGGCTAGAGTCTTGCAATCAAGAAAAAGAATAATATAAAGTAGTCAAATGTCAATTGTGCATCCTTCTCTACTTCACGAGGCAAATTATCAGAATTATCTGCAGTAGATTACTAACAAAGAGATCAAATTGTTAATGTAGGCGGATTACCATACTTAGAACAAATGTCTTCAGATATACAATTGAAGAATTGATCAAATCCAGCTATCAATCTCACTAACACAACACCACCACCAACAACAAGAAGTTAAGTGGAGTCGAAATGCTTGCGCTGAGCAGATCCTGCTTAACACCATCTCACAGATGAAGCTAATCCAACACGGCGTTGGAGAAACCCTAACAACGACAACCTCCGAGCAGCTCAAAATCCACGGGACTCGACAACGAGGAGGACTACGATCATCACCGTCGGCAGCGCAAGCGCGACAAAAGGAAAGAGACGGAGGGAGGAGGAGGAGGAGGAGGAGGGGGACCTGCTTGGTGGTGAGAGTGCACTGGCGATTGAACTCGTCCATGAAGGAATCGCCGGCGGCGGAGGCGGACGGGGCGGCCGCTTCTTCTTCGTCCACCTCCATGCCGACCAGCATCTTGACCTTCTCGTACGCCTGGTTCATCCTCTCCATCGCTCCCGGTTCCTCCGCCGGATCCGCGAGCCCAGATCCCACTCCGATCTCTGAGCCGAGTTCGATCGGAGCAGCTCGGATCTCGGCGACTTTCTATCGGGTTGAAATCGGGAGGCGGAATGCGACGTCACTCCCAACGTCAGATGTTGGATTCCGACATGGCAACGGAAGACAGAGGCGAGAACCCGCTGGCGCCGGGGTCTATTATGTTTTTTGTTTTGTTTTGTTTTTTGCAAAATTGAAAATGAAGATGGTTAATATCACGAAAAATTTCAAACTGATATATATGTGATAAATTTATCTAAAAATTAATTTTTTGATCACCAAAAATCTCAAAATTAATACAACAAATTTATCATCCATTAGTTTCCGTTAAATTTTACTGTCAAATTGCTAAGTTGGATGACATGTGGCAGTTGACGGGCACCGGTTTGGAGTTTTACCCTCCGTTTGTCACAGATGTACCAATTTAATGGAAACTATCGGATGTTGAGGTTTTTGCTGGTCAACAATTAGTTTAGGGTAAATTTGTCATAGGTATACATGTTTGGGGTTTTTCGTGGTAAAAAAATTAGTTTTTGGTAAATTTGTCATAGATATACTAGTTTGGGGTTTTTCGTGGTATTAATTCAATTGAAAATAAATATGATTTGTTTTGGAAAAAATGAATAATTTTAAAAATATTTTCTTAAAAATGATTGGTTGTATCCCTTTAAATAATTAATTAATGAAAAAATACATTCATTGATCGAAAAAAATTTATGTCTAAATATTTTCGAGGATGATGAAAATAGATTTCATTCATTTATTTTTATGAGCAGTATAAATAATTATTTTTTAGAAAATGTTTTTCGAATCATCCATTTTTTGCGAAAACGCATTAACTCGATTTGGTTGGATTTTTTTTTTTGGTCGGGACTCGATTTGGTTGGATTGATTAGGACGAAAAGGAATGGATTTAAATAAATTTTTTTCACAAAAGAAGAGAAGGTATTTAAAGGAATTGAGTCATAAATACGATTTTTATGTACTTACAAATTTATATGTGAAATATAATAGTGCAACCGGGAAAAAAAGAAAAAAAATTCTTAAGTAATAAACAAAGCTTTTCAAATCCCTTTGAAATCCTCCATATTTTGGAGAGATTAAAAGACAATTAAAAATATACATAGAAATTGACTGGACTGATCCTTCTTAATATCTGCTAATCCCTTCTAATCTTTTTACCCCAGCAAAACACGATCATTTATGTTCCCTTCTAATCTCTAAGGCTGCACATATTCAACACGATTAGTTTATACGAAACAAGACAAAACATGAAAAATAGAGATAATTTGAATATGATACCAGCATGATGCGTGAAATGCATTACGTATTAATAGCAGTTCAATGATTTAGTTTATTAGTTATAAACTATGATGTCTCAATGCAAAGACAAAATTGTTTGCACACAATTTATAGGATTCAAACAGGCGACCTCCAGTTCCCGAGCTAGAAATTCCCCGACGCTCCAATCAATTACGCCGGCTCTGGAGCTTAGATTTAGAGATTTCTCTTACCCGATCCACCTTCTCACACAAAATCCATTTCAAAAAAGCTTATTTTTTCAACTTTAGACAAATTAACTTATCCGTATTAAAAAAATTAATCTGTCAATCAGTACGATATCATTGAAATATGACACATGGATGCAATTTACAAGCACCCATAATCATAATCTCATCTCACACTAGACATCATTTTATTTCATTAATTACACAAAAATCAAACTAACAAGCACCCGTGTTCGTAACATTTGGGACAACACAACAATACATGATCTTACAAAAAGTTACAGCCATGGATCGGGCAGCATGAACTACACTAGATGCTACATAGGATGAGCAAGTCGTGTCCGTCTTCCATGTCTCCGGGCAAAATCAAAGCCTCACAAGGAACGGGGAATGGATCAGTTGATTTTGCGACAGTTGAGACGGACCTCGCCGTTGGAACCATCCTTGACGTCGAGCAGGCTCATCTTGCGCATGGCCTGCTGGAAGTCGAAGAAGAACATGGCCTGGTTCATGGCGTACCTGCTCACCGTCCCTCTGGTCTGGGTGCTGGCGAACAGGGTCTGGTCCGACGTCAGCACGCCTGCCCTGTTGGCAAGGGCGAAGTAGTAGGCGTTGTCAAAGGTGTTCCGGGTGGCGTCGAAGGGCTGCTCCGTGGTGTCCCCTGCACTGCACGTCTTGGACAGCGTCCGGGCAAAGCCGGGGTCGAGGGTCGGGTCTGAGTTGCTCAGCCTTTGCTTGAACGATGAGCACCTCGCCACTCCCAACGTGTGTGCACCTATCAGACCCATTGATTGCGATTAACCTAAGTCATGATCCGCTCCATGATTTGATTTTACATGTTTCGATCACTTTATGGCAGCAGCGTGTGACAAATTGTTTGATTGTAAAGGGGAGGTGATCCTAGATCAAAGATTTGTACGACCCACCACTCAAAAAACAAGACGAATTAGTTTGTCGACAACTTTCTTCTCTACCAAACCAATTATAATAAGATCGACACTTGATTCATACATTCAATAAGCTTCTGTGGGTCATGCATCTATAATCTAGAGAGTCGGTCGCTCCGTGGCTCTCTATATCAAACCTTACATTGGCTTGAATAGCATTTGATGCTCAGGAGATGATGTACAACTTAGACCATGATGTCTTCGTCGATTCTAAAATATGTTGATCCAATAATGATTGCAAGAGCTCTCTTTTTTAAAAGAAAATGAGAAAGATTTTGCATGCAATGATTAATTTGGATGGACGGCAAGGTTCCTTGCTATGTAAGACCATTTAAAGATATCTTTTGAATATAGACGTTTGTTAGGCATCGGATGACTCGGCCGAGAAAAAAGGGAAGCAATCGAATACCGGACAAAGCGACCATCTCCTGGGCGGAGAAGCCGTGCTGTCCGAACATGCGGATGAGTTCAGAGGCGTTGAAGGTGGGGGCGGGGAGGTTTCTGGTGTCCTCTATCCTTGATCTCGTTCCGTCCTTCCGCCCTTTTGGTATGTCGTATCTTGGACCTCCCGCCTGTAATTCATGTTCTCACAGTAATGAAGGTTGAAAGAGGAGAGTGAGGGGGGAGTGACTGAGCCTTGCACTCGTGAATGATGTAGGCAGAAGAGATTACCCAAAACACTGCATCTCTGGCGGCAATGGCCAAGATATCGGCGCAGGAGACAACACCCGGGCATTGCTGTTCGATCTGCTCTTTCGCATCGTCGATCACTTTGTACCCTCTCAAGCTCAAATTCGCAGGCGAGTCTTTCTCCGCGGTGTTGTCCTTGGTCGAATCTAGCAACACTGACCCATCACATCCCTGCACACGCACATATATTCCATGTTCAGGTTCAGCAAGCAGCACAGAAAGGCAGTGTATAGATATGGATCCATGTGATGAACTTGTTTTGTATATAGTTGAGCTTTGAGCTCGCATCGCTTGTCAATATGTATATGCATACATGCAGTAACTGAAGGGTTATAGTGGAGGACCTGAATGAAGCAGTCATGGAAATGCATGCGGAGGAGGCCAGCTGCTAGAGTAGGGTCGGACTGAAGGGCGGAGGTGACGGTGTTCATGACGATCTGCTCGGCGAAGGGGCAGGTCATGAAATAGTAGTCCATCCCCAGCGCATCGGCTCCTATCCCAAACCTGAACAACCCGCTCAACCCCATCATCTCCATCAACAACATCGTCCACATCACATCCGCCACCGCTCTCCTCTTTGCCCTTGCCATCACTACTGCCACCGGCACCTGAGATTCGGATATATCGGAATTCTAAGGAAATGGCTATCTTGAAGAGCGATGTCCAGCTACTTCAAAAGTAAGTCCCTAGTGTTCTTTCTTATATAGATAAACAATATGAACAGAAAAACGCATGATTGCAATGGTTTACCTTCCATATATGTTGCTTAGATTAGACTAAATAATTTAAAGCTGTAAACAACCAAAACACACTCCCTCACACACATGGGAAAAGTTGAAGATAGTGGGGTCTATCTCCTCCTCCACGATGTGATAATATGTGCATGACCACCTTTGACAAATTAATCACTTTCTTTTTGTTTTGATTGATCCCCCCTGAACGGTTTTCTTGGACACAAGTCACCACTGAATCATGCAATAGCCTTGATGCTCATTGGCTTCATGCACCCATTATTCAGCAATATGCACAGTTGACTTTAAAAAGCAGGTTTGGTTTTAGACTGATAAGATTTCTAAGATATCCTATGTGTCAGCATATTAATTACCATTACTTTCTCTGCTACACAGTGAATTAACTTAGTGATAACATTTTCAGATCAATCATTTAGCTTGATGCAACACATCACAACACGAGTCATAACATTACGATGATTCAGCCCAAAGTCCAGCTCCATACTTACAATATATATGGCCATATCCTCTCTCTACTCCTCCCAAAGGTGATATCTTGTTTGAATCGAGTGTCAAAACGTTTGTTCTTAATTGTTAGACAATGATGAGACTATATCTCATGCTCTCGACTTGCGCGGCATGTAAAGGATGGTAGGACATGAAGAAAGCTTACAACAGGCTCGACCCTATATATTATTACAACAGTCATATATATATATATATGTATATATATGTATGTGAGTTGTGTTTCGGCTTTCAAGTCATGTTTGGTCTTGCCAAGGCAATCATTCATTCAAACATCGCTTTTTTCGGGTCTCGTGAACATCCAAAAGCGTAGTTTACTAATCAAACCTTACGCATAATTTAGCAATAATAACTTTAACAGTTGTAGCGATTACGAGTCTAGTAAAAGAACTCTGCAAAAGTCGGGGTTTCTTGAAGCTTGCTGATCACTGTTTTAAACCCTACAAAAGGTGGTAATGTATACAGCAGAAACTTACAGGGCGATGATCAGAATGCTGTTAGACGAAGGGTCATTGATGTTCCTCAACAGTGAGTAGCATAACATGTAGATAAGATTTCACAGAAGAATAATGTTGGGTAAGCAAATGATAACCACATGTATCCATTCATGCATGGCGGCTGCTCAATTGGACCATGTGGGTATGGAGGGAATGTAAGTCAAAAGTGCGTAAAACACTAATATATATTTGCAGCTGTTCTCCAATATGTCGAGACATCAGATCAGATGAGTGAGAGAAAAGCAAATATACCTACTCCTGTTATGATGTGGGAGTGGGAGAAGCTGATAGTGCCTTGGAAAAAGTTGGAAAAAATTGCGCGTGTGATGGTACAATCGTCTGTCCCCGTGAGTGCCCCTCACACGCATTCTCGATTGATTGACATTAGAATATTATTGTTTTTTTTTTGGTAATCCGGGAACCCTCCGCACGGCCGACAGCCGAGGAGGTAAATCCGGGGTGACGCTAGCACAGGATCCACCACCACGACGTCACGCTTAAGAATCCCTAACGCCAGCGCTGGGATTCGAACTCCTAGCTTTCGTGGGGGGAGGGGAGTCCGAAGCCAGCACAGCCGGTGGTAACATTAGAATATTATTGTTTCTCTCTTCTTCATCCATAATGTTTTGAGGAACTGCTGCTGTTCATGATTTTTTTTTTTTGGTCATAGCTGCTGTTCACGATTGAGATGTGGCTTTTGCACCATCCAGTGACACCAAATAGGGTGTGAGGTTCACCCCTTTCACTTCACATAAAAGCTTTGCATGTGTGTGCGCAACGTGGCGGTGCCGAAAGCTATAACTCACCTCTTGCTCACAAAAACTACCCTTTATGATTCTACTTAGCACACACCTATGGTTCCATACTATGTGGCGTGGCTGGTGCCTGGTGAAACATTTTCCAAAATCTCTCTCCTCCTTTATAAAGCCAAACTTGTTTTAGATTACATTTATTGACCTATACATTAGCCTCTACCACAATCATTTCGACATATCACCGCCACCACCACAAGCGTAAATCGATGAGGAGCACGTTCTTCGTCAACCCAAAAAAAGGGAGGAAAAAGACCTATCTTAATTTTTCACGAAACAAATGAAATCGAAAACGATAATTACCTTCTCCCCTCCCCTCTCTCCGCGCCGCCACAAGTTATACCGTAAAAATAATTGTCAAATCAATAAAAAGAAAAAGTAGAAAGAGCACTTAAGTCATCCACCAAAGAGGTCCAGTGTTATGTGCGCATGCAGCTCCTTGAGCCTTTAAATTAGGTCCACAGCCCCAGACAAAAGATTTCATATAAAAGGGACAAGCAAACATAATGAGCTCCTTCAAAACTAACCCATCTTTCGATCTTTTCTGGACATTCGGTTTTGTGCCTTTTTTCTTGATTGTTCCAGCAAGAAGACAGCTTCTAGCATAGACACAATGCAACTAATGCACATGTTTCAGTACATGTCTGAGAGAGAGAAAAGCCCCTATGCTCTTTCAGAGAAATGACACGGAATCTCGTCAAAGTGAAAACATGCATTCAAGCAGAGATGTGCATCAAGGTGCCTCAACCACGCTATCCAGCAAAGCAATTCAAACATCACACGAGAGAGAGCTTCTATAACCGAGCTAACCTTTTCCTTTCCACTTTTCCATTCGGAGAGACAGACACAAAACATTTACAAGTTCGAAGAAAACATGGCGCAAAATTAAGCCTTAAAGCATCTTCTGTCCAACTGTGTCATTTATGTACAACTTCCCAAGCGGTCCTCCTAAGGGTCAACTTCACTAGCATAATTTAAGTGTAGAGGGCATTTACAACATAAAAAGACCGTCGGTTAGCATCTGATTAACGCGGATATCGACGAAGGACGGTTTCGCCTCATCCTCGCCATCCTCACTAGCCTTGAGCATCTTGCCTGAGCTCCTGCACCTACTGCAAATGAACCTCGCAGGAACCGACTCCGAGTCGTTTATGCCTGAGCACCTTGTATGCTGCCACACGCCGCACACATCGCATGCTAACATTCTCTCCCCATCATCGTCCTTGGCTCCACACTTGCAATCCACCGTCCAGTTTTCGAGGCCTCTCTCCAGTCTGTACTTGCTAACCCCATTTTTCACGAAGCATCTTCCCCGAACACGAACTAAGTTAGTCAAACCCGTTAGATACTTGACCTGGGTGGAATCATCAACACCTCTATAGTCAAGTAGGTCATCCGCTTGAAATCTTCTACACATCAGATATACATCTTGAAAAGCTCTCGCCACTTCGTGCTTAAGGTCAGAAACTGTAGCATTTGGCGACAAAATTATTAATTCTGGAGGAGGACATGTTGTACTTGACATTGCGTGATCTGCCAGTTCCACCTGACACACGAGAGAGATTGAAAATGGGTTGGCAGTTGATGGCACTTCTTCTGCCCTGTAGTCTTTCATGAACTGCTTGCAATCAAGGAGTCTCTGGGCTGCCTCCACATAATCCGTTGTGTGAGTTCCTTCGTTCAACATTTTATGAGGATGAAGGATAGAGTCATACAGATATCTCAAATCTCGTATGAGATTATCCTCTGATGGACGACTGATGAAGGAAGACTTTTTGCCGGACGCATTGTTCCCAGTGGATGCAGTGCCTCCAGGCTCAAGCCTGAGATATAGGTTAAGTGCTTTGAGAAACAGAGACTTGACATACACAAATAATACAACACTAACGGTGAGGGAAGAGGCGTGAAGCAAGCTCTAAGGAGAAGAATGTTGGAAAGAATATGACATCTGTGGACTTTGGAAATCTAAAAAGGACTGGTTTAACTAAATGGACAATGGTTGTCAATACCGAGTCAAATGGTCATCGTTTGTCTGAAAGTATCTATCATATAAAGAAGAACCTAGAAGCAACTGAGAACTGACCTGTATTCAAAATCATCAGAATCAGGATTCCACCGAGAGCTAATGACCATTGCACTAGAGACGGATTTATCCCTGAGCTCCCGAAGACAGTGATCAAGAAGTTCTGCAGATGCTACTCTGTAAGCAGCACCCCTAAGTGCACGCCTACTCACCCAATTAGAACTGGAGACAGCCCGTAACACCCTCACTATTGCTTCTTCCACTCGTTCAACCTCACTTCTTGTCCAAGATCCCAAGGCCCCACAATCACGGGACCTAACCTTGTTAAAGATGGCATCACCATCTCTCGACGAGGATTTCCGAGCTCCATGGACCAAACTCAATAAAAAACAAAAGAGATCCCTTATATTTACAAGCTCGTGCTTGGACAAGGATTGGTAGAATGAGATAATGTCAGGCAAGTGAGAAGAAGGGTTCCATCCTTGAGAGAGGAAGGTTGACAGAGGCAGGCTGGAGAGGCTTTCCACGGACCTATTATAGACATCCCGTGTGATACCGAAGCTACCAGTGCCAAATTCATAACCCCACTCACCATACCATGGGTGTCCCTTGGTGACAGCATGCAGCAGTCGATATTCCAACCCAAACTTTTTCGATACGTCCATAACACTAACCTTTCTGCTCATGCATGAAAAAGAGAAATGTCCAAGTTTAGCAGACAGCTCGTCCAGAAAATATAAAGTGCCACTTATAAAATCAGTAAACTGACATTGGAACCAAGAAACAAATACACGAAACACCAGAGAGATTTGATGGATGGAAGTGACAACTAATCTCATGCCGTTATGGTGACTTAACCGGTGCACGTGTGTGGTGGCTAGCACGTGTCGCCCCCAGGGTTTACCTCCCGGCTGTCGGCCGTGCGGGGGTTCCCTAGGTTACCAAAAATAAAAAATAAAAAAATCTCATGCCGTTATTCTTGCAATAAGATGATATCTCACCCTAGCTTCTACTTCTGCACGTTTCATTTCAGATGTCTAGAATTGGTAGTTGCCTGTGTATCTCCTTTTCTTCATCTTTTTCCTCATCTGCTATTGCTTACTAGCTTCTCTTCTCGTTTAATAAAATGTTCAGCTCTTTTTATCGGAGGATCAGGAGGAGGAGCAGAGGAAAGGCAAGATCTAATCTACATTGAATCCTTTCCTCTGGAGAGGACTGGGAATCAGCGAGTATATCGAAACTATAAGTTAGGACAAGCATAAGGTAGCATTATATGCTAATCCTACCCTAATCCAACACAAGATAAAGGAAAGAGCATTTTCTTCTAACTTGATGCAAGTCCATTTTTCGGGGTATAATAAAATGAATTGAGAGAATGCTAACCTCACTCCAAGCGTTTTACAAAGGCGATCCCAGAAATCCATGATGTGACAGCCGGAAAGGAACCTGGAACCCCCTTCCCGGCCGTTGACTCTGAGCAGATGGCCGAACCCATTGGAGTGGACCACAGCGTGCAAAAGGTGGGTAGTGTTCTCCAACTGGTGAAACACCCAGTCCTCCACATCGTCCTCGGTCATCACATGGTTGCAAGACTTGCACCTGTAAAAGAGCAAGAAAACCCAACAAAAGCGGTCACGATGGCGAAACACGCGACCGACGATCAAATGGGCAGGAAGGGGGGGAAAAGAGGGGAAGGAGGGAATCACCTCGACTCGGAGAAGTGCAAGAGATCACCACAGCAGATGCAGGGCTTGTGGTGTCCGCCGATGGAACTCCCGTCGGCCTTGATTATGAAATGGTACCGCTTCCCGCACACCGGATGCCCGCTCCACCCTTCAAAATTCAAGAATTCAAGATCAAGATCGTGACGATAGAAATCATCATTCTGCTGCCTCAGAAACCCAACGAATCAAGTCAAAGGAATTGTATGAACAATGAATCCTAGACCAAGAAACACCAGGACCGGTAACAGTAAATCAACATCTTCACTCGATCATCCGGCAATGAAAATCAAGAAAAAAAGAAAGAAAGAAAAAGAAACGATTTTCATCCATCCAGGAATCCAATTCAAGAACGCATGACGGGATCGTTGTCGCGGACCAATCGTGACGTGGCAAGGCAATTCGCTGAGCTGTCCGTGTTGGTAATGATCTTCGGATAAAGTCAAGCCAATAATGATATGTCGATGGACCACAGCTGTCCGGTGGGGGTGGTGGGCCAGTGCCAGCTCACCATCGCTTCATCAGCATGGTGCCACGTGCACACTTGACCAACTGCCCCTCTCTTCTTTTTTCCCAATTTATTTATTTATTTAACAAAATAAAAAAGAAGCAATTTTTCCATCACTAATCCAACTAGTTCGCGGGGTCCAGTTGATCCTGACCGTTCCTTAGTCCAACCAAAGCCACAACACTCCACCAACATCAATATCTCGTATCGCGAGATGTTCGGTTCGAATCGGCACGATACATTGGAACCACCGGCCCGCCCGCCTCGCATCTTTTCGCGAGGAGGGTCGTCGACCAAACCAAAACCATCACGGAATTGAACAAAACAACGAGCGGAACTCACCGACGACTCGGCACTGGTCGCAGTACACGGATCTGGATCTGGACACCTCCTCCTCCACCACGTCCAGGCACACCGTCGCCGGCGACGGGTCGGGGCCCCCACCCGTCACCACGTCCCCCACCCGGAACAGCACCGGCCACGTCGTCAGGTGGGGGAACAGCGAGGACGGCGGCGGCGGCGGCACCGCGTGCCTGGACAGGAACTCCTTCACCCTCGCCCTGAACGGGCCCGCTCCCCCGGCTCCTCGACCGCCGCCGGCGGCGGCGGCGGTGGAGGAGGAGGAGGAGGAGGAGGGGAAGGTGAGGAAGTCGGAGAGGTCGGCCGTGACCCGCCTCTTCATGCGCTTCATCGGCCTCCCGGAGACTACCATGGCGGTCCCGACGGCTGCTATGGTGGCGCGTGGGGAGGGTAGGTCAGATCTCGCCCGCGGGGGGTCGCGGATCTGGAGGGGCGGAGATCGGAAGGTGGGGAGGTGGGAAGGAGGTGCGGAGGTTGAAGGATCTGCGATCTGCGATAGAGAGAGAGAGAAAGAGAGAGTGAGGGGGAAGGACGGAAAGGGGGTGTGGTGTGTTTCAGGTTGCGAGATTCGATTGGGGGTGTGGGCGAGCGAGAGTACAAATCAATCTGTTGCTTCTTCTTCTTCTTCTTCTTCTGCTTCTTCGTTGCAGCTTATTCGACGATTTCCATGGCGAGGCATAAACTTAAAAAATTAAATTAAAATTAAGTTTTCTTTTCTGGGTTTTCCTTTTATAATTGAAAAGAAAGGAAATCGCGAGAAATCTGTTCTTCTTTGAGTCGGTTTGAGAGAGAGAGAGAGAGAGAGAGAGAGAAGGGTGGATGAGGAATGAGGGGAAGGACTTCGGATTGATATTAACTGCTTTTGGAGGGACCGGAAAACAATGCGACAACTTTTTCTTTTTGTTTTTGTTTTATTTCAATCGCTTGTTTGTTATTTTATTATATTTAGGAGGGCCGGCTTCGGGTGGGCGGAATTACGAGAGTGCCCTTCGCGGGAAGTTTCTGGGAAACCGAGCCGGGCTTTTGCCATCCCGGGGGCTGGAGAAAATATTCAGCGGTATGTGCTCGCCACGTCATAGGCTGATGTGGCGCGCATTTATCTAGTTGGATCTATTCATCATTTAACACGTGTCAATTGACTTAAAATTAAATAAAAGCAAAATTTCTGACCACCTGCCGGATCATTAACGGGGAGCAACTTTTTAGGAAAATTTTAAACACCCGCCCAAAACCTGTCTTCAACCTTCATTCACAACTTCAGAAGAAACCTTCATTTTTACTTTCTGTCGGATCTTATGTTTCAGACCAGAAAAAACCTTCTTTCCTTTTTTTTTTTTTTTCAGCTCTTACGTTGCAGACCGCCGCTCAACCCCGCGCTTAGATGACCTCCATTTTCGCTTTGAAGGTCGCTGCTTCTATGACCTCCATTTTCGCTTCGAAGACCGCCGCTCGACCACCACGCTTCGAAGACCTCCATTTTCACTTAGAAGACCGCTGCCTCGAAGATCTCCATTTTTGCTTCGAAGCCCGATGCTCAACCACCACGCTTCGAAGACCTCCATTTTCGCTTTGAAGACCGCCGCACTTCAAAGACCTCCATAACTTTGAGATTGCAGAATGTCGAGCGGGGTGAGCTCGATCCCACTCGACATTGAGCTCCGATGCGCCTTTCACTCTGTGGCTTGGAATTAGTTTGACTGGATTATAGTGATGCGCATGTAATACAGTCTCACATTTGTTTGGTACCTAGAATTTTTTTTGTTCAATGCTAGAAAATTTTGTTTGAATATTCATTGGTGATTGAGATTAGAACCCATCAATCGAGTTGGTTTTCCAAATAACACGCGCTGAATATAATAACAACTATGAAAAAGTCGGTGTCCAAACACCAACGACTTTGTTGTTCCATTAAATTTCCCTAGATCGTAATTTCTCTCTTTCCTTTATGTACTTTGCGTAATGAGATTTTTAGAGTTTTCCTTTTGTAATTTATCTAATTGCATTTCACGGAAGAGAGCCAGTTGGATCTCCCAAATATGGTAATGGATAAGTAAACATGTTGATTCTCTCTTCTTTTCCTTTTGCCTAATCTTGCACAGAGCATACTGAGAAATTCCAACAGCTACTATGGATTAGTGGCGTTTGAGAAGAGCAGGTATATTGTAAGAGGGTTGGTAATAAATGAACAGCAACAGGTTGATTGGTCGTTGAAAACAAAGTTGCATAGTGAGCACCAAGCTACTAGAGTCCTAGACTAGAGGTCACGAATCTCGAAACCAAACACTCCATGGTGAACTTTCCCAGCAATTTTAGTAAGATGTCACCTGTTTGGTATAAGTTCTGAGACACTATAGACAAAAAAACACATTCTTCCCGAAATCAACATACAAGTAACCTGCTCATGAGATATTTCTTCAGCCTTCCAAAGCTCCAAATTAAGATGAAGCATTTTCTATTAGGGGTACATGATAGTCGGCCAAGAACAGCCATTCAATTGTCTTGAGAACCATTGTCTTCTTGGCCGTAACAAATTTGCTCTCGACCATGAGTTTAAATAAATAAACAAATAAACAAATAAGTAGAACAAACTCAGCTTGGACTGGGAACAAAACTCGGTTCTTCCAAGTGAAAATGGAGGAGAGAAATGGAGAGATAAGGAGCTAAGTTAGGGTTCGAAGAGCTGTGGTGGAAGCCATTTTTCTCTTTAGGCTACCCTGTATCCAAAAGTCCTAAGCGGCGTTGGCGACCTTCAAAGCGAAAATGGAGGTCTTCGAAGCATGGTGGTCGAGCATCGGGCTTCGAAGCAAAAATGGAGATCTTCGAGGCAGCGGTCTTCTAAGTGAAAATGGAGGTCTTCGAAGCGTGGTGGTCGAGCGGCAGTCTTCGAAGCGAAAATGGAGGTCATAGAAGCAGCGACCTTCAAAGCGAAAATGGAGGTCATCTAAGCGCGGGGTTGAGCGGCGGTCTGCAACGTAAGAGCTGAAAAAAAAAAAAAAAAGGAAAGAAGGTTTTTTCTGGTCTGAAATGTAAGATCCGACAGAAAGTAAAAATGAAGGTTTCTTCTGAAGTTGTGAATGAAGGTTGAAGACAGGTTTTGGGCGGGTGTTTAAAATTTTCCTAAAAAGTTGCTCCCCATTAATGATCCGGCAGGTGGTCAGAAATTTTGCTTTTATTTAATTTTAACTCAATTGACACGTGTTAAATGGTGAATGGATCCAACTAGATAAATGCGCGCCACATCAGCCTATGACGCGGCGAGCACGTACCACTGAATATTTTCTCCGGGGGCTGGGGCTGCTGATGAGTCATCGCTTGCCGTTGCGACGTCGTTTCGCGGTTGTGGGGGGGGGGGGGGCGGGGGGGTGGGTGGGTGTGGGAGCGGGGGAGACGTTGCGCGCGTCGCCAACGCGAGCGATGGCACAGCACTCGCCGTCAGCGGTCAGCACCTTGGAAAGACCGTCCAACTAAATGCGTCGTAATTACCCTTTTGACCTCTCTAAACAACAAGAGGAAACAATTATGAGAGTGGATATTTCCTCAGTTTTGCAGCGACTTATTTGAGTGAACATTTATGATTCATCTTCCTCTACTGGTTTTTATGATGAGACTTATCCACTTAGGAACACAAAAAAAACTACCCTTTTTCTTTTCTTTTTAGGCTACTCTCGATCTATTTTTTTTTCTTCTTTTATATATATTTCACTTGTAACTTAGATGGGGTTGGGGTTGGGCAAAATATTTTGTCCACTCTTGTCTATGATATTTAGGGTTAATACTATAAAAAATCTTAAATTGGTGCATTTAAATTTACTCCAAACTAATTTTTTGAACACTAAAAACCACAAACCGGTACACTAGTAACAAATTTACCCCAAATTAATTTTTTGGACGCCAAAAATCTCAAACCGGTATACTAGTAATAAATTTATCCTAAACTAATATTTTGACCGCCAAAAATCTCAAACCGGTACACTTATGATAAATTACCTTCCATTAAATTGGATTAATACCACGAAAAATTACAAATTGATAAATTCGTGACAAGTAGAGCAAACACCCGTCAACTGGCACGTGTCATTTAATTCAGCAATTTGACGATAAAATTTAACTGAATCTAAAATAAGATAGATTTGTTACAAGTGTACCAGTTTGGGATTTTTGGTGGTCAAAAAATTAGTTTGGGATAAATTTATCACAAGAGTACCGATTTAGAGTTTTTCGTAATATCAATCCTGATAATTACAAAGCAAACTTTTCGAAACGGTATCCACTCCATATTTACAAAAATGTCCTTGATTTTCTCTTCCTCTAATATTTCAGTTGAAATCCATTATTGTGAATCAAACTCCTATCATCTTTGTAGATTGATTGATGGATAAATGGAGCAAATTAGTGGACGAAGTGAAATCGAGAATTTCGATTGGTAACCATCTTATTTCGTGATGACATTTTTTTTTTAATAACTTTTCAATTCTAATTTAATCCTTATAAGAATTTTCACAATCAACGCGTTACTTAATATGATTGCGAAAATTTTCACTTATAAATGTAACAGTTATTCCACTTTTTGGCTTAAAGATTTACCGTCAATACAAAATCAAGAATAATTGATTATTGGTCTCACCGGAATAATTATTTCATGTAAGTAAGAATACCTTAAGTTTGTTACTCCATAATTGAACCTTATATATACGCACATTGCAATACCAATTATCAATTATATTCAAATACGATTGACAAAAGTACAAATCACAGTTATTATCTAAGCTGTCATATTTTTTTTGTTGCTAAAATCTAAGCTGTCATAGTTATTTATGTAAAACTACAGATATATTTATCTCTAAATGACTTTTATCTATTATTATTATTATTATAGTAGTAGTAAATCGGAGACTTTACTTTTATGCTTATATTTATATCTACCGAAATAATTAGAATCCATAACATGAAATGGTAATAATTAAGCTAAATATTGTCATGACAATAGTAGGGGAGATGCAGATTTATCTTTGTATAGATGAAAACTAACATAAGGCATTGTGATGCTATTACCGAAGAATTGGACAAGGTGATCTTTACTATTATTTCTTACATGCATTTATAGCATAAGATAGATAATAACTTATGGAAAGACATTAGTCAGAACCAATGCAATAATATAACCTTCCTGAGCTACTACTGCGTCTATATGAGGGAATATAAAATTCTCTACACAAGGAAAGATATAAAATGAATTTGTCAATTTCAGAAACTCTTGCTGCACTTACCAAGAATGCAATAATTGCTTGACTGGTACTGATCTTAATCTGATTGAGAGTAAATTCTAGAATTGCTTGGTTGTCAACGTATAATTTCTCCGATCGATACACCTCCGCAAGAGAGGCATTCCATCGTGAATGCCGATCTTAGACTATAAATGAATAAATCGTTGTCGTGCAAGAGGGTTTGTTAGCGTATCTGTGAGTGGATCGTGAGTGGACACATGGCATACTTGCAACAGACCTTTGTCAACCATGTCGCGAACAAAGTGATAATCCAGGACAATGTGTTTTTAATTTTGGAGTGAAAAATAGGATTAGCACATGCATAAGTAGCACTAATGTTATCACAATAAATGCTAAGTGTGGATGAAGAAGACACTCCAAGTTCATGCAAGAAAGATTGAATCCATGCGAGCTCAGAAGGTGTCGCGGCAGTAGGGTGACACTTGACTTTAATGAATGAATGAGCCATGGATCATTGTTTTCGAAAGCGCCATGGTATAGGATTTTGTCCGACATATACAATGTTGGCAGTT